TATATTAGTAATTGCTATTTTTTTTTTATAAATAATTTAATAAATTTATGATACTTTTTAGGCAATTTTGTTAATATTTCTATAAGTTCCTTTTTATATAGTTCTTTTAGTTTTAGTTTTATCTTTTATGTTTTTTTAATGATTTTTATTTTATTAATTATTTGTGCTTATTAGATTATTTTAACTTTTTTTATATTATTATTTTTAATTCTTTTCTTTTTTTTATTATTTAGGTTCTTCTAATTATTTTATGGCTTTTCTATATTTTATGCTTTATTTTTTTTATTAATATTTTTAATATCTTTAATAAATGTTATTTTTTATTTCTATTCTTTTGCCTTCTGCGTTATCTTTTCAGCTTTTGGTAATATATTAAGGATTTTCTCTAATTCCTTATATAGCTATGCAATTTCTTTGATATTCTTTTTGATTATTTATATTTTTAGTGCTATTTTATTAATAATTACTATTCCTTTAGTCTAGTTGATTATTAGATTTTAAGTTTATAATCATATTATTCTAAATATAATGTTATAGTATTTTCTTAATACTAGTATAATATCAAGTGTAATTATTATAATATATTGTCCTAATTTTATAATAATATTTAATATTTATCTCTTATAGCCTTAGCTAATTGTTTCTTTATTAATAAAGATAATTATTATCTATTTATTAGTCTAGATTATAGATAGTTCTATATCTTTTATAAATTTTTCTCTAATATAGTTATAGACTATTTCTAAATCTAATAAGATTCTTGTACTTCTTTTATTAATTTTTACTAGTATTATTATTGTTTGACTGACTGCTTTTAGTTCTATAATTATTATAATAAATTCTATTATGATTATGTGCTTTTTTTAATACTTTTATTAATATTTAAAGTATTCCTTAATACTATAGTAATACTATTTGTATAGTCCTTCTGCTTTATATTTAGTGATTATAATATTATTATGATAGGGGTATATAAGTTCTTAGTAGATATATTAATATTCTATTTATTCTTATAGATATTTAAGTCTTAATTCTTTAATTATTTCTAAGATCTTTAGAAATTATCCCTTTTATTCTTTTTCTACAAGATGTATTTTATATAATAAGTTATAATATATTATTTAATATATTTCCTAATATAAGTTTCCTCTTAATGCTAGATAGTGATAATAAGAGTAATTCCTTATATATTTAGTCATTCTATTATAAAAGTGTTATTCTTGCTTGTATAATATATATTTATATATATTTGTTAGAGATATATACATTTATTCATGTTATTAGTATATATAATATATCTATTTTTTGTAGTATTTATATTCTTTAATATAATTTTTCTATTTCTATTAAGACTTTTTTTAGTAAGTTATATTTACTAATATATAATTATATTAGTTATTCTCTTGAGGCTAAATAGTATTATCCTATATTTTATTTAATTTTTTCTTAATAGGGTTTTTATTTGATTCTTAATATAGGTTTTTATAAGTTATTATTATTAGTTTATTATTTTATAATATTAATTGAGTATAAAATAACTCTTTTAATAGAGATTTTACTTAGATATTCTTTATATTAAAGTCTTCTATATTAATTTCTTCTAAATTAATATCTTTACTATATTCTTCTAATAAGTCTTTAATATTTTTAAGATAATATATGAGAAATACCTGGCTAATTGATTTTTTTTTTGAATTATAAGATTAGTATCTCTTTTTTATATTAATACTAACTCATCTTACTTATTTAATACTTTTTTTAAGACTGAATCTTTTTTATTTTTATTTTTTATTTTTATTGTGACAATGCAATGCCAAATCTATTTGGTCGCTAAACACGAAGAGACTAAACTAGAGAGAAGAAGAGGAAAGAACAACTACCGGCCCCCTTCCTCCTACTTATACTTCCTTCCATTCCAGATACCTATAGGCTATCTCCATTRTGTGCCGGTGCCTAGTAATCTAGATTTCTAGAAGATTCCAACAATGTAGAATACTAGCTGACAAAGGCCATTTACCCTTCTTAATATCACATAGATCCTCCAGCAATCTGCAGCATAAATCAAAACACAGGGTAATCCCCACAAGGCATATCTAGCCCCACATCTTCCCTGCATGTGATTCATCCACGGGAGGCGGCCCGCGGGTACTTCCGCAGTAACCGTGTGCCGCTAAGCTAAATCGTACTAGGCCGTCACATTTATTGCTTAGATTACTAAGTATTTTTTTAATTATTTTAAAGCTTCCTGCTCTTTAATTTGTTATATCTATTCTATTTAAATTTATATATAGTTTATTATCTATTCTAATTATTATTCTTTATCTTTAACTGATTACTTTAAGTCTTTATTAGAATTAATCTTATTATTAGCTATTTTATTAGCTTTATTATTATTAATTAAAATTAGTAGAATTATTATTGTGACTTGTTTTTTTAAATTTAAAATAGCTAATTTCTAGTTTTTTCTTAGCTTTTAGTATTAATTTATAAAATAATCTAATTTTTTATAATTAAAGTAAGCTTTATTTCTTCTTAATTTATTTTTTTCTTCTTTAGATAAAATTATATTTAGTTATATTATTATATTTTTATTCTTATCTTTAGTTTATTTTTAATATAAATTTATTTTATTTCTTCTAAACTTTTCTTTTTCTATTTATTAGGTGTATATAATTAAATTAATTTAAAATGCTGCTTTTATTATTGCTTAAAATATTTCTAATTATAATGTTATTATTAAGATTTAATCTTTAATATTATTTTTTAGTCTTTTATAGAATTGGTCTCTAAATTTTTAATTATTCTATAAAAATTCTTTTAATATCTATAAAAATTTTAAAATATATTCTCTAATTAAGGTCTATTGCTTAATATATTAAATCTTATTAATAGTTTTAATTTTTTTATTAATGATTTTCTATAATTGGTTAAATTTTTCTTTATAGTATTGGTAATTAGAAAATATTATAATTATCTTAGGGTTTTTTTGTTCTTTATTACTATTTATGTAGTATTAATTAGTAATATATAAAGTAAATTATTTTATAGTCTTTTTATTAAGGAAGCTTAATACTACTAGTATTTTATTAGATTTATTTATAATTTATTTACTATTATATATAAAATAAAGTTATATTTAAATAAGATATATTTTAAGGATTCTATATTCTTTCTTAAATAAAGTTATTATTTTAATCTTAATTTCTTGAGATATTTAGCTTAGTCTTTTTTTATTATTAATTATAGCTTATTCTAATTCTTTAATATATTATAATAGCGCTGTTATATCTTTATTATTAATAATTATAATATTTCTATTACTAGTGTTAATAGTTCATAAATTAGGACTTAGGGTTACTAAAACTAAGATTTAAGATATTATTATTATTTATCTTTAAAACTTCTCTTTTAATTAAGGGTCTTGAATTATTGGAAACTTTGATTTAATTATTATTAAGTATAGTTAAGATAACTATTAATAGATAAAGTTAATAGATTTTTAAGATTAAAAGATTTTAGTAAATAAAAGAAATAAGAATAAAGCTATAAATATCCTAATTAATAAAAGATTATATATTTAAGTTATTATAATTAATTTAAGATAATAGAGGAAAACTAAATATATAATAAATAAATATTTTTATATAACTTTTCCTTTATTATAGCTTTTATAAAGATCCTCTAATTTCTCTAATTTATAGATTATAGTTATTATAGAAATCCTCTAATTTCTTTGATACCCTAACCCTAAGGTTTCACAGGTAATCCTTTGTTCTGATGTGCATTAGTCTCGTAGTGACTAACCTGATCCATTGGCTGTGACGTTCTGATTCTCTGACACCTAATTATTATTAATATATCTATAAGATTAGAAGTTCTTTCATAAACTTTAAAATAAATAGATAAGATAAGCTGGATTCTAGTCAACTTTCTTATAAACATTGTCCTAGAGTTGATAGTAAAATTCATATTATTAATTAGTGAAGGAGTAGAGATCTTTTATGCTATTAATATATATTAATCCAGATGGGCATCTTTTCTTTTAATAGTTGAAAAGCAACTAGCAGAAAGTGGTTATCCTATAGAGATTATTGATTGGAAAGAGTAGATTAACTTATTAAATCAAGTAGCTGAGAAAATAAGTTTTACAGAACTGGCAGTGCCAGGCATAAAGTTACTTAACTTTTTCAACAGTATAGGCACTATACTTAAAAATAGAAAGGATCAACAAGCACAGGAGATTCTGGATATCCGTCAGATATGGAATAAGAGTCAAACTCTGAGCCAATTGGACGCAGTAGGAGAGGAATGGATGCAAACGTGGATGATGCAGTGGGGGTACTGATAGTCTGATACTTTCGATTTCGCTTTTCTCTGAGATAGCCTGCAATATGAGTCTCTCAACGACAAAAGCGCCCAGTTCAGAAGTATAACCAACAAGTGATTTGAAGTAACCAGGCCATTTGACAGATAGAGCGTTATGTATGTGGAAGGATTGGAGGAGACCCATACATATGATATGCTAGCTAATTGGAGGACGAATAAACAATATCAACCATGGTTCTATTTTGTATCTACAATGTTCCCTTGATCTGATTTGTCTACTATATTCTTATATACGGAGTCAATGCATATTCAAAGCAAATTTATACTAATGGCTGTCAGATGTCAGAAGATTGAAAAAATCTCTTAGTTGCCTGGCCCGACCGGGTAAATGCAAAAACCCCGAGTACCTAGGTATGAGACCACGGAGAATAGATTACGAGCAACTACAGCATGCACAGCTCTTAGTGAATCCCAATCGAGTTCTGAAAAAGCTAGTTCTGGTTGATATGGGGCTTTGGACGGTCGTAAGCGGATTATCGCGATCCTCCGCGCTCGACACTCCGACCCTCCGACCAGACTGCCAAAAGATTGGGTGATAGCATATATGTCTAAAAATGTTATATTCAACTCCTAGCCGCATTTCTCTATAAAGGAGGTGTAAGAATATAGTCAAAATGACAGCACCTGCAGGCCAGTTTCTCGCCGGTAAGCGCATCATCGTCGCCGGCGGCAGTTTCGCGGCGCTTTCGTTTATACTTGCTCTCGAGCAGCTATGGGACACCTCCCTCGAGCGCCCCAAAGTCATCTTGTACGAGCGAGATGACCGGGACAAGTCTATCGGAAAAGATCCCTACATGCTGAACATCAATGGAGCCAGCCGGAACGACGGATTAATCGCTATTCAGCAACTCGGATTACTAAATGAGGTCCGCAAGCATGCGTCACTCAATGGCGGCGACATTCGCGTCTGGGCCGACAACTGGAAGTGGCTCTCGTCCATCAATCCCACCGCTTATGGCAGCCTGCCCGCAGCCACTATGCGCGTCACACGCGCGGACCTCAAGCGGATTCTGGTGGAAAAGGCCGAGACGACGACTAGAACAACGCTGAACTGGGGGTCGGCCTGCACATCGGCCGAAAGGCTTCCCAGTGGAGAGATCCGAGTCACCATCTCGGACGGCGCAACACAGGACTGCGATCTGCTCGTTGCCGCGGATGGCGCAAATAGCACTATGCGAGCTTGCTTCCGCCCCAACGACATGAAGACCGAATATGCCGGCGCATCCCAGATTGGTGGCATCTCGCGTCTTCCGGGCGGAGTGCCCAAGCCTATTGACAAGGACTACGGCCTCCAAATGTCTTCCGGCGAGGGAGTCTGCTGCATCTACAACCCTTTTGACAAGGAAACGGTTGCCTGGGCAGTCAGCACCGTCGGACCAGAAAGAGAACCCAAAACCGACTTCACCGTAGCAGAGTTCGAAGACTTGAAAAAAGAAGCCCTCGAGACGGCTTCCATGTTCCAAGAACCCTTCAAAACAGTCGTCGAAGCAACAATGCCAGATACCGCGTTCATCCGACCCGCCAAGGAGAAATTCGCTTTCCAACATGATGCTAGCTTAAAGGGCGTCATGTTTATTGGCGATGCTAACCATATCCTCAGCCCCTTTGAGTTTGTCGGTGCAAATCTAGCGCTGAAGGATGGCTGGGACTTGGCGGAGCAGATCTGTAGCAATACTTCCATGGATGCTGCGACTGCGTCCTATGACCGGGTCAGTATATCTCGCTTCGAGCCTGTTTTCAGCTTTTCACATGAGCGCATTGGGTTTGGGCATTCTACGGGGAAGAAGTGGTTGTTTTATAAGTACGGTATGGCTGCCCAGAGGGGGTTGAAGCAGGTTCACTAGATTTATATTACATTCAGTCGGAAGATCAGATAAAGACCGCTTTGCTGCATATAAATCCCAGAGTTTTGCCAAATAAGCCATGCTGAATATTAGTGAACCATAGATGAGGCCGTCGTTAACCTATCGCCGATGCCGTAGATGACTGCTGTTCGAGAAACCATCCTTGAATATGGTGATATCGGCTTTAATAGTGATACATAGTCTGTATGGAGAATACGTATATCGTATCGTAACGTCCGGTCAATACATGACATTACAGTACGGCCAGCGATCCCGCCGAAAGAGGAAATTGTTGTACTATATCACGCCATTCCTCCCCGGCAGTTTGCAAGTTCGACTGCAATTGGCCCAAGCACAAGAAACACGAGGGAACTTCTTCCCCTCGTTCGCTGCACGCAATCAGTCCAACCCGGTATTACCAATCACCCAGGGAGATGAGGAGAAACATGGCTTATCTCGACAATCACGACATCTCGCTTCCTGCGGTGGAGGCAATCCCAGCTATTTTCCATTACTTTTGGATTGGTTTGGACGAACTCTGCTGACTGACTAGGAACTCAAGTATCAGCTGTCATCGTCTAAATCCCAACGCTACGTTCAAAATGGCAACGACAACTACATGGATATCAACGCAGTCGATCAGCCACAAACATGACGTGGACGCACGAGATGCGCCGCTTTTGAATAACATCAGCAGTTTCCAGCCATTCTCAGAAGAACAAATCAGTATAAGTGAAGTCCGCGCCGGAACTTCCCAGGTGGACCAAACTTCGCCTCGTGTGTCCGTCGCCAATAAGTTTGCCACAACACAAAACGCTCTGCTATTACATGCTATCAAAGAGAAATATACGCTTGTGACAGATCATGCGGTGCCGTCAATACTCCATGACGACGAGGTCCTTATTGAGGTTTCTGCTATTGGATTGAATCCAATCGACTGGAAAGCACCGTATGTATTCATCCCGTTCACCCCGTTCACACCCGGAAAAGTTCACATCAGCCTGTTGAATGTTTATGAAAACACCGTACGAGGGAAGCCAAACTAACCATTCAAACACAGAGCGTTTAATTTCGGCATTCCCGACCTACCCTGGGTTTTCGGTCGCGATCTGGCTGGCACCGTCATCAAATCCTCCTCCTCGTCATCTTCCCGTCTCCGAGTCGGTGATCTTGTCCTTGTCCCATCCACCGATTACCGAGACATTCGCAAAGCTGCATTTCAGGAATATGCCGTTGCCACGCATTACAATGCTGCTAGGATTCCGCCCACTACCTCCGTACACAGCGGGGCTTCTATAGGCGTGGCCTATGTGGCTGCTGCGCTGGCGTTGGGGATTTCATTTGGCTTGGACTTTGGGCTGGCGCAAAATGTGCCTGGGCCAAATCTGAGGCAGATTTTGAAGAACTTGAATCCGCACGATATCCCAGAGGATATTCGGGATGAATGTCTTCCTGTGTCCGCAGCAGATACCGAGAGACCGCAAAAGGGGGACTGGGTTGCAATATGGGGAGGTGCGTATCAAGGTCCCCAAACCAAGCTGTTTACAGTATTGACATATATCTATGGCCGTACAGCATCCACAACCACAGGATACATTGCGCTACAGCTCGCAAAGCTTTGCGGACTCAAAGTCATCTGCATTGCAGATATTGCACGGCATGGCTCCAGGCTTCATGCTGCCGGCGCGAACATACTGGTTGACCGACACGACACCAATCGCGCTGTCGAAATCATAAGAGGCGTGACTAATGGCCGTCTACGGTTCGGCATCGACATTGTTGGACGCGAGACAGCAACTATCCTTGAACAAGCCCTAGCCTCGCCCAGTGGGGAAAGCGATGGACCGCATTCGCATTCACACTCGCATCTCTTGGGACTCACTGGTGTGCCGAAGGAGAAGAATGCCGGGATCATTTATCACGCTGTGCCCATAAAGATCTTCCACTCCTCGCCTGAGATTGGTGAGGGCTTGGTCGCGTGGTTGGAGAATTTGTTGGAGACTGAAGCTTTGATACCACCAGAAGTCATCAGAAATGACGGGGGCCTCGGGGGTATCAACGATGCATTAGACATATTGAGGAGCGGTGCCGTGGGTGGCAAGAGGATTGTGGTTGATTTGAATAAGACCAGGCAGTACACTAGCCAGTACTCGATAGAAGCCGTTGAATCATAGATCAGGTATGTAGCTAGTGGTGTTGTTTGAATAAACCGCTTCGTTTGATGCACCCTCTGCTTGAGAAAGAAAGCTCGGTGAGATGTCCGACAATTACTAGACTTGGTCACGCCATTGCACGAGCGTCTTGCGTTGAGTATTTGTCATGCATTGTATGGCTGTATGTAATTTTGCTTGTCACGCATGTATGGTAATTAATAATCTGCTCTCGCTCAGACATCTGATTTACAATTTTGATACCTCAAAGTTCCTCTCATCATTATGAGAATACCTAGATGGCTAGACTTAAACGAGTAGCTATGAAGGACTACAACAGTCCAGAAATGCCGTCCATCCTATACATCCCACCAGCCCTCGCCATAAGACCTCAAATCCACCGCCTCTGACGATTTCAGGTGCGGCGTCAAGTCGACACTGTCATCGCCCGACGCCTCCCTGCTCCTCCACCCATTCCCAAACCACCCGAACCTATTCCCGCTCTTATTCGTGTACGTATACTCAAAATCCTCCCATCGCGGATCCCTCAAAATGTAGTTCACAGCAGCAGCGCTAGCGGGAAACAGAGCAACAACACGGCCTCCATGAATACCGCCATTGTACCACGAAGAGCAGTTCTTGTTGGTTTCCGACGAATCGTCATTCCCTGTCCAGACGGTGCGCGGATAGAACTGCGCGGCATATTCATTATAGTCCCTCGCTGCAGCAAACGAGGGCGTGATAGTGGCAATGCCCTGGCTGCGTAATTTCCTAATCATTTTTGCGATGTATGTCACCTGGTTCTCGACTGCGTTAGGGACCGTGCCACTGAATCCCGTAGACGTTGGTCCTAGAATCCATGCTATGTTGGGGAATCCCGGAGCTGCAAGTCCAAGGTAAGTGTGAGGGTAGCCATACGAGCCGCCGGGCTTCCATGCTCCTTGCAAGTCGACGCCGTTGGCAACGATGGGGAAGTGAGGCGCCATGCTGACCTCTGCACCGGTAGAGCAAATAACCACATCGGCCTCGCGCTCCGTTCCATCCACAGTCACAATGCCCCTTTCGGTGAATTTCTGAATCCGGTCCTGAATGTATGACACATTTGGCTTGGACAGGGCCTCCAAATACCCCGGTCCAGGCGTGGGACGGCGGCAATTCGGCGGGAAGTCCGGGATGATTTTGTCTGCTAAGCTGGGGTCGGCTCTGCGAAGCATGAGCTCTGTCCATTTGGCTCGGAGTTCTTTGTTGAGCGGGTGGTCTTTGAAAATAACACCGAATCGACGGAAGTAGTCTGCCTCGACTTTCTTGCGGTAGTGGAGGTATTTCTCGGGATTTTTGAAGGACTCCTTCTCCTCGTCGCTGAAGAGATTTGGTTCCAGTCTGCGGACACCAGATGCGTTGAACGAGTCCACCACCCAAGTGCGGTTGCGCGCGTAATGATCGATATGGCTACCTAATGGCTGGATAGACGGTAGCACCTGCAGACCGGAGGCGCCGTTGCCAATGAGGGCAATTCGCTTGTCTTTGAGATCGACGCTGTGATCCCAGTTTGAGGAGTGAAAGAGTGGCCCTTTGAACGATTCCAGTCCCTCGTAATCCGGAAGTCGCCATGCATTGAAATGTCCAAAGGCGGTGATGACAAAGTCTAGTTTTTCCTCGTACACCTTTTTTGGTTTTGCACATTTAGCACTGTATTACTAAGAGTGACTCGTCTTCCTACCTGGTCGTTATTCAAATCTTGAATCGTGAGTTTCCATTTCGTCTCCTCATTGATCCAATCTGCTCTGAGAACTTTTTGCCTGGGCTTCAAATGCGTGTAGACGCCATGTTTCCTGGCCACGCGTTGCCAGTACTCGCGGATCTCATGTCCCTGTGCAAACTCTTCGCTCCACTGGGTATTCGGCTCAAAGCCGGATTGATATACGTGTGCAGGGATATCACAGCGCACACCAGGATAGGTATTCTCAAACCACGTTCCGCCCTGTATTCTAAATCATGAGCCACCAGAACACCTAAAAACCAAAAAAAAAAAGAAAAGAAAAGAAAAGAAAAGAAAAAGAAAAGAGGGCAGATGATCATTGGCGAACTCACAATGTCGCTATTTTTATCGTACACCGTCAAATCTATGCCGGGTAACTTTGCGCGTAACAGAGAAGTCGCTGTGACTCCTGATAGACCTGCGCCGATGATGCCCACTTTGATGTTGCGGACTTTATCAACGGGGTGCTCTTCAATCTGGAACTGGGGCTTGAGCTCGACTTTGTCTTTTGTGTCATCGAGTTTTGGAGATGGGGGTAGCGGGGTGACGCTTGTCTTCAATGTTGTTTTTATGCCTTTGTCGACGGCCACGTCTGTGACGGAACCTTCTTGCACGACACTCATGGTTGTATCCTCTACTATACCAAAATATGTCTCTCTTGTAGAAAGTGATGGATGATCAAGAAGAAAAAAACGAAGCACTTCCACTGGCGCGAATTATTCAAATCGGCATACAAGTAAAACTACTTATAGAACAAACAACTTGCCAGATTGAACGCGAGAAATCACGTTATTACGGCTAACATGATAACCAGAGCCCCTCAGTGGATCGAAACGAGGTATGGACAGCGCTGATAGTGATGGCATTATGTATTGACCGTGTATGGTACTGCATAATTCAATACCGTCGTTGAAATACAGCGGGTTCTCTACTTACGTACAGTTAGGGTAATTGGCGGTCACATGACTTGTCTGATTTCAACGACAAGTTACCACTGACTAATATTAGGCAAGTTTTGTTCCTCAGTCCAGGGGATTCCTGCGTTGTCGCGATAACGTGCAATGAGCATATTGTGGAGCCGTGTGGTGTCAGTTCACGGTCTGCTTCTTATCGACTTGCTAGATGTCCATTTGATACGTTGGGCTGCACTGCATTCGTAGATTGTGGATTCACCAGTTGGACGGACCGACTAGTCATCTTGAATAAGAAGATTGAACAAGACCTGCTACGCGTCGCTAGGCAATTGTGATTGTCGGCCCGTAATTTAGTTAGATGAAAAACGTACATAAGTAGACAGACATCAGGCGTATTACTCCGTCACTATCTTCCAACGATCGAGAAACATCAGTCTACATCACCAACATGTCGTCGGTGTCGGGTTGGCGTTTGGCATTGGTATGGTGCTGGTCCACCGCTTTCAGAGCGATTTTTGAACGAAAAGCCAGACCACACGGAAATGTAAGCTGATATGAACATATACCTTGTATCAAACCATGTCTAATTACCTAATCGACGAATGCGATTCCGCCAGGTTCATGGTTGCCAACCGCAGTGTAGGAACTGGGTTGACGGCGTCGGCTGTGATATCCTCGTGGATGTGGGCGTATGCTGATGATAAAGCTACGGAGGGGCACCTCATTACTGGTACTACGGAGTACATTAGCTGATTCCTAAATTTGGACGCCAACTGTGAGACTAGAAGGCGTGCTTGCAGCGTGGATCCTTTATATTAATTGTATTTCACCTGCACATGTGGGCAGGGTACCACGGGGTATGTTATAGAGTATTTGGGGTCCGCAACTACAGGTTAGCCGCGCTAGCATTAGATTAGGACTAGCTGTTGTCATTAGCACGCCCCACAGAGATCTATATTAATATTGCTACTTCCTAAATAAGTAATTGGTCGGTAAAAGGTAGTTTCCTAATTAGGAAATATTTCTTCGTATACTTGATTTTGTACTTTATATTTCGCATGTCTGTTTTCTCATATAACTTCCGAGTAAACTTGGACATTATTAATTATCTTTATCACATGACCAATAAGCGTACCCCCTAAGGAAGTTTGGGCCAAACTTGGAATTTAGTGCTTCTTTTTAGCATTAGTCTCGCACTTATTACATTTCTTCCCCGGATTTTTTGTTCTGAAGTGTGGAGTTGCCAGCATTGATGTAACCTTACATCGGCGCTAAAATCCAGGCATACTATCTTTTCTTTCAAGGCGTTGTCGTATGTACACCTTAGCCCTCAAAGTGGCGGATATTCATCTACATCTTAATTTTCCTGTCTCGGGACGGTTCCTTCTCGAGATGAGGCTTGGACCAACAGAGGATTGCGCATACGAGGTACATACCACATTAGCTGCAAGGTTAGTGATCCAATTAGGCGCGATGTGTTGTGTTACCGCCCGGTCCCATCCCCTTTTCGCCTCAATTTTCAGGGTCGAGGGTCCAGATCTTGAGCCTACCCAAGTGAATGGGGGAAACCTGTCCGTGACATACCGTTACTCTGTGTCGTCCCGGCCTGTATCGTACAGAACGTTTCCGTATATTTGCAGGCTATCCACAAAACTCTTCTTCATACTCCCAATGCCCTCTGCTCCTCCCACATTTTGGCTGTGCTAGCCTACGAGCGTTCCCCTCTTCAATATGTACATAAGGTCCCTACTTAACTAGCTACTCGATGCTCTGTTAAGTAACTTGATAATCTCTTAGCACCCATGTCAGCCCCTCATTCAATAGTCACATGCTCTACTCACAGGCAACCAGAGTTCTCTTTGTTCCCTCAGCTAATGGATCAATGCCCACATGCATGCACATGTGGTTTAGCCCCGTTCCGGTTTATGAACACCTACAGAATCGGAAACACGGGTACAGAGTATATTTCCTTGCAATCCCGGCAGAAGACTAGTTGCCCCAAGATGGTCTGTCAGTTGCGGCATTTATTTCCGTCATATGCTTCTGCGGATAACAGTAGACATGTTACTGTCAATGAATTCAAGTTGGGCTTCGACGTCACGATGGGGTATAGCGCACTCCATTTCTGGACATTTCGCAATCAGATGCGACTGAACTATAGCTTCAATGAAGCCTTTGAGGAGGAGTCTGTTGTTCAGGCTTACTTGGAGCATGTACAGAAGATTCTTTTGGAGGAAGTTGTTGCATGAGAATCGGTTTCAATATACCAGTTGACCATGATAACCCAACAAATTTATCAATTGATTCCGCGATCGTCCATACACTATAGTCTCCGAGTCCCTGTTGTAAGTAAGCCAGCCCGGTCAAATACCGATAACGACTCCGCTTGCGAGACCCTGCTTGCAGGGGGTATGACCACGTCATTGTTTAAAGTAAATTGGTCCCGGTCGTTTTCCTGGCCTCATAGTTTGTTGCACCATAGCCATTATATTGAAGCTAGGCTCCACCAAGTTCATCTTGTATCATTTACAGAGAGCACTTTACGTTTTATTATACCAACACGAGTACTAGTGTACGATCTACCCGCAAAGTCTATCAGAGGTGGGGGCTGTTTTGGTGCCAGATTACTGGGCCAAGTAGCTGTCAATTGATCCTCTAGCCCACCAACATAGACTCTAACCAACGCAACGAACACTCTTTTTTAGTAGCTAATTGCTTGCGTAAAATTTTGAACATTGGTTGCATTGAAGCTGCTTATCTTTTATGCCCCGCGTTCCGGTGATGAGCTTGTTGGATTGCACCCCTGGCTAATCTTTGAATCTTTTCTTGTAAATTTGATAGATCTGATGCCTGGGGAATCTGGCATTCAAATGCTTCAAATTTTCATGCAGTCCTAGGCGTTGTTCCACTTGAAAAATCCGAACTTAATATAGATAGTGATCTCGGTGATGCCAGTAGCTCATAGTCAGCCATCTTTTCAAGAGTTATTGCTAGGTCATAAGGCACAATTCGAGTAAGTTGAAATCCATCCTGGGTTGTTTGTAATTTGAAGGTTTTTTCACGAATCCAACGTAGCGCTGCAAGGATCTCAACCCTGGTAAATTTACTAATACCAGTATATGAGGCTACTAATATAGCCTCATTCTGCTAGTGCTTAAAAGCATGAAAAACACCAACATCAAGTGGCTGCAAAAAGGGCTTGTATGAGGCAATAGAAAGAATAAGATAATATTTTCTTTCTGATAAAAATTAAGCACTTCCCATGTAATATAAGAGCCTCTCCCTTTCTCACGTCGAAGCCCTTGTAGATCTCAGGAAAATACGCGTCGAAGTTTGAGTTACTGCTCAACCGGTACTCTAGCTTATTCATGATATATGCTATGGTCATCTGCCGGCGGCGATCCATAATCACCATAGATCCTCCATAACCTGACCAGAAACAAATGCCATCTTCTTCTGGAATAAGGGGAATTATGCTTTCGAGTGAGACCAAAGATCCAATACGTGCTAAGGCACGTGCATTTGAGAATCCAGCCATAGCTCCATTCTCGGACTTCCTAAAGACGGGTTTATTAGGAATTGTAGGATACACTAAAGATCCTTGAAGAACCCGACCCAGGATGCTAGTAGGATCAAGAGCAGTAAGAGGAACCATTTTATCCAGTGAGAACGGAATAATATCAGCACATCGGGGCCATTCCTCCTCAGGCAGACCAATCTGGAAGTCGGCCCCTAGAGGCGTTGTGATCTCTTCGGCAATGAACTGGCTCAATAATTTTCCTGTAATACGTCGTACAAGTTCGCCTACCAGATGGCCATAAATGGAACCTGTGTATGCGCTCTGGGACCCTGGGACATACCAAGGAGGTTGCTCTGCAAGCCTCGCAGTGGATTTCTCCAGATCTTGAAATTCCTCGGCAAGCTTCAAAGCTGATGTCTCCCTATCTTGCATTTCCTAGGGAGTAAGCTGCCTCTCAACGGTAATAACTCCCGAGGAATGGCTAAGAATATGTGAGACCTTAATGTTCTCTTTACCATTCGCTGCAAATTCAGGCCAATAGGTCGCCACATTCTCATTTATATCCAACAGGCCACGGTTCACGAGGATGAGAGCCAGTAGTTGACCAAACTCCAGTAATTGTGTCTTTGGCCCATGGATTTTGTTCGGTCTGGCTTGCATCTGCATAGCCACCCCAAAGATCCAGGACATTTCTTCTGTCGATGTTGATACAAAGGGAAGCGCCTACTTCATTGCCTTCGGCAAGCCTCTGTTGTAAAAGTCACGCACAGAGTTGAAGACGGGATCACAAGAGCCATGCACTTCAGCCATTGTAGCAGCTGCTTCAGGTATGGAATGTTGATCAAGAGAATCTTTGGAGGAGAGAAGAATAAGGTGAAACCCCAATCAATGTGGGGGAGTGAAGTGAGAACAGTTGATGGATGCAATAGGATCGGGAGTCATGTTGAATCGCAATTTATATTACGGATACATAGTGTACCTACCGGCACGTGACATACCATTACCCTGACCGTCCCATACTGTTTCGTACAGAACTGTACATCTGTGAGCCAGCCGCAATACAATACACACTCCTTCATATTCCCAAGCCCCCACGGATAACCTCTGCCCCTTAGACGTTGTATGTGGTGTGGTGTTGGCAAAACCTGGACAGCGTCACCCATCCGTACCCACCGCAGGAATTGAAACGCATACATTTTCAACAAGCCGGTATGTATGTTCTGTCTTTGACTGACTGAATGAATGACTGACGGCCCGTCTAGTTCTTCATGGGCTGGACTGCAGTCGCGGAGATAGCCGGGACTTGTGGCAGGCGTTACGCTGTTGTATCAGTCCACAGTACATTCAGGGGAGGATGCTGCTGGAAAGGAAGGGATTACTTCTGTGCAGCACTCATTGGGGCTCTCCGGAAAGTCGATAAAGTAGACTGTGCTATAGTATCTAAATAACCAGTCACTAACCGTCTGGATGGCTGCAGACGGAGCTGGAATGGCGCAATTCAAGCATACACCCGCGGGTGCCTCAGGCGTGCATCTGCCCCGCCAGATAACATATACATATATATGTACGTATACATTCATTCCTTGACCGTAGTTCATCTTCAGCCAACATATTCTGCGTTTAAACGTCGGCATCAACATGGCGCCGCATAAGAAACCGTGGATCCTCAATGCATTCGCCATGTTCACCCCAGGCCATTTGTCGGCCGGTATGAGACTCTATGTATGTATGTATGTCTGCATAGTCCTTTCTAATCGCAGCAGGACTGTGGAAACACCCCGACGACCAAGCCGGAGACTTTACCAACCTCGACTACTGGATTGACCTCGCCAAGACGCTGGAAGAAGGCAAATTCCACGGCCTGTTTCTCGCCGACCATCTCGGCGTCTACGATGTGTACAAGGGGCCTGCGAATCGTGATCCGGCGCTTCTTTCGGGCGCCCAGTTTCCCATTGGCGATCCGTTGTACGTGGAAAGTATAGATTTGAAAAAGAGTCTGCTTTCAGAGCTGATAGAAAGGTATACAGCTTGCTGATATCGGCAATGGCATCCGTCACGAAATCACTGAGTTTCGGCGTCACGGCTTCTACCACGTATGAGTTCTCGCCGTATGCTCTGGCCCGCAAGTTCTCGACGCTCGATCATCTCACGCGAGGTCGGATCGGGTGGAATATTGTCACTTCTTTCCTGGACAGTGCAGCCAAGGCGTACGGACTGGACGAGCAGATCCCACATGACGAACGATATGTGCGCGCCGACGAGTACCTAGAGCTGACGTATAAACTCTGGGAGGGAACATGGCAGGATGGAGCGGTGTTAAAGGACCCGGAGATGGGCGTTTATAGTGATCCTGCAAAGGTGCGAGCTATTGAACATGAAGGGTCTCTCTCTCCCTCTTTGTATCTACTAGATGCATGGCAAAAGATGCTCATTATTTTCTAGGAAGTACTTCAAGAGCACTGCTGCAAACCAGCTCCCGCCGTCGAAACAGCGTACTCCCCTTCTTTTCCAAGCTGGTGCATCATCGTTAGTTTGATCTGTTTTGAACTTCTTGTGTCTGACAATGAAGATGTTGACTCCCTTTCTAGGGCTGGGAAAAAGTTTGCCGCCAGCCATAGCGAAGTGATGTTCCTCCCTGGCCTAGAGCCTGAGAAGACAAAAGTCATTGTCGACGACATGAGGTATGCCACTTAATCAGCTTCAAATAGTCCACGCTAATCTCGCGCACCAGAAAACAACTCATCGACATAGGCCGCGCCCCCGACAGCATCAAATTCATCGCAGGTTTCCTGGTCATCGTCGACGAAACCGACGAAAAAGCCGCGGCCAAATACCAACAACACCTCCATCACGCCGATCTCGAGGGCACAGCAACTCTCTTCGGCGGCTGGACAGGGGCTGATCTGTCGCACTACGAGGACGACGAAGACTTCAGCTTCACGACCCTCTCGGGCATTCAATCACTCATCCAAAGCTGGTCGAGGACAATCCCCAACTCCAACGGGCTCAAGTGGACCAAACGCCGGATTTTGCAGGAACTGGCCTTGGGAGGCGTGCATCCCCGAGCGATTGGGTCGGCGAGTACGGTTGCGGATGCGCTTGAGAAGTGGGTGGATGTGGCGGGCGTCGATGGGTTTAATTTCTCGTATACGGTTTCACCGGGCACGTTTAGGGATATGATTACGTATTTGTTTCCGGAGTTGAGGAGGAGAGGCGTTATTTGGGATGATTATGAAGTGCCTGGCGGTGCGGCGAGGGAGAATTATTTCATGGATGGCAAGGGGCCGCGGGTGCGCGAGCATCATCCGGCTAGGAAATATGCGTGGAGTGAGTAGTTAGTTCTTTTTAGATGTAGATGGGACTATCTAAGCTTGACAAGACAGTAAAAGCAGATTCTGCAAATTCATATTCCCATAAGCTATGTAGGTCAACATCAACGAAGAAAGAAGGAAGAAAGAAAAAGAGCAAACATCCCCCCCTATCCCAACGAGCCAAGCCCAGCCCAGCTACAGAACAGACATGACAAACTTTGAAACCTCATCCCACTGTTTACTGCAAACCACGGTAACAGTAAACATGTACTTGGATGCAGACAAACTAACAACCTCCTCAAACACGCCTGCCTGCACGACACCCGCAAAATCAGTCAGAATACGCTCAATAGGGCCTTCCGACCGCTTGCGAAACACGGAAAAGTCAGAATCAGCATAGAGGTTATGCCAGATTATGTCAATATCTGTGTCGCCGTGGACGGTTGGACGGTACAACAGAGGAAAATCGGTGTCTGCAGAGTTAGTCGATTCTGTTTTATGCTCCTTTCCGTCAGTTGAAGCCTTATATAGATATACATATACAGGTCTACAGAATAGGACGACGCACCGCTGGCATCCGCACATCTTTCGGCAGGTCTTGTCGGCGCAGAGGAAGGTTCCCTTGGAGTCGCAGCGGCACTTTGCTGATCCGCCTGGGAGGCATCTGGCCTGGTTGCCGCCATTGCAGTGAATGCGGTATTTTGCAAGCGTGCCGTCTGTTATGTCTGGCTGGTCGTTGCCTGTTGTAGGGTTGGCTAGAGTTGCAAAAGCGCAGGAGCTGAGGATGGTTAGCGCAGTGAGAAACGTGGGTGAGAAATGCATTTTTTATGATTTCGATGATGATGATTTCAATGATGATGGGATCTAATTTTCAAAGCTGGTTAAGAACGTACTTGAGAGACAGACAGATATCGGATGGGTTAGATGGCTCCTTTTAAGTCTGGAGAGGGCGTCGTGCGAGGTTGAGTGAGAAGATGGAGAGCTCCAAAGAAATGAAATCATGTGATGGAAGAGAAGCAAGATGGAACCAAAAGGCAGCAGAGGAAATGCTGTGTCACCTGACTTCAGCCCCGAGGTAGGTTGGACAGCATAAGCTTTCCTTCAGAGGGAATCCGGGGTAAGCACGCTCAAAAGGTAGCATCTCATCCTCTCAGGTGTAAGTATACTAGAGTCAAAGGCCATCTGACTGGAAGTACCTACGTAGTATGCCTGCATGGCAGCTTGTCGGCGACTATACTCCTACTACACTAGAGAGAAAAGTTACCTCCAGCTGAACTTTGGTGTATCACGAATGGCCCAGGAGGTGACGTAGAGGTAGCAGTGTGTGGTTCCGCAAGATGGACAGCAATGAAGTTAGGCATCAGTGAGGCATTTGAGTGAGCTGAATCAATCCTGAGTGTAAATCGATGTAGTATCACTGGGCTGAATGTGCTGACATCTATTCATCCGGCTGAGCATCGAGCTGAGGCTTTAGTCTTGGACAGGCTTGAAGCAGCAAGAGTAAATAAATGGATTGTCAACCCCCCAACCCCATATCTTAATGATAAATCTACTCTAGCCATAGCATAAAGTACAATGTCTGAAACACGCATGCCTCTCTTCTTGAAATAAGACGAGAACCTTCAACGCCCTGGATATCATGTTAAAACGGGATAAAAAGCGCCAATTTCGTGCCGAGGGAAAAGAAAAAAGATCGTCAGAGAAAACGAATAAAGGAATAACAATAAAAATACATAATCGAATAGATTGAACCACTGATTTCACTTTTTGGCCGTTGCCCATTCGACAACCTCAAGGGCAGTCATGACTAGTATCAGGGTCGATGGCAGGATCCTTCATGCAGATCATTAGTACATCAGTCCAGTCAAATCACTTGCACAAAACTCACCAGACTACATAGCTCTGGAACAGAAGCTTGGACATGGCACCCATAAAAACATTGTTGATTTGGCAAATCTGCGCTAGTTGGAGAGCGGACGGTGCCCCCGTGAGCAGGAAGCACACAATAATAAAGATCGGGTCGTCGAGTATACTGATAGGTGCATATTTAGCCAACAAGGCCAGAAGTGGTGCCATGATCAACGTCGGGAGTAGCATTCTAGCAATCAAACACGCTATAATCAGGTTACGCTCCTCTTTTGGATCTTCTGTCTCGTCCTCGAGGGACTCCTTGGAAAGCGTATTCCGAGCTAGATTGGCCCCAAGAACCACTAGAATCAAAGGCACCGCGACCTGTCCATTCTGGTCAATTGCCCGCGTGATAGAGTTGCGCACAAAAGTGCCCTCATCAAAGAAGAGGCGCTGCAAACTCGGAATTGACGCGACGACAATCGCGATAAGCATAGCCCACAACGGCGGGTTCATGAAACTCCAGGCTCCGCGGAGGAATCGACCCAGCCAGGCAGTAAATACAGTCAGGAACTTTTGGACTGAGGAAGGAAGCGAATTGAAGATTTGGTTTCTCTTAGCGTTCATGAATTTGACTGCACGAGCATATGACTTGCTTGCCGAGCGATTCCATCGATAGACGAGTCCCTTGATCCCAGAAGCTGGTGGCGTCGGAGATCGACGCACCTCTACATCCGGAAATGTCAAGATGTCGCCAGTGGAACTTTGCCGCGGTAGGAATGGTCCATTCGGAGGTGGACCAATGACCGGTAGCGAACGGTCTTCATCCGAGATATCACCATCACTATCGGCAAATACGTCTCTTTGCGGGGGCGAGTGTTCGGAGCTGTGATGAGGCAGTTTGGTGTAGGATAGATTGCGGTCTGTAATTGGGGTCTGAGTGCCAGATTCAAAACTGACCGAATTCGACGTCGTCTGAACTATATCATGTTCCTGCTCCCCTAGTCTCGTGCGAATCAAGAGTTCATCCGGATCCGTCTGCTCGGGGTTATCCAGGTAATGCTCTTGTCCATGCTCAATTGAGCGGATATCCGCCTCTTCAAGATAGCGCTCCTTGGGCGCCAGTAAGACATGATATCCCCAACTCCATCGGACGAGTTGACCCAGTTGCTGAAAGATGAGCAAGTACAGAATTCCGCGCGCAGCGACTTCGTCATCATTGTCATTTGGAACGCGATCCCAGTGCAGGCCGCTCAGGGTTTGGGATAAGGAAACGACGAGGGAAATAGGCAACGAGTTCGAGTTGCCGAAAACCTGATTATCGTTAGAATGAACCCCCTCCCAAAAATCAGCCAGAAACGGAAAAACATACTGCCATGGCGGTTACAAAGTTGGATTGCCGCTTCTTGAAGCGGAATACCCGCGAAATAGCAGAGGAACATAGATAGGATACTGCAGTCATCACGACGAAGATAGCAGGAATAATGGCGAGGTCGGTGAATTTCTCGGCGGTTAGCTGGGACGCCAACTTGGTAAAGACTACACACGTATGTTAAAAGGGAATGAAGGCTGCGTGCCGTCAAAACAGATGCGTACCCAAACATGGGGTGAAGAGAGTCACATTCAGGTTTGCGACGAGCTTCTGGGCGTCGGCATCAAACATGCCGTGTCTGGCGGCGATGTATCCCGGCAGACTGACGCAGATGACCTCGAGCACGGCCTCGAAGACGAGCAAGACGAGATGCGAGAAGCTCGGATGGCTGGTGTGCGCGGCGGCAGCACCGGTGACGAGCTGGGGGGCGCCATCACTGGATAGATAACGAGGTTCGATGGCGGCGCGAAAGGACGTGGGCGACGTGAAGATGGCCATGCCCGCAGTCGACCGGATAGCGACGGTCCTCAGGCCAGCAGAGTTGATAGTTGTTGGATAGATAGATGATGAGACTATAGATCATGCACGAAGAGAGAGATGAGGCAAAGCCGCCGGTTTGGTTTCTGCCTGCGATTTTAGGTATCGCTGACGTGATCGTGCCATTGCCGCCGCTGATTGGCCCGAGCTGGCGCCCACGATAAGCTTCGTGGCAGCCAATCACGGGCCGGCTCTTCGTGTGCCTCAGGCACCTGTCATACGATGCGTACACCGCGTAGTTGGTTTGTTAACTCGATAAGCTCACTACATAACGTCACCGATCTACATGTGCTTTTTTTTATATACTCCTAGCATCAAAATACGCCGCCGTCTGGTAGGCGGGGTGGCGTGCCCGCGAATCAGCACCGCCATACTTTGTGCGCACAATTTGAAGTTCGACATGCAGTTATCCTCCGAAATGCTTCTTACAGTGGATAACATGCAACCTAACTCTGCAGAGGCGAATGAAGGAAGCGCGCAGTGGAGCTGGCGCGGCCAATCACAGCTCCATCCCTTCCGCCCTCCTGTGGTCATTGTGCATGATGCTTCCATATCTTCATGACTTCACTGGAGTGACTGACGAGTCCACGTAATCGGTGCGGACGAGGAAGTCATGATGATCCTGCCTGTGGCGGAGGATCATCATGAGTATATGAAGACACAGGAAGTCAGAAAGCCCAACCGCGAGGAAGCGGAAATGGGTTCGACCGAGAACGCCCCAATTCATAGGCCACCACGGTAGCTATAGCAAATGTATTACAGCTCCCTTGTAGCACATTAAATTTCGCGATCCTTGATTCTCCCATATTGGCAAAATTCAAAACCAGTTCCCGCATGGTATCGTGTTGCTGTTGAACATCTTCCACGTCATGTCGTGCTTGAGAGCGTTTGACTTTTTTTAGGCTTGAGCAAGGGACGCGAGCTCGTATCTGATAAGGAAAGACGAGGTCGTCCCAAGGTCCCAAGGGGCCCCCTCCCCCCGCCAATTTAGCATCAAATGATTCTCTGCCCCGAACTTCTCCCATCCGCTACCATTCTCTCTGCATACAGAGGGCATATAAGCATATAAGCCGAATTTGCGCAGCGTGGAATACGTATCCGCGGATAAAACGATAAAACGACACTTGACCACGGAACGTTGGCAGGTGGCTCCCGCGCAGACATTTTGCGCCTTCTCCAATCCCCAGACGGCGCTGCTCCTTCCTCCGGTCGGCACGTTGCCCCCCCGCGACTTCCTCTTGCCCTGCATTGCCTCCCTCCTCCTCCTCCTCCTCCTTCCCGACGGCCATTCTCTCTCTCTCTCTCTCTCTCTCTCTCTCTCTCTCTATCGCTTCGTCTCTGTTGTGCTTTTCAACGTTGTCTTCTTTCTTTGCGGCGTGGTCGTTTCGTTTCATCAACTGCCCGCGCCTGCTCTCGCTTCGCATTCGTTATTCTCTCGCGGCGTTGACAATACGACTGGTTTGCCTTTGCTGGTTATCTACATTTCTGCAGCGCTCTCCTCGTTTACCCCGCGCGTTGCCTTGGTATTCCTCCCTGGCGCGCCAGGATTATCCAGCGCCAGCTTGTATGTATCATTTCTAGTACATCGAGTGAAACCCCGCTTCCGACGATTTCGAATTCGGCCTTTTTTTTCCCTTTCCTTTCTCGCACGAGCAGCAGCAGCAGCATTCACTTCCATCACATTCCCGTTCCTTGATAGATTTATCTTGCGACGTGTACGCGACGGAAGAAATTGCATTTTGTGACTCCTTGTGATTGGCAACCACCCCGCTGACGCTTCTCTTGGCTGCCGCGAGGCACCGAGGATTCGGCCGCTTGATAAGACGTTGAACTCCTCCGTTTAGCGGCGTTTATTCTCACTATGGACGATAATCAAGAGATGCCAGTAGTCGAGGATAGACCGGTCTCTCCCACCGCTCCAAGATCACCAGGAACGCCAGTGCCTTCGAATCGACCGGGCTCCAAGGGAACAATGACCGAGTCTTCGACCCCTCTCGGCCAACTTAATGCTGCTCGACGAGGTGGAGTACCGCCACCACGCCCGATGGCCTCCTTGGGTGGACAGTCGGGAGGGTTGAATCAGGATATTATGGCTCGCATGAAAGCATTCTCTTTATCGAGACAAGGGGCTCCTCCTGGTCTCGTGCACGCTGCTTCAACAGGCGGTATACCTTCAACGCCAGGAACACCCGCTTCTGCGGGCATTAAAAGCCCAGCGAATGGCTCCCCGCATGCTGTGCCGCCCGGTACTATCAATGGAGGGCTGGCAGGGCGGTCACCCCATGGGGGACGACCACAAGCGCCAAACTGGTCATCTTCCCCCAGTATTCCGTCAACAAGCCCGAAGCCAGGTGGATTGGCTGCCAAACGAATGAAGCCTGGCTTGAAGCTCTCCGATGCCACTGGCCCGCCGCCCACTGGACTCTCTCCTCCTGGAGGAAACAAAGCCGTTCAGGACGGTGATGCGCCGACTGACTCTGTCTTTAGCAAATACTCAGAGTTCCTCGATACCAAGGCCGGCACACTCAAGTTCAAGAACAAGGCTATTATTCATGGAAACGGCATAGAATTTTCATCTGGACAGACCTTCAATATATCTTTGGACGAAGTGGATCGGCTGGATGAGCTTGGAAAAGGCAACTACGGCACAGTGTACAAAGTGCGACATAGCCGGCCTCATCTACGCAAACCAGGACTCGGTCTGTCTGGTATTGTGAGTCGACCAGAAGATCCCATATCGCCCGATTCGAAACCTCAGGATAATCTCACAGGAGCTGTCATGGCTATGAAGGAAATACGACTGGAGTTGGATGAGAAGAAATTAACGCAAATCATAATGGAGCTGGATATTCTCCATAGATGCATATCGCCTTTTATCATTGACTTCTATGGTGCCTTCTTCCAGGAAGGCGCAGTCTATATGTGTGTAGAGTATATGGATGGAGGATCGGTGGATCAATTATACGAAGGCGGCATTCCCGAAGACGTTTTGCGAAAAGTGGCACTATCTACTATAATGGGTTTGAAGAGTTTGAAGGATGATCACAACATCATCCATCGTGATGTGAAACCAACCAATATACTGGCCAACAGTAGGGGACAGATTAAAATCTGCGATTTTGGTGTGAGCGGAAATCTCGTCGCGAGTATTGCCAAGACCAACATCGGATGCCAAAGCTACATGGCACCGGAGCGCATAGCTGGTGGAGGCATGCAGTCTTCCGGAGCTACTGGTGGGACATACAGCGTGCAAAGCGACGTTTGGAGCCTGGGACTGTCGGTGATTGAGTGTGCAAAGGGAAGATATCCATATCCGCCCGAGACATACACCAACATTTTCAGTCAATTACATGTAAGGCCAGCACCTATTACTATATATATTTCGGCTTACTGACTACTTTTTCATTGACGCAGGAGATTGTGCACGGTGAACCACCAACCATGCCTGACGACTTTTCAGACAATGCCCACGCATTTGTTCGTGCTTGTTTAGACAAGAACCCTAACAATCGTCCCAGCTATGCGCAACTACTTCGACATCCTTGGCTCTCCCCATTAATGGAGCCGCCCACGGTCAACGAGGACACGCAAAGCCTATCATACGACCAGTCCGCGCAACCGTCGCCCCAGCCTTCGCCCAATGAAACCGCAGACAGCGAGGTGGCTGCCTGGGTTTCTGGTGCATTAGAACGTCTCCAGCATGCCACCAAGGGGTCTCATCAAAAACCAGCGTTGCATGCGGTAGCACTGGATGCTGTTGGTGGGAGTCCACTTCTCGAGAATGGGCCAACGACAATCCCCCCAACGGTGTGATGACCTTCACTCTACATATTTGCTAGGTTTCGCTACTGGCGATAATGTTTCTCTTGCTCGCCATATTTGGGACGTATGTATACGCTAGTCGTGAGAGAAAAGCAGGTGCGAGAGGTTTCCTGTGTCTGATGAATGGCGATACTTTTTCTTTTCTATTTGGAACTGTTCAGAGATTCTGGCGTGTTTGGCTAGCATTTACATTATCATGTTGTTTGCAATATCTCCCACCCGTAAAACCGCTCTTCTTACCCGGTCCTGTTACATATACTCCTGGTTCAGTTTGTCGGGACGCTTGACGATAAAGCCCGATTTTACCATTGGTCATGGCCTATGTACATACCATCAGCATCATAGAAAGAACATGCAGTTCTATCACTTTGTTCACGGATGTAAGAATTCAATCATTCTAGACTTGTTAGATGTTCGGTGGAGCGTGTCTAGAATTTCCTAATTAAGTAATTCGGACTTGTCAATGGATCCCTAGGCCTAGGTAAGTACTAAGAATATCCAAACACAGACTGCGCACTCAACTCTCTATACCTATTCAGATTATCGGATAATATTACTCACCCAGCTATGAGAACCCAGAGCGTATTTATAAATAGACTACTTTCACAAACAATAACCTAACGTTACCTAAGTTAGTCTAAATCAACCTATCCCGTAGGTTATGTATGCTTGTTGTGAAACATAAAGAATAGGCTAGGAAGATTAGTTCAAAGACAAGATGGAAAAAAAAATCTGTCTGTCGGACAAAAGAAATCTAAGCTTGTTCTTCTTTGTGCCTTGGGTAGGTTGAGACGAGAGTGCTTTGTATACCTAGGACCTAGGTATATGGAGACAAACAATTCTGCTCGGCATTTTATACTTTGTACAGGTCTTTATACTCATCGACTGGGCTTGGATAAGCCTTTCTATCTTTAGCGCATGTGGCCTTGCTGGCTTGATGGACAGAGTCAGGCCTGAGGATTTATCACCGAGCATCTAAGGGGTGATGAAAGAAAGGCTAGCAGTACTTTGAAGAAAAGCGAAAGGTCTATTTTCGGTACCTAACTAGGTAACAGCAGTAAGCTATAAACCAGTGGTGTAGATATATTTGAGCGAGAGACTGTTGTCTTGTAAATGGCGCTCGAGGCGTGGTATATACAGACATAATGAAGTTACAGTACGCGGGGATTTTTGCCCTCGTCGTCCCCTGGACACAGGCATGGATTCTGGAGGATTCGTGCGAAGGTAAGCTCTACCTGAGTAACCTTTCTACACAGATAGTGTATCAGTCCGGCTCATAAGGGAACTAGATTACATCGGCCCTGTAACCGAGTCCATGGAAAAGGCCTTCAAATGGATGCAAGCAGCCCTCGACACGCTCAACAACCTCGCCGTAGGCGGCGACCCGGACGATCCCATGTACGCGGCACGCCTCGACCTATTCGAATACATGTTTGCCGCGGGCTTCGACGACACGTATCCCATGAAGCGCGTAGTCGACTCACAATCGTACATCTTCAAGACTATCGAAGATGTGTATCTGCAGGCCCTGGGGTTCAACAAGGATGGCGACTATCTGCCTAGTAGCATGCCGGAGTGGCCTGCGCGGCTGCCTAACGACGACTTTATTGCGTACTGCAACTATGACCGGCTGGTTGTGGGTGAGCGGTGCGATGGCACGGTGGATGCTGAGATGGCGTGTGATTTGGACACGAATTCGGATATGGTTTATGAGCGCGATGAGGAGTTGTGTATGTATCCGGAGAAACGGACGGCGGACGATGGGGATGGGATTACATATGTAAGCTTCTTTTTTTTTTATTATTTGCCTCTCGTGTTAGTCTAAAACACGCTAATGGCTTGCTTCTGACCAGGCTTGGAGTATTTCCAATGTCAAAACCAATCAGATTGGACAGCTGCAGATGTGCGATTGGATCTTGCACGAGGAGTACTCGTTGAAATACGACCTGGTGCGTCCGTTATTCCAAACCCAATCAATCGGAACACCTCGCTTATGACCTGTCTAATAGGAAGATGTTTTCAGCGAGCTGGCCATCCTGTCTAGAGATCCAGATTCGGTCAGGCAGCTCGTCCAAAATGACGCCAAGGGCTTCAAAGACATCGAGCTTATAGGCCTGTTTGCAGAAGGTACAATTCTACATGAACTAACTCATCTTATCAGAAGACGGCCAACTATTGATATTGAGGATAACTACTCGTATGGTACGTATATATAACTTCCACCCGGAGAGGTAAGGAATGGAGGCTTACTTGCGCGCGCCAGGCTGGGAGAATTGTCTGAGGTACTCGCCCTACGGTAGCGATCCAGCATGGAATATCTATGATGCCGCACCGGAACTAAATGCAGACAACTATGTTTATTTTGCCATAGGTAGGTGTTTCTTTTCGCTAAATAAAAATGGGCCTATAGTTGATTGATATCATGGGCAGGCTCTGCTCTGATTTTAGCCGAGGCTCCCCAGCGTGTCAACGCGGATGGTACAATATCAATCATAAACATATCTGGCAAGCACCGACGTGAGGAGATGCAAGATAGCGCTCAGCCATTGTCAGTGTCTACGCCGGGGGGTGATCTCCAGTCATCTTATAGCCTGCATGCATCTCCGTCTCCATCCCCATCTCCCTCGGAGAGGATACAGCCTGCAAGCAGTTTACGCTCCTCAAGCACTACTCCATTGGCTCTGAATTCAGAGTCTTCTTCGAGTTCGGACCATCCTACCCCAACAAGACATACGACGGGCTTGTCAAGTCTTAAGAATACAAAGCCGAGTATTGTTCCATCTATAACGCATGTTTCTCCATTGCATTCACCTGCAAGACCAACTCAATCTTCAGATAGAGGAACTTCTATATCGTCGCCGGAGAAAGCTGCGTCTACGACTAATTATACTCCATCAGCGCACCTATCGCTTGCACGCCCAACCTATACTTCTGACAGAAGGGGTTCTAGCTCCTCGGAACAAGTTGTGTCTCCAACCAAGGATGTTCCATCACATTCATCGCCAGCAAGGCCAACCAAAGGGGGTTTAACAGTTACAACTCCCTCGCCGGAGCATGCTCCGTCTACATCCCATTCTTCGTCGTCACATTCATCTCCAGAAAAGCCAACAAAAGGACTTTCTACTCCCTCGCCGGACCATGCTACCTCTGCTTCCAGTGACATGTCTACTACCATTACATCATCATCATCATCCGCTACTCCCTCAATCACGGTATCTATTTTTCCCCTCTCACACTAATATGGCAGAGAAGATGGCTGGCTAATCGAAAATTCTCTAGGTGATTACTGTATCAAGCTCCGGAGAGGTTTCCAGCGTCACATATACTTCTACGTACACCAGCTCCGGAAGTATCGGTCCCACGCCGGCATGGATGTGTGTCGGCCCTCTCTGCGACTCTGGCGGTGGGTGTCTCATTCCCATCTTTTGTGCTGCGAGAGGGGGTGCTGGAGCTATTGGAGGCATTGGATCAAGCTGGGGTCTGTGCTGTGGTTGGGAACCCAGCGTTTCCTACGGTAATAGTCCTGGCGGTCCTCCTGCACCAGGGCTGCAAGATCATGGAAGTAGTCTGGGAGACGCGGGTGGTAGTAATAAAGATAATGGTAATGATAATGAGCCGGACGATTCAAAGACGTCCAAAACACATACATCAACGACGACCTCACGGCCAACTTCAACTACGTCCAGCAAGCCTACTTCAACTACCACTAGCAAGTCTTCTTCGACTTCAGCCAGACCCAGCCGGCAGACTTCAACCACTTCGGGTCATTCTACATCCAACGAGCATAGTCAAAGCTCATGCACGCAAACTTCGACGGCGAGTTCGTGTGGTGTGACGGTCCTAAAGTTTACGCCAGCCGGTGCAAAGTCCGCTACTACATCGACATTTACCGTACGTATACCAATCCCTGACCTATACCTAGATATATACTGACTTGACGGCTCCTGACCAGCAAAACTGCGTAACATCTCAAGGCTGCCAAGTCAGCGAAACAGCATCAACATCGACTTCAACAGACAACACCGACGTATTCACACCTACGCTCAACGCACCAAATGGCCGCGGTACGGCTGCGTGGCAAAGCGCATATTCGGTGTATTCCATCCTCGAGGTGAAATATGGCCACTTACCGTCTAGCTCGGGCGCAGTAAGAGTAAATCCTGCTTCTGCTGCTTCTTCTTCGACTGCAAAGCTGCGCGGCACGGTGTCTGCGCACAAACCTGCTTTTGTGCCGCCCACGCACAAACCAGTGGCATTCACGCCGTCAAAGACAACAACAACAAGTGAGCGGTCGACCAAGACCTCAGCGGCGACGACAACGGCAACAAAGTCGGAGGACAAAAATAGTCCGCACATCACCTCCTGCGACATTGCGACCCGTGGGGCCGCGCCTCGCACGGCGTTTTGTGCCTGCAATGGCGGCGTGGAAGCGAGTATTGGCAGCTTCGTTGGCTCCAACAAGTTGACAACATACACCTGCAAAGCCGGCACATCGACTATAACGGCTGCCACCACTGCGCCGCCTACTAATGTGCCAGGAAAGGGCGGGCTACCGGGCTGTTCAGCCGTCAAAGCCGAGCCGGGGACATCGGCGTATTGCGACTGTGATGGCGTAACGGCGCCTCCTCTCAAGCCTACAAAGTCCAATGCCATCAACTGCGACTACACCATTCAACCTACCAAGGGCTACAACCCGGCGGAACCAAAGACAAAAACAACAACGCATAATACGCACCCGCCGGTGCTCCCGTATGCCTCGGGGAAGTGCAACGTGCACGTCCTGCAGGGCCTGGGACAGCAACTGAGCGACCCGGTGATGTACCTCGTAGCCAACATCACGGACGCCCACGGCTCCCTGATAGCGCACAACAAGAGCAAGCTAGACTGGGCGCAAACGCTCACTGCAGAGGGGGAGCTCTCAGCGGCGCTGTCGGTGACGCCGCTGTCGGGCAACAAGGACTCCAGCTTCTGCGGCGTGTCGTGTGTGCGGTATATCTGCTCGCATAGGCTGTGCCAGCAGGGCGCGATCGAGTTCAAGTACAAGTCTCAGGCGTGGAATTCCACGTCGTCGCAGTGCTCGGTGGGCGCTTGGGATAATGGCGACTTTGCGGACGTGATGGGCGAGCTGGTCTTTGGCGATGACTTTGTGCCGAACCGCCAGATGGACTGCAAATTTGACTGTCCGGGATAGTGTTTCTTGTATTCTAGGATTCCATTCTCTTGACTTGGTAGTGGTAGTGGTGTGGAATATGAAGGAATCGCTTAGTAATCGGCCGAACGATGCCTCAACGCTCAGGCTCACGCAAGAACCCCTCCGAGTGGACGCATCCAGCCGGTTTTCTTTCTCTGTATATAAATCCGCATCAATGCTCGCCCGCTTTGCCCTTCGCAATCCGTCGCGCGCGTTCAGCAACAGGCAGTTTGTTACAGCGGTCGCTCTGGATTCTTTTTCCTCTCCATTGCCCACCACTACTGGCCCTCGCCCTCGCCGTCCCGCGCAGGCTTCGTCCACGGTACTCCCGCGTCTCGCCTCGCTGTCGAAACAACTCTCGCCGCAGCACGCAGCATTCTCCACCGCCACCATGCCAGACATTGAGACCAAGACGTACGATTATATTGTGATTGGAGGCGGCAGCGGAGGCAGTGGCAGCGCCCGGCGAGCTGCCGGCTGGTATGGCGCAAAGACGCTGATTGTCGAGAGCGGCCGGTCGGGCGGTACGTGTGTCAATGTCGGGTATGTATGACAATATATATATATTCGCTATGCATTGTGGTATGGTTGCTCATTAGTGCATAGATGCGTGCCCAAGAAAATGACCTGGAACTTCGCCTCGGTCAACGAGAACCTCCACGCCGCTCGTCACTACGGCTACGACGTCCCCAGCGACGTCAAGCTAGACTACGGCCATTTCAAGCGCATTCGCGACGCCAGCATCAAACGCCTCAACGGCGCCTACGAGAACAACTGGGGTAAGGAAGGCATTGATCTGGTCCACGGACGCGCACGCTTCGTCGAACGCCACACCATCGAAGTTACTACGTCGGACGGCGCCAAGACTAGATATACGGCGAAACACATCTTGATTGCCGCGGGCGGACACCCGATTGTGCCCAATGTGCCGGGCGCCCAGCATGGGATTACGAGTGATGGGTTTTTTGAGATTGAGGAGCTGCCTAAGAAATGGGCGGTTGTGGGCGCTGGCTATATTGCTGTGGAATTGGCGGGCGTGCTCGCAGCAGTCGGCGTGGAAACGCACATGTTTATCCGTGGAGAGACGTTTCTGCGCAAGTTTGACGAGATGATTCAAGAGACCATGACCGCGCGTTATGAGGCGGTTGGTATCAAGGTGCACAAGCAGCACAAGGGTTTCAAGGAAGTCCAGTTGCTCCAGGATGGAAAGGGCGCCGACAAGCTTCTGAAGTTGGTCGGCGTGGAGGGCGATGAATACGAGTTTAATGAGGTGCTCTGGGCGGTTGGACGGGCTCCTGAGGTCGAGACTCTGGGGTTGGATGTTGCGGGAGTCAAACAGGCGCACAGCGGACACGTCGTGGTGGACGAGTTCCAGAACACGAATGTCGAGGGTATCTACGCGTTGGGCGATGTGACGGGACAGGCCGAGCTGACGCCAGGTGATTTTCCTTTCTCTCTCTCTCTCTCTCTTTTTTCTCTGCTTCACAGAACTAACTCGTACACAGTGGCTATTGCTGCCGGCCGCCAACTGGGCAGCCGTCTCTTCGGGCCGCCCGAACTCAAGTCGGCCAAACTGTCGTACGAAAACATTCCCACGGTGGTCTTCTCGCACCCGGAAGTCGGCACGATCGGGCTCACAGAGTCGCAGGCACGCGAGCGCTTCGGCGACGACAAGATCAAGGTGTACAAGACGCGCTTCACGGCCATGTTCTACGACCCGTTCCCGCAGGACGAGAAGAAGCAGAACCCGACGCAGATGAAGATTATCTGCGCGGGGCCGGAGGAGAAGGTGGTCGGGCTGCACATCCTGGGGCTGGGCGTGGGCGAGATGCTGCAGGGCTTCGGGGTGGCCATCAAGATGGGCGCGACCAAGCAGGACTTTGACAGCTGCGTGGCCATCCACCCGACGAGCGCGGAAGAGCTGGTCACCATGCGCTGATGGTAATCAATAGTCCGGCCGGCCGCAGACCAGCCGAGGCAGTCGATAGTCTTATCTATAAATATTATAGCCCATATACTAATATAACGGTAGTTACCAAGCATATACTGTAATCATTAATGCGTAGATTAGGGCTTCGGCACGTCGAGCGCTGGGCCGAGCGCGCGCCGGCAACGCGCTGCGAAGCCGAACTGCTTCAGTTGAGGTTGTCTGTCTGTCTGTCTGTCTGTCTGTATGTATGTACATAGTATACATACATTCGTCGTTCAATGTGTTCTTGCGAGATACGATCTGACGACCCGTCCATGCCTCTATCCAGTCATGTATTCCCTCGCCTTGCGCACTACGTATACATGTATACATATATTTTGCTAGCCGCTAGTAAGCTTATCAGCCAACCCCCACAATTAGCTCTCTCCACTGATAACCAACACCAACTTTGGTTCGCTGATAGGAATGCAGTTTGCCTAGGGGAAGTCGAGCTGGTCGTTCCTCTTAACCTTGCGAGCTGTCCTTTTCCGATCCCTGCTTCTGCCATTTCGTATCGAGCGATGGTAGATAGAGCGCCTGGCTGCGATCTGTGGATGCCGGCCATCACTATCTAACTATCTCCCTGCGCGAACTCTGATTAATACTGTGCTGTATACATATACAAGGGCTGTTGAGGCGCCGATATATATACACGCGCATACACAACATCTCGCAATGGCAGACCACCAGGAGCAATCCTCTTATCCGCCCCCCGACGACCAAAAGATGAGCGAGATGAAGCAGCAGCCCGTCGACGAAGACGGCGAGTTGAGCGTGCAGTCCGGCTCCGACCTGGCCAATGCCCAGCTCGATCCGGCCAAGGAGAGGAAGCTGCTGCTCAAGCTGGACGTCAACTTTGTGCCGATTATCATGTTTGCCTACCTGACGTGCTTTTTGGACCGCGGGAACATCGGTTTGTTTTTGCTGCACTCGTCTTCTGATCATTCGAACGAGCACTGATGAAATGCAGGAAATGTCAAGGTCGCTGGCATGCCCGAGGACATTGGTGCTTCCACCGAGCAGTGGTCGACCGCCGTGTCCATCTTCTACGCAACCTATGTCACCTTTGAGACGCCGCTGGCTATGCTGATGAAGAAGGTCACGCCGCGGCTCATGCTCAGTGTCATCTGCGTCGTGTGGTCTCTGACCACCATCTTCACGGGCTTTGTCAACAGCGTCGGCGGCTTGTATGCCAGTCGTCTGGTGCTCGGTGCCTGCGAGGCGGGTCTGTTCCCCTGCTTGAACCTGTACATTTCCATGGTGTACCGCCGCGAAGAACAGGCCAAGAGGGTGTCGTATCTCATGAGCTGTGCGGCGCTGTCCGGTGCGGTGGGTGGATTGTTGGCTTATGGCTTGCTGCAGATGGACGGCGTGGCAGGTAAAGCTGGATGGAGGTAAGAGTCCACCTACTTTTTTGACCCCCTGTTGTGCGAGAAAAATTGACTGTGCTAACTGCCACCACGCACAGATGGGTGTACATCATTGAAGGATTGTTCAGTATTGTTATTGCGGTATGGATCTGGTTCGGCCTGCCGACTGACCCAGCCACTGCATACTTCCTCAACGACGAGGAGAAGTGGATGATGCAAGTGCGCAGGGAGCAGTCGAGGCGTTATCTGGGCCCAGACAAGTTCGACTGGAAAGAATTCCGGATTGAAATGCGCGATCCGAAGCTCTACCTCAGGTACGTTTTTTTCTCTCTTTCCACTACACGGGCAACCTTTTTACTTTGTACTACACGTTCAAGGAAACTAACACTCTTCAGTGCCGCCATTCAATTCTGCCAGGATATCATGCTCTACGGCTTCAGCACCTTCTTGCCCGCCATCCTCCGCAGCATGGGATACAATACCCTCCAGAGCAACGCCCTGACAGTGCCCGTCTATATCTGGGGAGTGATCAGCTTCACAGCCCTCGCCTGGTGGGCCGACCGCATCACGCGCTTTGCGCCCTTCCTAATCGGCGCCAACATCATCTCCATCATTGGATACATCCTCCTCCTTGCCGTCAAGACCAACGAAGCAGTGCGCTACTTTGCCACTTATCTCTGCGTCGTGGGATGCTATCTGGGCCCCGGTATCAATCTGGCCTGGCTCAATGTCAATGTTGCGCCGCATCACCGTCGCTCCACCGCTGTTGGCGTCCAGCAGTCGATTGCCAACACAGCCGGTATTGTGGCCGGTCAGGTGTACCGTTCCTCGCCGTATGTGCTGGGTAATGCCTTTTCGCTGGGCGCCGTGTGTCTTTCTCAGCTACTGGTTTTGACCAAGACTTTGTATCTCAAGAGACAGATTACTGTCAAGGAGCGTATTGCCGAGGGCGAAGAGGATAAGCGAAAGGTGACCCATGGCGATCGCGCTGTGGACTATAAATATTTCTACTAACTTGGTTGACTACTCACTTTGTCTCGTTGAACTGGTCGTGTACGAAGATTGCCCTTTCCGTATATATATATATATATTATGCCTAGGTTGTTTTCATGCAATATACCTAACTACCTAGGTAGGTAAATATTATATAATGCTGCTCAAATATTATACATAGCTTGCACTCGGTTCGATATCAACTGCAAAAATTCTAAGATAATCATCTAATGGACTGCTATGCTACCTTCTCAACGATTTGATCTAGAAATAGCCAATTCCCCAGTCCCTCGAAAGCGTTCTATACACAAGCACACGAGTGGCGCTTCGAAACTCATCTGTCAATCCAAGCTTGAGAAACACAAATGCGCAGATGGTCCCATCCCTCATCAGGCCACCATCGCTCAACACGCCAGGCTCGCCACCGAGCAATGCACTGTGTTTGAAGTACCCTCTTAACCCTATCCCACCAGTACATCAAGAAACGCGCGCGGCAGGTCAGTACACAGGAAATAATCCGCGATCAGCACGATTTTACCGCGGAGATCAGGAGGATGTTGTGCTGTATATCAGTGATGTTGTTGTTCTTGTTGATGTGGTTGTGAGAATGCATCATTTGCAAAAAGATGAGGAATGCGTCGGGATCCCACGAGTTTTCCCATAGATCGAGCTGCAGGCCGCCATAGTGCTGGAAATACGTCCCATTCATACCAGAAACTGGTGAATAGATGCTCGAAGTAGGGAGAAAATTGGCACAGAGACTGTCGTTGGACGTTGTATGAGACTGGTTTTGTGGACTGGTCGTTGCCTGACTTATTGTCTGGTGATAGGTAAAGGGCTTTTTTTTTTTTTGTGAACGAGCTATATTCTCAAATCCTACGGAAACTTTAAGCAGTACAAAGCCATTAGGAAGAAAGAAATAAAGTTCAATCATGCATGCAAAGGTCCATATCCTTCAACAAATCGCTCGCCAACACATCAATACCGCCTGTCCTCTCATCATCAATCCCAAAAGCCAAGAAAATCACATCATCACTATACCCATGATACTTCTGACCATGACTCTTCCAATTCATCGAGGTCAGATAGACCATCATTTCATGACTCCGACCATGAATCCACAATGGCTTCCTAGAGACACCATGGATCTGGAAAGGCGACACACGGCGAAAGAGCATAGCATACGGCTCATAGGTACTCAACAGACCACGATGCACCTTCTTGTGGAATATGACAAGAACAAAGGTATTCGAGTCATTTGGCTCGCAGCCCAACTCGGACCGTTGGCACAAGGTTATTGACAGCGAGTTTGTAGCCTGATGGATAAACTCGTTGCCTACATCCAGCATCTTGGGCATGTATTTGAGCAGACATTTGTTATCGTCTGGCGCTGATAACACTGCAAGGTCAACAGCGCCCACCGATCCATCTACATTGATTTGGGCGATTGAACGACGCGGGGAAATGTCGTAATGAACATACGGCTGTTCATTAGCATCCCAGAAGATAAACCAATTCTTCTCGATTTCAGCGTAGGGAGAAGAAGCCTGTCTCTGCAGTTCAGTGGGCGTGTGAAAGATTCTGCCGCCGCCGCTGCTCAGGAGATTGCTGGTATCCCACCAGTCCACGAGCGTTCGGAAATCGACGACCCATTGTCCGAAGCAGGTATACTGCGAATTAGAACCGTATATTATGTAAGGCGAAGAAGGACCGTAGAAAACACGGGCATCGCGAGGCCCAATGTTCAACGTCAGGGGCGCCCATTCATTTTTGCATCGCTCTCCGGACCTTGTGGCAGCGATAGGGAGGATGAGAGGGCTGGTTTCACATGCAAGTACCCCGTCCATCCGGTACGTGGCAGCACAGGCTAATTCTGCGTGGAATACCTGATCTAAAGGGTGGCTGTTTCTTTTCTGTGCAACGATGATCCATTTGTCGTTTGATTGCGGGTGGGGGATTATGTTCGGGTTTATGGCTTCCTGTATACCAAACTCAATCAAGAAGTATTTGTGGTCGACGGTTGAGACGGAGAAGATCTCATTGTGGGTGAATTCGTGAAAGTCTTGGGATTGTGTGATTTCGCTATCAGGCGCTGGAGGCGGCGGTGGTGGTCGTACCTGAACATCAGGGGTGACGTCTTCTAGTGGCACGTGTGTCTCCCAGAAGGGGCTTGTTGGACGACCTGATTGTGAATCAGAGCTCTCACCGGGTAGCTGCGCTGATTCCATATTCTCCATAACAATGTCGTTTCTCAGCCGACTACCGTGACTGCTTGGCTCTGAAAACTGCCGGCGAGTGTTTCTCGCAGCGATGAAAAATGCAGTGAAGAGCAGAGACCCAACACATGCGAAGCACAGTTTTAGAGCGAGTCGGAACAGCATATTTAAAGTATGTGTTTGTATATGGGCAGGTAGATATACTTCGCATGTTGTGCAAGAAGAAACATTTATATTCTGAGTTCACATAGTCGGACGGTTTTATTGTTGTTGGCAGTTGCACAAATTCTCTCGGAATTTGTTGTATGACGATTCAAAATTGTTTACAGCAAGCGTATGCACTGTAACAGTGTTCAGGTTCTTGGATTTCTTTCCAGGGAAAAGAGCAGGTCTGCGGAAACCCTAATTTGCCGTAATAGGCAATTTTGCGGCATGCTTCCATGGATTGAAGAATAGTAGGCACAGTCGTAAGAAACACGACACCACGAAAACGTTTCCCACTTGTTATAAAATTTCGCAAGCCTATATATCATTCTAACACTACTAGTCTAGTAACTACCTAGGTAGCCCACTACACCTTTGTCTCGCAATTAGCACAGGATCGTACTGAAGTTCAGTTCGATCAAGAAACATAAACTATGCGCTACCCTCTGCTGAACGACCAAGACAATTTTTAATAAAAAAATTTCGAAGCAAGTCCTAATTCGGTATATACAATAGCAGCTACTAGCCCTAATCGGTTGTACGTTCCTGCAGTCTTTGCTCCGCCAGGATATCTCTGTACGTAGCTTCGCGCGCCTCCTTTGCTGCGACCTGCCGAATCTGCTCATCCTTTGGGAGAGAATCAAAGATCTTCACGTTGTCGTCCCATACCCTAATACAGTCATCATCCCAATTGCATCGCTCAATCTCGCCGTACATAGGATGTTTGAACCGTGGATGCGATTCCGGCCACAAGGACGCATGGTAATGGTGCTTGACCAAAGCCGTTCGAGCGTTATGATTTCCCGAGTCTGAATGTCCCTGGCCCGCAGCGAATGCTTCCACAGTCAACACCAAAATGCCACTGATGAGCTTGGACTCGGCGAGATTATGGAATGTTTTCCAGGTCACTGTCTGTCCTGAGCGAGCACTCATATCAGCCAGAACGGCTTTTGTAAACGCTGAAGGGCCGGTGCCACCGAGGACCTCGTCAAAGTTGAGTTGTATATTCGCTATTGGAACACCCTGACTGCGCGATGTCTCGAGTATCCAGTCGATAATACCATCTATTAGGCTCATAAGAAGTTGTAGACGTGGCTTGGCCATGAACGTCCACTGACAGAAAGACTCTGACTTGGAACCAAGTATCGGGTGATCGCGCCACTCAGGCTCATCGATCTCAACCCCAATTACCATATCGATATCTCTCTCATCAAAGCGATCTGGGATGAACCGGTCAATAGATCGAAGAGCCTCAACATCAATATCCGTATAGACTCCGCCCTCAACATACATGACCAAATAGCGGAGAAGATCGGCCTTGATGATTCTGGCTGTTAAAGATTTATAGACATGCACAATGTCAGGTCGGTTCAAACCAGCGGGTCCAAAATGTGTCTCAACATAATATAGATCATTCTGGTCTGTTAGGACCTCATATCGATATCCCGGGTTTTTTTGAATCCATGTGCGTGCAATATACAAGTATTTTTCCTCGAAAGTTAGCGGGTCGACCCTCCACGTTTGCCATATCTTGCGCGGGAACTGTCCTGTTATTATCGTGGCTTTATAGACAATATCATCACCCATAGCATTCGGAGATTTTGACCCTGAAAGATAAAAGACAAATAACATGCAGGCAACACACAGGGGATACAACTTCCGGATGGCTTTCATCCTGATATCGCTGCCACCAATAAACAATCGGCTGGGTATTTTAGACAAACGGCATAGCCAGTATCTCAGGCATTTCAATAGAACAGCTCGAGTGGCGCTATAAATCTGAACTTGTTACCAGCCACTGTGTTTGATACATTTCCTTGAGTAGGTTGTAGGAAACCACGTTGTAGAAAAGAATAGTAGAAAACCGGAATTGTTTTCTCTATCTTGCCTAATGCGCGTTGTAGTTTAATAAGAAACCTTCTATCAGCTCAGTAGTATTGCATGTTTCACCTAGTGGGTATGCCGCTTGATATTCGTTGATATCGATACCTTACGCGTCAATCTATGTGACATCCATCGGAAACGTGCAGGGCAAAGTAATTTCAGGTACGGATTAGTTTGATTTTTTATGAAGGCAATCGCTCTGCAAAGAATACCTAATGTGTGTAACCTACCTACGTGTCGAGTATGTAAACTGGCAATACGCAAAGAAGCATACAGACAAGCATGTTACAAGTAATTTAGGTTACATGAGATAGTAAGTAATTTCAAAAGTACTACTTTCTTGACTGGCTCAAAAAGGTATGCGTCTCTTAATCGCCACAGCCGTATTTGCATCTCCGTTTCCCTGCTTTTCCGTCAAGAGGAGAGCCGGTCAGGTCGCCAATCACATAGTCGGTTAGGTTGATGTTGATGTTCTTGATTGTCAGATTGAAGCCTGACGCGCACATTCACTCCTACCACTTTTACTGCTCTATACGGTGGTTCCGTCCGAACATCACGAGCGAATAGCTTGTCCAATTTCAGTTTGGTGTAATAGCATACGGCAGATTATGAAATACAGGATAATTAAGAGCGCGTTGCTGCTGGATATCTTAAAACTTGCCATCGACAACAATTCCGGCAGTTTTGCTTACCAGGGCCTGCATCAACATCAATCCACCATATACTGCATTCTGCGTCTCTGGCCAGGAGACGAAAATGGTTGCTCTTAGGGAACGGAGTTCATCTATTCATGATGATCAACACGTAGCACAAACTAGGCAGTAACATGAAACGTTGGGTCATCTAATGGGGCATATTCGACGGTGGGAAGCCTCAATGGAAGAACTTGAGCCTGCAGAATGCATTGGAGACATCATATCTGTATTGAGTTGAGATGTATTGCTTCCGGGTGTTAGTCATTGAAGGGGGAATCTACGTGGTGCTAAGGTCCTAAATGTTTGGCATGTGTCTTGTATATGGCAGTCTACAAATCAAAGATGTCGTTCCTTCAAGGTAGATATCAAACAAGAACCGCTCCGGCAGCGTTGATATTCTGGTGCAATGTTTCACCGGTCATACAACGACAACTACAACAAATGATTTCGCCGCGTTATCAAAACATGTCGAGCTACCTTGTAGCACATCTGTAGCAAGTTGCTTTATTCTCTGTTCGAAACTTACGTGTAACTACATTAGTAGCACAACTAAATGCCTTTTGGCTCTCATCAATATGGAGGCTGTCTATTCAGGGGGAACCGTATCTCGGTACAACCAACTATATATCTAGCTACACAATCCACATTCCTACGACAGGTGACGTCCGATTGAAACTGACTGAGGCTATGCCCTTATGTCAATTCTGTGTGAGTATGTTACTCAGCTAACCAACTTGGGGTTGTCTAACTTTTATCTACAGCATCATCAGAGTGATTTAGTATAGTCTAATTACGCATCTTGTGGGAATAATAATCACAGGAGCAACGTCAACTCGGCTTTAATGTCTACTATCAACTACAAAATCTACAAACCCAACGGATATGGAGTCCTGAGTGATCATAACGGGCAAAAAGATTCATGGGGGAATAAGTGTATCAGAGTCCATTTCCTGTCTCGCATTGCAGGGTGGTTCATGGAGCTCGTCCGTCCTTCATACTGGGCCAAGGTCAATACTAATAGCAACAATTTCGATAACCCCAAAAGAACATCATACCTTGATGGCCTCCGAGGGTTTGCTGCATTCATGGTCTATTGGCTACACCATCAACTCTGGGCGCACGAGAAAGAGCAGTTAAACGGGGCACTAGAGAACGCATTTGGGTGGAATGGACGGCATTATTTTGTCACATTACCTATTATTCGTACATTTTTCACTGGTGGCCACTTTGCAGTAACCGTTTTCTTCGTCATATCTGGCTACGTCCTCTCTGCGAAGCCATTATCTCTTATTCATGCTGGAGAATTTGACAAACTCGGAGAAGTTGTGGCATCGGCGTTATTCAGGCGATGGCTGAGACTACATCTCCCTGTTCTCTGCACAACATTCTCTTTCATTACCATCGTACATTTTTGCGGCCTCCGGACATCTGTCATAGATACCGCGCCCACCTACCGCACCGAAATATGGAAATGGTACCACGAGTATATAAATTTTGCGTTCATCTTTCGAAGTGGCGGCGAACCATATCTAAGCTATCATTTTCACTCCTGGTCAATTCCATTCGAGTTTCGCGGCTCAATTATCATATATACATCACTTGTTGCCTTCTCTCGGTGCACTCGAAATACACGACTACTCTGTGAAGTAGGGCTAGTCGTCTATTTCATCTGGCTTGCAGACGGTTGGTTCTGCGCGCTCTTTTTGGTAGGCATGCTCCTCTGTGACCTAGATCTTCTGGCAACAGAGAACAACCTTCCCACTATGTTTTATGTCTTTCGACCGCACCAGAAAGAATTCTTTGCTGCCCTATTTGTGATATCAATGTACCTAGGTGGTGTCCCAGCGCATGACAGCAGTATTGAAAACCTCCGCCATGCATATGGATGGACGTGGCTGTCTTATTTTAAACCACAAGCTATGTGGGATTACAAATGGTTCTACCTCATCTGGGCCTCTACGTTCTTAGTCTCTTCGATAAGGCATATTACCCGGCTCCGAGCATTCTTTGAGACGCGCTTCAATCAATATCTTGGAAGGATATCGTTTGCGTTTTATCTCGTTCACGGACCTGTTCTTTGGACCCTTGGCGACAAGCTGTATGCTGCAGTAGGATGTGTCAAGAGCTGGCATGCAGGCAATATTCCGCACTGGATCAATAGATTTCCCTTGTCACAGAGCGGTCCACTCGGTCTCGAGCCGGGTTTTCTATTAGTGCACATAATTCTGTTGCCATTCACACTATGGCTGGCTGAAGTAGTCACCAAAATTTTCGATGATCCGAGTGTTAGACTGTCAAAACGGCTGTACGATCTGACGCTTGGTAAGGGGAGATGACAGTCCCGTCCTGTATCCTTCAATATTATTTTGTTTTGGTTCAAAAATATTTCCAAGTCGCTTCAGATGAGAGGATGGCATGTAAATTAGTGAAACAAAAAAAATATGTGATATGTTAACATGTCTTAAACACCTTTTCAGTGTCATCCATAACTTCAGAACTTGATTCCATATTGACACTTGGTGCATTCATTTCCATCTGGCCCGGTTGGCGACCCATGATAGTGTTGAATTTCTAGCATCATGTTTTACCCGAGTCAGTGCTGAAGAGAAGTAACGAATGATTTGGCAAACTCACCGGTCCCTGGAAATTCTTTCCGTAAAATAGCCAGAATGTGGTGATGAGCACTAAAAATATTCCGATAACCACTGAAACATAGTCTGGAAAGAAATAAAATAACACAGTCAGTTCACTGTTGCCTCTCACAAGTTACGGCATTATTGGCTTACTCATATCAGAGCTTGACACTGGCAACGACGTTGGGAAGCAGAAGAACTAGAATTTGATTGTTAATATTCGAAAAGAAACATGTTGCCACATCGAGTCCACCTACAATGGATGTTATAACCACAAAAAGAGCGGCTAGCCAGTTGACAAAGATACCGGTCTTCCCAAGCTTAAAGAAGGTTGACTCAGTCTGGTAAGGAGCAAGCACACCACGCCCTCTCGCAATCAGCACAATGATCGGAGATGCATAAGAAACGTTCAGAAAGATCGTGCATGACGCTGAGTATGCGCTAAAAGCAACGCTAGGACCTAGATACAGCAGCCCAAATAGGGCATTGAATATCCAACAGAGGCCAATCGTGCGCACAGGGACGTCTAGGTTTGGCGAAATATGCGAGAAGAACCTCGGAAATATGATGCCACCGTCTCGGGCCATTGCGTATGTCAGTCGGCTGGCGCTGGTGATACAACCGAGAGTGCCGTTGATGAAGCATACAGCGAACATGAGGCTTAAGATTGTGGCAGCAGCGCGACTTTTGGTGGCTTGCAGAATAAGCTCGGATATTGGCATGTTTGTGGCTGTCGTCAGGATTATCTCAGGATCCACCATGGCGAAGAGGATGACGATTAAGAAGACTGTGCCACTTTTTTTTGGGCATCCTAAATTAACTTAAGTTGGTAGTTTTGGTTGAAGGAGACACTTACGTGACACCACCTACTAAGACAGCGTACAAAATTGCACGGGGAGCATCCTCTGATGGGCGAGGCATTTCTTCAGTCATGTGAAGAGCTGCATCAAACCCTATAAGACTCAATGCGGACTGCAAAAGACCCAAAATCCACGCCATGCCATCAGACCAGCCAGTCTCATTCTCGAATTTGGCAAAGACGTAACTGGCGTCGGTCTTGGATGAAGTTGCTAAGATGACAATGCTAATGATCACGACAGCCAAGAGGGACCAGTACACTGTGTCGCTGTCAGAAAAAAAAATGTGCAGGTCGCTGTTGAAAGGTTAAGGGAAACTTACACGCTGCATCATTCCACCGACCCAAGATTTTGTTGCCCCAAATGTTTGCACCTGTAGTAAATGTCAAGATGGCTAGAAATATCAAATACGTCTTCCATGCCTCAATGACATATGATCCGTTTGAGGCAATGACTGCTGCGGCGGAAATGAACTGGGCTAGTTCATTATAAGCTTGATATTATTCGAAGCTGGTTTCCAGGGAGGCTTCAAAACATACAGGCAAAGAAACCCTCAGTAGTGACCAGTGTCAACCAACCGGCAATGTTTGCCCAACCGACCCAGAAACTCTAAGATAATACGGTTAGTTAGTATTGAGATTATTGCCCCCTAATTAAATGTAGCTGTCTAAAAATACCAATATCTTTCTCCATTTCTCTGGGGATAAGGCGTAGACAAAGTGATACTGCCCTCCAGCCGTCGGCCAGATGGCTGCAAGCTCTCCTAAACTAGCAGCCATGGCGAAGTTGCATATAACGCAGAATATGAATCCGTAAAGAAACGAAACCGGCCCACCGGAGGGGAGAACAAGGCCGATTGATCCAGCAAGGGCAATCCAGGTGCTACAAAAAAGGAGTCAAAGAAGCTCAGAAAAACGGAAAGGGTTCTCCTCACTTGAGAATGGCAAAGGTCATCGCGACCATAGTGAGCCTTGAGAGCCGCGGCTTCAGATGGGTCTCAGGATGCTCCTGAGCTCCAGAGTTGGCCGTCATTGTGCGGTTGTACGGTTTTCTTCCCTCCGTAATGTTAAGGTTCTGTATCTTAAGTCTGGCAAAAGAATTCCCATTCTGCTCTAATTATGGGGATTACCATCCGACACAACGGCTTTAAGTATTTTTTGTTCATTCACAAATTCGTTCCTCCATCACAGTCCGCATTATCTAGGGCATCCGGAGTGGCGGGACGTATAGATCGCAATGTGTTTCCATGCAGCGCCGGTTGAAACTTTAAGAATATAGCTTTGCCGACATCCATCTCCAAGAGAATGTAGGGCTGATCGCAAAGTATTGCGTTCGGATAATTAGCGCAAAGTGCTGAGGGAAAGAGTTTGCGATCGGGACCCATTAGTTTCGGCACCACTGAAGCAAAGTGGTCGTATCCATTATGATAATTGCATAACCATAACTTATTAGATTAGGAATTGGAACGACCAGCTAGCTTGCGTAGAAGGTTTTGATTTAAGCATATATAGGTGAATGGATGGACTGCCCGGCAAGATCTATTCTTCGAACTGCAATTCTCTAACATTTTCCTCGACGGTTCACAGCACATAGCACATAAAATGTCCAAGATTGTTCGAGTCGGCGCCGTTCAATCCGAGCCCGTATGGCTTGATCTCGATGGCAGTATTAACAAGACCATCTCTCTCATTGAGAAGGCCGCTGCAGATGGCGTCAATGTGCTCGGGTTTCCTGAAGTCTGGATTCCCGGCTATCCATGGTATGCAAGCTCTGGTCTTCATAAATGAAGTTCATTCCTGAATTAACAGCAAGATGCGGTTAAGGAGCATGTGGACTTCGGCGGTGATTAACAACTCGCACATCATTCATGACTATATGAACAACTCGATGCGAAAAGACTCCCCCCAGATGAAGCGCATCCAGGCTGCTGTAAAGAAGGCCGGAATGATGGTTGTACTGGGGTATAGCGAACGCGACGGGGCGAGCTTGTATATGGCGCAGTCTTTCATTGACCCATCAGGCGAGATTGTACATCACCGTCGAAAGATCAAGCCGACGCACATCGAGCGGACCATCTGGGGCGAAGGTCAGGCGGAATCACTCACTTGCGTGGTCGACTCCCCCTTCGGCAAGGTTGGCGGATTGAATTGCTGGGAGCATTTACAACCGCTGCTGCGATACTACGAGTATTCGCAGGGAGTCCAGATCCACGTCGCTAGTTGGCCACCCGAGTTTGAGATGCCGGATCCAAAAAAGATCGCCTGGCTGTACCATGAAACCGGAGAAGCGTCGTATCGCGCCAGTCAGTTTTTCGCAATTGAGGGACAAGCCTTCGTTTTGGTAGCTTCGCAGATCTTGACAGAGGCGAACCTCGACAAGAATAATCTAGCAGGCAACCCAGTGACTAAAACGCCAGGAGGCGGCTTTTCAATGATATTTGGCCCGGATGGAAAGCCCTTGTGCGATCCCGTGGATACAGGAGCTGAGGCAATTTTAACAGCCGATATCGATCTTCGAGAAATTGACAAGCCAAAGGCGTTTATCGATGTCGTGGGCCACTATGCCCGTCCGGATCTCTTGAGTTTGCTGGTAAACCCGAGTGTGGATAAACACGTAACACAGATGAACAAATAATGTGAGGAAGTCGGAGGATTGTTGTTTGTCTTCTGGTTTATTTCCGAATGGCAATAAATGTCAAATGAACCAAGGTGTTGTAGTATAGAGAGCAGCCGTATTCCACAATTGGCCATTCGCTGGACTATCCGAGTCAGCTTTAAGATCTTGTTTCTTCCAAGAACCTTCGATTATATCTCTCAAGACAAACACATTGCCGATCTTGCGTTTGTGGTCCATTGCATCCAATGTATCTAGAATCATGATCCTATGCTCGTCAGATTCTGCCTCGCACGCTAGTACGAATAGCGGCCAGGGGCTGGTGCAAATTGGAAGACTTTTCAATAGATGAAATGCTGAATTTATATATGAAGATAATTGAGTGCCATTTTCCGATCCTGAAACAACTCGCAGCAGGTAAATTAGGGCCGCCAGGCGATACAACTCGGCTGTACCCAGGATTCGGGGTATTTGGCCCTGCAGATGCGTGTCGAATTCATTTATATCTATTTGTTGCTTGAGCTGCAGAAGCTTAGTTTCCAGTTCCGCGAACTCATTCCTCGGAATGCGAGAAACCGGCTGGTCGCGCAGCACATTGATTCGACGAATCGCATCCAGCACCTCTAACGAACACCCCAGTGAACCAATAATCTGAGTGGGTTATTAGATTAATACAGATGATGAAATAAACAGCAGATATGGTGGAACTCACGTTGGAATGATCGCGCCCTGTGCCACGTAGTTCTAATTCCGAAAGTGGCAGTGATCCATTGGACAGTTGGCGATGATACTGGCTGAAGCCCCCGAGCACTTCATGATAAAGAAACCATGTGAAGAGGAACGAAGGGGCGGTATTTCTGCTTCCAGACGCTATCAATCTTCGAATGATACTCTTTGCGCCATTCAAATGCAGGTGCCAGTTCCCCTCAGTTTCGTCAAACACCTAATCATATATTAGAAAATGCTGGAAGACAACCGTAGACATCTTCTACTCACACTATAAACACAAAGCATCAAAGATGCGGCAAGCTGAACATCTGCTACACGCTGATCTGCTGATGATCGATCTCTTGCGAGAGAACGGGACAGGCATTGGAGCGCTTTCGTTTTGAAGGGTAGCGCCGCTTGCGCTCCAAATCGATGAAAGCATGATACTGCCAGAATGGCATTCCGCAAGGATGTAGATGCTTCGCATGATTGCGAGAGGGCACGTGGCAGTAGCACTGTGCGAAAGCCATTGTGGGAGTCGATCGTGGATATCATAGTAGACATGCTACGTTCATCTAGTGCAATGGCCTACAATTAGCAACTCGCAAAGCGGGCCAGAGACGCCATCAACCTCACAATAACGTAGCAGGTCTAAATCACCACCCGTAATATTCGGCCACGGTGAAAGTCCACATAGAGTGTCACCTCTTCTGGAGAATCGCTGCAACGAACCAACCGGCTGCGTTTCATGCGTGAAATCATTGATATCTAGGTTCAGAAACTGCTGCCCAGAGATCTTTTCAGAGTCAGTTGGCAGGTATACTGTGCCTGCGGGCAAGACAGCTTGCGCAAGTTTCCGTCGTCCATCGCGCTGGTCAGGCCAAACAAGCCGAACTCCGTATCCCAAGCATTGCCTTCCAGTGCGAAGGCAGTTCTGACACGCCGGGAGCTGCTTATCACACCCGATCTTGCGTCCTAGGCGCTTGTCAGCAAGTAAAGAACTAAGGAGGGCATGTACTTATATGCATACGTTTGCAGGTCCAGCAGCCTTGGCCAGCTTTCATGTTCAATTCTAGCCTCGCAGTGTTTGTTCGTCGTTGACGTTGGAGCAGGGGCTGGTCTGGCGACTTCGAAGGTGAACGACCATCCAATGGACGGACGGCCAACGCGGAGATTGATTATCCCGACCCGAAGACCATACCAACGACCGTGCGAGATTATTGTTCTTTTCTATTCCAGTAAAATGCTCCCTTTCTATCGATTTGCTCCAGTTCACACTGGAATAGTAGGCAGGAACAAGAAAATCTACCAAGTGGCGATATAGAGCAGTTTTACTTTTGTCTGATCGGGGGCTGTGCTGCTGAGCTGGCAGCGCACGCACAGGATTCAGCCTTGTGCAACCGGCCATTTGTATATATCACCTCCTTGCTGCTATTTTACTCAGTGTTTCAGTTTCTTATGAATAAGTCGTACTTTCCACTGTATTATACTTCCATCATATCTGTTATACATCGTCCAACTGGGACCAAATGGTAGACACCGGCGCGCAATCCATGCCCCTCGGACTACTCGCTAGTCCAACATCTAGGCAATCTGGAGACACTGTTACCGCGGATAATGTCCGCTTTTTTGATGAGGACGGTATTTGTTGCTGCCGGACTTTGTGACTTCGAAGAATTGCTTGTTCCGTGCAAGCCAGGCTAACCCGTGATCGAGACTCATCAGAGATACATCAATATCACGAGCACATCGGCAGTTTGGATCAAGCTCTGCAAGAATTTGTATGTTGAATCCCAATGAGACTAGACAAAGCATAAGTCTCCGGATCCTAACTCAAAGGCTCAGACCCACGGGGCTTCCAACCGATTTATAGTGTATGTTCCTCACCTTATTCACTCTATCTTTAATATACCGAAGCCAGACTGATTTTCTACAAGCTTCGCCAATAAACCGGCTTTTGATGGCTTTCAAAGTTCCGCAGACCTAAAGTCATTCTTTCCTTCCAGCTTTTGGCGCATTATTGACGATGACCTGAATGGGGCATTTGGAATCGAGCACCATGGAGAGACGCCAGGGCTGCTATATGGTCTGTTCGCTCTCCCTTCTATCTATATTATGCTCGGTTGTTAAAGGCCTCTGGGATAAGCTTCAAATACTAACGTATGTATACCCGACAGATACATGGAGCACGTTCAAAATAAAACATGTTCTTCAAGGTCCCGAGCTCACCTACTATTGGTCTCAGATATCGGTTTTCACCCGCCAGTCAAAGGCAAGGCAGTTTGTGTTGTTTATTGACTGTCCGCTGAACGTGATTGATCGAATTAAACAAAATATTCTGCTTGAGACCGAAAGTTCGCCTCGCCACTTCGCGCGACCTTACAATGATCCATTTCTTTGGCATGCATTGCTGATTGAAGAACTGAGGGATATATATGATACATCTGTTTGGGAGTTGCGACACGTTGTAAGAGAATGGGAAAAGGTATGTTAATATTGCCTTACTTTCTAGAATTTCGAGGATTGCTGAATGGGAAACACGTGAAAAAACAGACCCGAAGGGAAGAACCAGATATCGAGATACTCAACGAAATTGGTCGTCATCTAATCCATGGCAACGAGGTATTAAACGTAGCTGATGACACAATCGACAGTGTAATATATCAACATAAGCTCTTGCATGAAAGGCAGGCAACTGAACCAATGGACACGACTGAGAATAAAGTCCACGACATAGTATATACAACAGTGCAAGACAAACTGTTTACTTTGAGGAAAGATATCAAAGCCATCAACGCTAGAGCCGTCACCTTGTTTGAGCGACTCCGCCACGAAATCAATCTTGTGCGTATCCTTTGTTCGTTCCGGTGCGACTCTCTTCTCTGGTTCTAACGTCTTTTATGTCCCTAGGCATATCATGTGGCTGCACGAAATACCACTCAAATCTCGATTGATATCGCCAAAATTGCACGACGTGACAATGCAACCATGAAAGCCCTCGCCTTTATTGGCGTGCTTTATCTACCGGGCACATTCATATCTGGAATATTCGGGTCGAATTTCTTCAACTATAACCCTCCAGACAGCAGCAGCAACAATTCAGACTGGAACATGTCGGATAAATTTTGGATATACTGGGCTATCACCATTCCGGTCACAATGTTCACCGTGTTACTGTGGATCGTGTTGGATGACACGATGGAGATGTACGAAAGCCTCGTCAGTAGAGTAAGAGCCGCTTCTCGCGATATCTGGAGCCAGATTCGAGTTGGCAAGCAGCCAAATACAGATATGAGGGGCGATGTGTGAGTAGTGATCGAGATGGTGGGGTCTGATATCAATCTACTACCATGATAGTAGACAAGCTGGCTTTATCGATGTTACATCGTGGTGGATCAGAAGGCCAAGTGGTGTTTATGTAAACTAGGCAAGTATGATAAAATAAATTACCGCGGTGTTTATCAAGGTTCAGATAATCAATGTGAGGATCGTGCAATTCTCTTTCGTAAGGCAATACTCTTGTTTGAGCGTTTATTTCTTGAGTGAGTATCCGTCGCTGTATAGATAGCCTCAAAGCAACTGTGAGCGTAATCGTTAAAAGTGCAAATATTCTTCGGCTTGCCTTTTCGCCATTTCGTCTGCTCGATATGAGATGTAGCTAAGCTCGTGGAGATGTGCATTTCCAAGCAGTCCCACGACGACAACTATGGGTAAAGATCAAAAGACCCAGGCCCGATGGATATATGGGAGACCTCATTCATCGCCTCCACAAATTAAATGCTCTGTTGAACTATATCAAGACCCATTCCCAATAGGTATAATATGGAAAGTCATTTATTAGTTTAGCTTATTTTATTGGGTTTGACTGTAACTCGATAGCATAGTATCTATGTGTTTTGGCTGTGGTGTCTCTGTCATAACTAGAGTTGACTGATAGTGAAGGAGAGCATCGAACAACTAACTTCTGTTAAAAGTGCTAACTGCATGTGCACTCTGACCAGGCTGAATTGATTCGTTTTCTCACTTAATGCTTTTGAGGACCCAGCAGTTGAGCTAAATAAAGATGGAGACATGTATAAATTCACCGCAATCCTCGTAGTCCTTTAATCGAACTACATGCTGCAGCTCAGAAACCTTGAAAGACATCCACACGTACGAGTCATAATATTACGTAAATATAGACCTCTGAGACTCCTCACTATATCTACTTTAGATAGGTATCTAAGGTTGTGGGAAGCGAACTTGGATTATATTATGAGGAACGAAGATTGACATGATTTTGGTAATACTCCTGATTTTTCTTGATCCATGCTATGTTCTCCCATCAGAGAGTATGACAATGCCTGTATATGACATAATAGTAAAATAATAATAGTCCTCAATGTGCCAGACTTGGCCGTTTGATCCATTAATAATACAAGACCCATTTCTACAGCTTACTGAATGTAGCTACAGTGAAGCAAAGTAACTTTAAACAATGACTAATGTATTACATAGCTCCACAGAGGATACCTTAATCTATTTCAAGTCAAATCGCATGGCAGCACACAATCAACCGGCATATCTTCTCTATCATGACATGGCCACATCTCGTTTGCGAGACTAGCCACTTTACGAACATGGATCTGTTCCCTGTTCGTATGATCGAAGCCATTGCAATAAGCGTAGTAACTGTGTAAGCTAGTAACTGTGATGTACATAGAGTATGATTTTGAGGCTGCTTACAAACAGTGTCAGCACTAAATCTATCTTAGGCTCTTGAGTCTTAGTGGACTGTAACTCCAAGATTGGGGTCCGTCAATTCTTATGGCTCTAAATTATCCGTATTACGTGCTCATATAAAGTTGTTGGACCGAGAGGCCTCCGAATAAGCCGGATCAGCAAGCATGCTTGCTAACTTGCTAAGCGTTTTAGTAGGCATAAGCATATACGTGCACAGCCAGCTCTGAAGGTTTGGAATTTTTTCAATGGTCTAGTGTTCATGAACATGGACAGTAAATTATACGAGGCCCGGAGTACGTATGCTATACTACCTAGGTACTACTACACGGCCTATTCGACATGGGTGTTGACCAGTAGATGCAACATGTACTAACCGCCCAGGCAACTTATCTGCCATCATTATTCTTCTGCAAGCGGGAAATGATGTAACTCACTAGTTTTATACATCGTTATATGCTGAGAAAACAAACTCGCGATGGCCAAGGCAATGGCCAAGGGCTATCAGCGACGGGGGCACGGAAAAGCACGATACTTCTCTTCTCTTCTCTTCGCTCTTCGTTTACCATCAGGCAAATCCTACGTTCAAACTGGATTCAGCCAATCGGACGCTAGCATATCCAACACTTTAGTTGAGCAGTTGTTTTTTGTGGCGTCGAGTGGCGCCGCCGCCATGTAACGCGGGGTTGACGGCGGTCGAGAGCACAAAATCCAGAGTGAGATTTTACGGCCTTGGAGAAATGAAAATGCTCGCCTAGGCAGATCTCCGAGGCAGTAAGCCTGAACAAGAGCATGGTAAGTGCGCCAACAACGTGCTCGAGCTAACAGCCAAGCGTCGAGGGAGTAAACTATCTGCTATTCGCCGCCAATTCCGACTCAACTGCTCATCAAAGAGCCACTACCCATGGGTCTTTAGCGGGCTTGAGACCAGTGTTTGCTAATTACCAGGATTTTCTGCAGCCTCGTTCTGCTGTGGCTATGATTAGTTTGCATTTGCCGACAGGACTGTCTTCCATGCCGATTAACTACGTACTAACAACGGTGTCATAAGTTTGTGACTTCATGCTCATGTTATACTTACTATTCTAGCCTCTAGTAGTACGTGCTTAAATCATGCTTGATCCACAGCGCAAATAACATGCAGGAACGGTGCGGACCCTCGCACATGGTTGAGTCGCGTTTGATCTATAGAGCACAGATCCAACCCCGTTTCTGCGCGATACCACCTTGCACGGAAAGCCAAGTGTGCTACAAGCTCCCTTGAGGCTTGCAACGGTTTAGCTCTATGTCCGTCGAGGACCTGCAACTGTGTAATTATTTGCAAGCACAGGAGAGCCAGCCAATGGCTCAACCTGGTCAGGATATCCAACGTGACCCTTTACAACTCCTCTTCTCGTCCAAGTGATCAGAGCGGAAAGAAGGCAGAATGGAGACATCCATTGCATTTCCCCGGTAAACTTACCGTAGGATGGTTGGTTGGTGGATACAAGAACCCGTGCTTCTAAGTTTCTACCTAAATTTGTCGTTGTTACATGGGTCACGCCAAAGGTCGTTTGCTATTGTAGTAGACTAGGCTTGCTGATGTGCCGACTGTAACCTGACGATGACGTGAAGGGCTCGACTCAGATTGTTCAAAAAAAAAAGGAAACGGAAAAAAAAAATCGGAGAGGAGACTGAGGTATAAATCAAGTCCACTTCACCTGTCTGGCCCATGTGTGTTGTTTTGATATCTTGTTTTTCTTAGACAAGAACAACCCGGAAAGAAAAGAAAGGGTCCATTCCTTTATCCACCCTTCCACTCCTTGATATAGATATACATACGCTCCTTAGATACCGTATACATCATTAGCGATGCAAGGCTTCGCTAAGTGGACATGGGCGCTTGCCGCCATGATTGCTGGCCAAACCCTGGCCAGCCCCATCTCAGTCCTTCCAGGACCTACCAAGGTCACCCCTGGAGGAGTTCAGGATATCATAATTACGAGCAAAAACACACTCAACAGCACCAGCAACGGCAGCTCCGGAATCACCCATGGCACTGAGGCCAGCAGCGGTGCCCTCACGGTGAATGTTGTCAACAACCTCGCCGGGACAACTTCCGGGCAGGTAAACGCATATGTTATTGGCAAGGTGGACAACGAAGTTGCCATCTTGCAGGCTGACGGCTCATGGTACTACCCGCCTGGTACAACCTCTGGTGTCCCTATTACCATCACCGAAGATGTCTCCATTCCCATCGGTGCCGAGGGAACTACCACCACCCTCACAATCCCAAGCTATCTCAGCTCGGGCCGAGTGTACGTGGCCGATGGTACTATAACATGGTACTATGTCGACGATGGCAGTGGTGGTCCTGGTCTTGTCGAGCCCTCCAGCAACAACCCATCTGACCCCAATGCTGATGTCAACTGGGGCTTCTTCGAATTTACCAACACGGAGGAGGGAGGCTTGTACGCCAACCTTAGCTACGTTGACTTCGTCGGCTTAGTCATGGGCTTGTCTCTGACGACCACCGATGGCGGTGTACAGACGACCCTTGGTCTTGCAAGTGACGCTGTCAAGACCATCTGTGAAGCCCTCGTTAGCCAGACTGCTACCGATGGCTACCCATGGGCTAGTCTTTGCCAGACTGGCACCGACGGTAACTACATCCGCGTTGCCGCGCCATACGACTACATCAGTACGGACGCAACGGCTTTCGAGGGCTACTTCGACGATTACGTGTCCGAGGTCTGGTCAACCTACAGCACCGACCCGCTGATCATCAACACCCAAGCTGTTGGAAACAGCTCTTGCACCACCTCAGGCACCACCACAATGACCTGCACAGGCAGCTCTGTGACCTTCGCCCAGCCCAGCGCCGGCGACATCTTCGGCTGCGCCACCGGTCCTTTCCTTGTTGATGGAAACAACTACGATGCTGCCATCGTGCCCCGTCTCTGCGCTGCCATCAACCGGGCCACTTTGTTGTTGTCCGGCGGTGATTACCAGCCCAGCCTTCCAGTTGCAGACTACTACACCGTCTCCCCATGCAACTACTACAGCAAGTTTGTGCATGAGAACGAGCTCGACGGACAAGGATATGCCTTTGGCTATGATGATGTCACCCCCGATGGTGGACAGAATGTTTCCGGCGAGCTGGTATCGACTATCCCTGAGTCCTTGACCATCACCGTCGGTGGTCCAACGACTGCCTAGGATATGACTCTCGCACTGCCTCTCTAATTGATTAGATAGGGGGGGGAAAATTGACCCTTCTCGTATATACCTTTATCACGATATGAGTTTGACACATGTAAATAGCCGCGTTTTGTTCATTCAATCAATTGTGCTTGACTTCAAATTCTGTTGAAAATCGACCCCTAAGCACGTACGGGCTTTGTTAGAAATTTCCGAAGGTATCTTCGTGCCCCCGGTTGGGAAACAGTATCATATCAGCAATAAATATGTGACCTGACGTTGTCAACCCGACAAGTCTATCGAGTCCACTAGCTCTGACAATTGACGTCGACAGCGTTGCCGATCAAGTGGGCCTGGCCAGCCATTTTCTATATAAATCTTATACGCGTCCTGCCAGAAAAGAAAAATCACTTAATTTAATGACTAGAAATATTCTTGGAATCAGGGGAGTTCCGACTTACCTCAACGACCTCTTCGGGCCGCAAATCAGTCCTCTTGGGATCTAAAGACTTTCCATCGCCCATCCGAACCTGGAACCCTACATCTTGCCTAAACCAGTTCAAGGACTCGCTCTTTGACTGATGATAATCGTTTGCCACAGATTCTTCACGACTAGCCTCGACTTGGCCCTCATCGTCCGATAACTCGTACTCATCTTCGCTCTCGTACTCACTATCCCATTCATAAGGATCTGAGTCCTCTTCGCTTTCATAGTCATCGTCTGAGTCTTCTGAACTAGGTTCATAACTCTCATCCGAATCTTCCGAATCACCCTCTTCGTCCTCGCGGTCGACATCTTTCTCGCCGCGCGTCGGACTAATGAACCATACGGCTGTTCCTGCTGTACTGCTGTCATGATAAGCAGGCATCCACTCCAATCTCTCATATTTTTGCGTCCAAGTGTCGAAAAATTTTGCAATGGGCCAGGTAAAATGTGCCATCCAGCGGTCTTCCAGTGATAGTAACTCGTATTCATCGGTACTGAGACCGATGGTACGATCAATGCGCACCGAATATTCAGTTATCGTACCTAGTACACAATCAGTTTTGTTGCTCTTCCGTTTCTCTTCTGTGTTCTTCGTTTTTATATCGTATTTAATTTCACCTATCGAGACTAACAGTCTTCTTGACTTACTATTCTCCATATCCAAGAGCAGCGCCACTCCATTCTCTGTTCCGGCCGGATCAGCCAGCCAAATACAATGACCCGGCGTTGGCTGGATCTCATCCAACTGGTCGCTATAGACCTCGCCATCGCAGTAGGCAATCGCAATAGTATCTGGCGCTACCATCCATCTTCTCTTGCTATCCGGAGACTCAGGGCGTCGCAAGTATGGCAAGTAACGGAGAAGAGTGATAACTTCATCCGTCTTGCCGCGCTTGCGGAGCTCTGCGGTGTTGATGTTGGGCCAACCACTTGTTGTAATATCTGTAGCTTCGCTGCTGCCGGGAGGATAGACTAGTGCTGCTGGATCGATGTATGCGAGCTTGGTGATGACTTTGTAGAAGTTGCTGACCGCGGAGATGGCTTCTTCATGGGCGTCTTTCATCATGAAGCTGGACCACTGACTGCAAGTTGAGTTGCTGCGCGATGTCAATGCCATGAATTATAGAGATGCGGTGTTATATAAAATGGTAGTGAAGATGGCCTATTCACAAGGAAGAGAGAGAGTACGAAAGTATCCCTTGAGTAACCAGGTTGATGTAAGAATTAACCAAATTGGCCTGAGATCTCAGGCAGAGACCCACATAGCTCGAACTCGAACTAGGACTGATTAGGCAATTAGCTGTAGCTATACGAAAAGCAAAAGCATGCGAGACAAAAAAAAAAGAAAGAAAAAAACAAGAGAGAAGAGAAGAAAAACAATTGGCACTGATAGTAGCTTCACTACTTGAAGGAGATAACAGTCTTCCCGATCCCCCCCTTGGATTGAAACACCACATCGCACGCATCTCTAACAGCATCAACATCCCTGTAATGCACGGCGTTGCCCACGACAGGCCTCAATTTGCCATTTTCAACATACTCCTTCAACTGCTCTAGATCCCTGCCATTGGGCCGCATAAGCACATACTTATACGTCACTCCCCAGCGCGAAGCGCGCCATGTACGCGCGCTATCGGCGAAATTGAGCAGTTTTCGGAACACAAAGGGGACTTCCAAGTTCCCATCTTTCACGAATTGATCGCCGCTCGGCGTGGTAGAGATGGAAATCATGTATCCTGTTTGTGGTCGTATCAGGGAGAGGTAATCCATAGCCAGACCAAGCGTGTCGAACATGAGATCGACTGAGCCGGCGGGGATTTCGGCCTTGGGGTCTGATTTGGTGTAGTCGATAACTATTGAGTTTGTAAGTCTAGTTCTGGCCCTTCTATTGATAGGGTGTGTAGTTACTCTGGTCGACTACTCCTTCTCCAAGCAATTCCGGGACTTTTGGAATCTTCGCCGTGGATACCGTTGTGATGACTTTGTCGGCTTTGAAGACATTCTTGGCGAGTTGACAGAAATACGCCCCCGTACCACTCACTTGGGAAGTTGATCAATTAGTATATGCCGCAAAATAAGTGAGCATATTAGTCGTTTAGGGGGTGACAGCTCACATCCAGCCGGCACAAAGACCGTCTTGCCGCTCAAATCGCCTGCAACTTGCAGAGATTGGAATGCCGTCAACGCCGTCAGAGGAATTGACGCAGCTTCTTCAAAGGTCAGATTTTTCGGCTTCAGCGCAAGGAACTCCTCTGGTGACTTTGCATATTCGCTCCATGAACCTAGCGATTTGTTCAGCCGTGAACCAAATCTTGTATTTCCAATACGAAATGATAACTAGACATGCTGAAAGAAAAGCAATCCATGCTCACCACGCGTGCTTTCAGGAAGCCGAGTGTATACTTCATCGCCGACCTTGAAGCGAGTGACTTGAGAGCCAACCTCGACCACGGTTCCCGCACAATCGTAGCCAGGCTTGTAAGGGAATCTAGGTCCATTAGACATGGTTGAGACGAGAAAGAAAACGCCAATTGCATGGAAATTAAGTCAATATCCAACTCACTTGAGCGATATTATCATCTTCGCTGCGCCGCTGGCCATCTTCACGTCGATGGGATTCACGCTGGCCGCGTGCACCTTGATCAGGACTTCATCTGCATTCTCAATTTCTGGACGCGGTAGCTGTCCTAGTTCGTACCCCTGGGGTGTCGAATAGGTATTGATATGGTATGACTGCATTTTTTTTTTTTTTTTCCCTCTCTGTGTTTGATTCTGTGGATGTAAAGTGTATCTGGCTATGGTGTTTTGGGGGAGGAAACGGAAGGCAAAAAAAAATGATGATATCAGCGTGGCGACGCTTATTTATCGACTAAAACCAGCGTCAACAACATTTTAAAAATCAGCATGAAGACCCCATTCCTTTGAATATTAACACTGTATAATTTCTCAGTTCTCTGAAAAGCATTGTCTAAGGTGGTAATTCCATGGGGTAGTGCAGACCATAGACTTGGGTTTTACGTTGCGATGCAACAACTTGCCTCCAAGTTATATCTATTCTATACGCGATCGTTATTGTTGTGGTCTTTGTACTCTGTCATTATCCCCAGATAGCATGGATTGACCACCTTTTAAGTAGGTCGATTAGCGCGATATTGACACAAGCCTCGTCAATATAAGTCTTGCTTAGATTCGATCTTCGACGCGGAATGCAAAATGCATGTCTCTATATGTAACAAGTGAAATAGACGTGAAGTGTCTGCTTGGAGGAATCACCATCAAGATGTGTGTGAGGAGGGCGAGAAAGTAAAACTGTTGTGATGGCATAGACAAAGAGCTTCCAACTGCGGCGTGAAATTCACAGGCTCTTCCCCTTTCAGACGTCAGAACAGTCGGACGGTTGCAGCAACATCTTCATTGTTTACACTTCCAGCTCTTCTTCTTTTATGCACTTCTGGGACTCTTCCTAAACAACACCCAAACCCATGGCAAAAGACACCACCATGCCACCACCAACATCTGAAAAGCCTCTGCTCGGCGTATGGAAACCCAGCCCCCGCGTCGAAACCCTCTACTATGGCTCAGGCTGTGTATCCAAGCACCTTCGCGCTTCCCTGAAATCGCCACTGTCCAGAGTCTTCGTCGTCACCGGCAAGACCGTAGCATGGGACACGCCGCTCGTCGAAGACCTGCGGCAGTTGCTGGGGGACCAAATCGCCTGCGTATTCGCCCAAGTGCCGCCGCACGTGGAGCTCGAAGTAGTCTTTGACGCGGTCGACATGATGCAGGAAGCGCAAGAACAAGGCGCGGAGAAAATCGACACGATTCTTGCTGTCGGCGGTGGCTCGCCCATCGACTTTGCCAAAATCCTGTCCGTCCAGGCACGCGCAAATCCTGCCTTGGGCCCGTTCACCGTCATTGTCATCCCAACCACTCTGAGCGCCGCCGAATGCTCGATTGTGGGCTACTACTCGAGGGACGGCACGAAGCTGATGCTCACCAAGCCGTCTATGGCGGTGAATGCCATTTTCTACGACCCGGAATACGCGCAATACACACCCAAGCGCCAGTGGTTGGGCAGCGGCATAACCGCGCTCGATCACGCCGTGGAGACTATGTATGACCCCTTTGCGACCGAGTATCCGGCAAAGGCAATGGCGTTGTGGGCGGCGAGGGGTCTGGTTTCTGGTCTGCGAGATATGGGAGCCAACTGGCCTGGAACTCGCGACCAGATGACGCGTTTGTTCCTGGCGGCACATGCGAGTAATTCATCGCGGAATTCCAATGCGGCGGTGCATAGCGGACTCTCGCATCTGTTCAGTTTTGCGTTGGGCAGTCCGTTCAAGATTGCTAGTGAGTGCCGCCTTACCTGTCATAATTCTTATGAGATTCGCTAACCGCTTTCCCATTCTCTTAGACGCTGAGATCAGCTGCATAACTCTGGGAAAAGTAGTCATCTTCAAAGCCAAAACAAGCACTGCCGACGCCAAACAGATCGCCCGGCTCCTGCCCGCAATAACGGGGGAAAGGAGCACGGGGAAACACGTTGCTGAAGCCTGTAAAGTTGGGCGCAGTATCATGGCTCTCGTGAAGGAGCTCGGTCTCAACGATCGTCTTGACAAATGTGGCGTTGCGCGTGAGCAGATCCCAACTATCGCCAAGCGGGTTGGAGGTGCTTATGGACTCAAACCGGAGGATTGTAAAGCTATCATCAATCTTGTTGAGGCGTTTTTCCCGTCGGATTGAGGGGGTTTCTATTTACGAACTGGAAAAAGAAATTGGGGGGAGAAGAGAGAAGAAAAAGAGGAAAAGGCATAGTTTATGCAATAATGGACTTTGTCGATTGAATCATTTGCGTTTGGGTCATTAGAATACAGGGTATGGTCAAATAAACAAGAGGGAAAGGGGTTTCGTGACTTCGTGAGACTGGACATTGGTATCGTTATGCAGTGGTCATCAGAAACGTAGGTGAATGAATGAAACATAGGCATGGAAATGTAGATTAGATGGTGATAGAAATGAAACATTGAACCTTTCCTCTCTTCTATTGTTGTAGATAGATGCATCAACCACGAATAGCACGAATCTTCTGCAACGCCTTCAACTCCCTGTCCAGCTTACCCACGATATCCGCCATAAGATCATGATAGGAAGCAATCTGCTCCAGCTCATTGAGGATTGTATTCTCTTTCTCATTGTTTTCTACCGGACTGGAACTCCTCGGTCCACGAATGAAGCCGCTCAAGGTTACCCACACGTTGTCCATTTGATTTGTATCGGACGATTGCGGTTGTAGTCGGTAGTGTTCGCGAACGCTCAGTTGTTTGATCGATTGCAGATGGTCATCTAGCTTTGCCAGCTGCACTAATAGGGTATCTGTTTTGTGTGCGAGACGAGTGAGGGCCGAATCCAGCTCTTGATTCAGGCGTCCAAATTGGTTTATGTTTGGCTCTTGCTTGTCGGTATCCGAGAGTCCACGGAACAGTAAACGATTGATAATATTTCCGGATGCCTGGCGGTTGCTTCTCGCTCCCTTGATGTATTCATATCGATGTGGCGGCAGCTGAAATCCGTCGACGGTGGCCTTGATATCTACTTTCAGGTTCGTCAAGGCACGCGTGATGGCGCGAGAGGCAACCCAGATGCCCTCGAATTCCAGTTCAATCTCATGCCGCGCGCCCCCGTACTCATTGCGGATATCAGTGTATATACCACGGAGGATAGCGTCACTATCTTTCAGAGACAAGTCGACAGGAGCCATGTCCTCGATTGTCTGATTGAGGTAAATCTGAAGCTGGGTTTGTGTGCGTACAGCGGACTGGAAATTGGCAGTAATACTCGCAATCTCGGAGACGTTGCGATTTCGTCCCGCACATGTTTGGTTGTATATCCTAGACACTGGCGGTACCCGGCAAATTATGGGGACTTGATGGACCACTTCTGGAAATATGAGTAGGTGCATTACCATCAAGACCAAAAGAGAGTTCAGAAGGAGCCTGAAAAACTCGTAGCGCTCCAGGTCTCCGGATAAATAGCTTTTGATTTGCGCAAAATAACCTAGCGCGCCTCTATCGGATGTAGCTGCTGTAGCTGCAGCCGTGGGAGAAGGCTGGCGGTCGTTCTTTAGTGAAGTAATATTATGATGATTGCGGTGCTCTTGTTCATGAGCTGAGAGATGGTTGCGCGATGGCTTAGGTAGCCTGGGAGCCTTGCGACTTTCGTAAAGAGACTGTTTGCTGCGTTTGCGCGGAATCACCCACGAGCCATGATCTGATGTGCGGCTGTCGAATATGATCGAGGGCATTATTAGTTCTGGGCCTGAGGATGTAGATGAAGCCAAAGTGGCAGTAGACTCTGTAAGGTCTGGCAGATCCGTGGCGGAAGAAGTTGCGTGATCTGTCTCCTGGTAGCTCTCGCTTTCTGAGGAAGACGGTGGTGTGAGGTTTTGTGACGAGGATGCAGAATTGCCCTTGATAATAACAGTGGACTCTTCAAGGTCTGATACGACCCACGAATCCCCTAATGTGTTCGTCGATGCCATTTGGGATCTCGTGGACCAATCAATTAGTGTCGGGCCATAGACACTTTTATCGAAGGGAATCTTGCTGTCGCTGCAACGGAGGCAAGGCTACTGTAAGCACTGGAGTTTCATGGTGAGCGACGCAGTGTCTCGTCACAGCAAGTTCATGGGGGAGAGAGAGACAGAGAAAGAGAGTTGAGTCGACGAGGTAAATAAGATAAAATAAAATGAAAAGCGAAAATCAATAAATATCACATGTTTACATGCCCGCCTGATCCCCACAGCGTGGGCCAATCGCGGGCTTCCGTGCGGGGAATATTCCGTCCTCAGGCACCAAACAGGAACGTCCGAAAAATAATCTGGACATGGAAGAATAGAAGGCGCTTTCCGACGAGCTGCTCGCGACATGCGCCCACCAACCGTCTTCTGCCGCAGGCAGCTTCTCGCATCTGATATCCGACGGCATCAGCGACGCTTTTCGCCAGAAGCAGTCCCTGTGCGCCATTGCTCGTGCCAGGCCAGCCCCGTGACTCGGCCGGATGCCTCCTCCACACGCTCCTCGCTATCCCGACACAACACCACTGATTCATCCTCCAACATCCAGCCCAACTCAGCAGCTGCAGATCACCGCATACTCGGCACAGCACAAGAACTGTTCACGTCGTCGCCTTACAGCCCCGGATCGCCGTTATTCCTGCCCAATGGCACGCATATCATCAATAAGCTGATCGGGTTCCTCCGTGCGCAATACCGGCAATACGGCTTCCGCGAAGTCTTGACGCCGAACATCTACAAAAAGTCGCTATGGGAAATATCCGGTCACTGGCAAAACTACAAGGATGATATGTACGAAGTGCGTGGCCGCGGCGCCACCGGAGAAACTGCAGGAGAGGTCGGCGAGGATGAATCATACGGGTTGAAACCCATGAATTGTCCGGGCCACTGCCTGCTGTTTAAATCGCAAAATCACTCCTATCGTGATTTGCCAGTGCGCTACACGGACTTTAGTCCTCTGCATCGAAACGAGATCTCCGGTTCCCTAAGCGGACTGACCCGAGTGCGGCGATTCCATCAGGACGACGGCCATATCTTCTGCCGCCCGCAGCAGATCGGGAAGGAGATCGATCTGGCATTAGCCTTTGTTAATATGGTGATGAAGACGTTTGGACTGAATAAATATAACCTGGTCTTGTCTACACGACCCGAAAAGGACTTTATCGGAAGTCTGGACCTCTGGAACACTGCCGAACAACAACTACGGGATGCACTGGATAAGAGCGGTCTGCCATGGGAGTTGAATGAGGGGGATGGCGCGTTTTACGGTCCCAAAATCGATATTCAGCTGCAGGATTCGGACGGAAAATATCACCAATTGTCGACCATTCAGCTGGACCTCAACCTCCCCCAACGCTTTGAGCTCGAATACCAAGTTGCCGAGGGAGAGCCGGATTATGATCCTCGCAATCCCGGAAAGGCGACCCCGGTGTTGATTCATCGTGCCATTTTTGGTTCACTAGAGCGCTTCCTGGCGCTCTTGATTGAGCGCTACGCAGGCCGTTGGCCATTCTGGCTTTCTCCGCGACAGGGCATTATCCTGACCGTGCAGACGGATGAGCCGGTGTTGCGTCTCGCTGAAGAGGCGGCTTCCAAGTTTTCGGGATTCCGTACCATTGTTCCAAGGCTACTGTCGGAGGAGGCAGCAGCCCAACCAGCTGCTCCGCTTACATCGACTGAGCCGACGTTCCTCATCGATGTCGACAGCAGCAGCCGATCGCTATCCAAGAAGATCCAGCACGCCAAGGCAATGAAGTACAACTTGATTTTTGTTGTGGGATCGAAAAACGTCGCCGACTCAACCATTGACGTCGACATCTCCGGCCAGCTCCAGGGCAGCCGAGAGGACGATTCAGCGACACTGCGCGGCGTGCTGAGCGGGCTCGTTGGGGACTCGGCTTTGCAGAATTCGCGGGCGCTGAAAATGAAGCTTGACGATGTCCGGCCGCTGCTGTTGCAGCTGGAGCGCAATTTCCTATAACACCCATTTGAACTGTATAATATAATATCGTGTAATAATAAAAGTGTACAACGATGAGAATGACAGGCGTGACACTCCGTACGAAATGTGGTTTGTCGTCGTAGACAATACGTAAGTACTCTGCGGATGCGAGCGAAACGTTCGAAGCTACGAATCGGGCGAATCGATATCGACCGACCTTCGATCGAAGCCAACGTGACTCACGGGACTCGACTCGCTCCGTAGTGAATAGGGAAAGAACGGGCCTTCCCCTGATACACATCGCCAATCTTCCATCTCAAGACACTCTTTCTCTTTCTCACTCCCTGCCCTCCAGGACCCAGGCAGGTACCTCGCCTGCTCGCGAAAGAAAATGTACGACGACGACGACACGACTTGCGAAACATGCAGCCGGACTTTCCGGTCCTGGGTCTCGTGCAGGCAACACATGGATGCCACGCAGCACTGGGCGCCGCGCTACGATTGCGAGACTTGCGACGACGTATTTCGCTCTTTGCATGCCGTTAATCAACACATGGAGGCCAAGGGCCACTATCGGAACTATTGCCGCGATTGCAGAAGTTTGACAGCGAAAACAACTTGAAGATGGTACTCCTGAACCTCTCTGTATCGACTATACCTCGGCATTGGTGCTAATGGCAAGTAAAACAAGCACCTCAACTCGAAGATCCACCGGGGCGTCTCGCTGCTCTGTCCGTTCTGCAAGGTGAAATATACAACTGCCAGTGGGCTGACTCACCATCTCGAGCGAGGCGCCTGCGCGAATGCACCGCATCTCAACCGTGAAAAGATCCTGCAAATCGTCCGTCGTCAAGATCCGCAGGGCATCATCACCAACAAGCAGATCGAATGGCACAAGGAACAGACGTGTGAATACCAGGTGACGAGGGAAGCCTACAATGGACAGGCATGGGAATGTTATATTTGTCACAGAGAGTTTTCACTTGCCCGAGACTTGACTAGGCATCTGAACTCCTCGGCGCACAGGCAACGGGTCTATCATTGCCCTAACTTCCAGTGCGAGAAGCAGTTCATCACACTGGCGGCGCTGTTCAATCACTTGGAGAGCGAGCAATGCCAATTTATGAAATTCGCAAGGGTCCAACAGCAAGTACATGATATCGTTACGGGTCAAAAGCGCATCGCCTTTTAATGTGCTTTGATTCTAGTGAACAGGGTATGGAAATCAGCGAGCAAACTGAACGCGTGGGTGCATATCTGACTACAGCGACTGCATTTTACATCGGCTGGTTTTTTTTGGGAGGGGGTGGTTATTTCGGGCGTGCTTTGGGATCTTATACATGTAATATTGGCATTTCATCTACACTGTATGTATATTCGAAGAGTCAGCTTGTCAGCACTGCAACTGTCGTCTAATCAGTTACCCTCTAGCCAGATGTTCTACCGTGGCATTTTAATGAAAGGAAACAACACATTGAGGTTATTCAAAGATCAATCCAATCACATAAAACACATATATACCCAGCCTAAGCAGGCTGGAATCACTGCAAAAACTTCATCCGCTTCCAATTCGACACATAAAGCGAGATAGTCTTCGCATCCACCGCAGTCGCCTCGCGCAACGACGGCGACACACTCTGAGCCAGAGACGTATCCAACACTACACCACCGCAGTCCATGCGTGTAAAGTCTCTCTCGAAAAGGTCAAGAAGACTCTGAATCGGGCTGTGGGATACATGTGTTTGTGCGGCTTTCACGCGTGCCAGCCACTCATTATACGGTATCGTCGCGGCACCGTCACCGAGTATGGGCTGGGCAAGTTGCTCTATTATCTCGCTCCAGGGCTGCCGAGCCGGATTCTCAATGTGGTAGACGAGATGAGGCGGTCGAGGATCAAGTAAAATGTCGCTGACTGCTGCTGCGGCGACGTCGACGGGGAGCCAGGATGCGCTCTGTTTTCGGTTAGGTTTTGGTTGTTTCATTGCTTGCATACGAATAGGACTTCGCTAGTTTGGCTTACCCCTTCTAATCTAGGCAATGCACCGATATCTTGCGATGCCTTGAGCAATGCGGGGAAATGTTCATCAGAGTTCCATATTCCATGCTCTCGAGTCCCTGTCATTTGGCCAATACGCGCAAAGCAGGATTCCATTGAATCTTCAGAAGAAGCGTCGTTCTGGATCATCTGTTCACACTGCAGTTTTGCCCTTGCGTATCCCATTTCTAGACTGGAAGAGCCGTCACTTGGTACCGGCGCCTCTGGTACAGGCTCATGCTTTAGTATGGCGGGATGATGGCCAACTACGCCAATGGAAGAAATGAAGAGAAGCCGTGGAAGAGAAGTAAGGCCCTTTGCTCGCTGCACAATTCGAATATCGCGAGCAAGCTGCTGCAGGTTCTCCATGACCTTGAACTGGGGTTCGAAAGATGATAGTGGTCGTCGGAAACTCATGGGCCAAGCATTGTGCACTATATGCGTTGTGTTGTTGCATAGATACTGGTACGCATCAGGCTCCAAGCCGAGATTTGCACTTTCTGTTTTGGTCTCGAAGATTCGGATTCGACTGGACCACCAGTTTGAAGGAATTTGGATTCCTCGACTTTTGAGTGCGTCGGCCTGTCGTGTCGCTGGATCCTGTCTCGTAAGGCGATTCAAGCAAATTACTTGCGAAACTTCTTCACGGTTTAATAGACTCTGAAGTAGATGTGTTCCCAGATTGCCTGTTGCCCCAGTCAAGAGGATGACTGAACCATGATGTCCGAACGGGGACGGACTTCGCGAAGGTTCTCCATTCTTCAGTGAGTTAAATGATGAAGAATGATTTGTTTGGGCATTCTCAATAGACGCATGTGAAGATGGCACTGGAACCGCTTTATTATGTGCGACAATCAGGCGCAAAAGCTCGGATTCCTTGCTATTGCTCTGAGTCCAATCCACATGGCCATATCCTGCATGCAGCAGACTCTCTTTCCAGAAAGATTCTGATGCCAGTGCATGCTTTCGTCCGTCGTTGAACAGCCACCATCCTTCCAACAGACCAAACACCAAATCGAACCAGAACAGATTCCGAGTCAACTCAATCAAACAGAGGATACCAGCGTCGTTCAGCAATTTGCGTATATTTGCCGTTGTGACTGTCAGGTCTTTCGTGGCGTGAATACAATTTGTCGAGATCACAATGTCGTACTTGTTCATCAGGTCTGGGCTAGGTTCTTTCTCGATGTCTAGTGTTGTGAAACTCATCTGCTTGCACGATGCGAAGGTTTTTTTTGCTGCAGCCACTAATGACGCTGAAATGTCACTGAAGGTATATTCAAAGGGGACTTTGGAGAGTTCTAGAGTCGAAATGACATTTCTCGTCGTGCCGCCGGTGCCAGCGCCGATTTCCAAAATGCGTATGGGATTGTTGGCGCTGCGTAATGAGGGTGCGAGTTTGGTCAGGAATTCGCAGAGAAGCTTAGTACCAGTGGCAAACATTGGCGCGTTCAGGTAGACGCTGCTCAATAGTTCTTTACTTTCTCGACTGCCAAAGATCAAATTGATAGCATCGGTTGTCCCACGCAAGCATTCTGCCAGATGCGGTCCTGTGACGCTCAGGAGCCTGTGTTCATCCGAATGCTGTGGAAAATTGTTCAGAATATCTCCGAGGAGTGCCTGAGTTGACGAGTCGGTATTGACAGTCTGCCGTGTTCGCTTGTAGCTACGATCGTCCGATCGATAGATAATGCCTGCAGCCTCCAGGATATTGTAGAGTTGCCGGACCACCTTATCATGCTTTGGAACATGCGAAATTACTGGAATCATTGCCCCCTCAGGAACGGATGCAAGAGAACAGCCCATTTTATCAAACGCGTTGATGATATATGCCGTGACCAATTTCAGCTGCAGGGGATATACATTGGAGTAGAATCCAGCAAGCTGTGTCTCGGCTGCAAAGACATCAAAATCATCTTTGATAGCTGCAAAGACTTTATGAATATCGCTCGCAGGCTCCCCAATTATTGATCCATGCGAGATCGTGGTCTCATTCCCGTCATGGAAAGTGGCAAGTGGCGAGCCATTATTTGTCGAAGGAAATGTGCTACTGACCACAGTAAATGGCGTGAGAGCAACCGTGTCATCAGCAGAAACGCTGCTCGGGGGATTTCTTCTTGGTGGAGTTCTTGATTTCTGATCCGCATGCAGAAGTTCTGATAAATCTGCCACTGACAGCTGGCGGAATTGAGTTGAAGGGATGTTGACTCCGAAAGCTGTCTGAATCTCGGATAGGACTTCCATTTCCATGAGCGAGTCAATCCCAAGTTCGTCCATAGTGGACTCATTGTTGATTTCGTGCACGGGTATGTCCACTATTTTGCTTAGGAATCCATTTACCTCCATGAAGTAAAGGTCTGTGGGTGTAGATGCCACCGAGTAAGACGTAGAAGGAACCGATTTGGTCAATAGGTAATTGGACAATGCTGAGACTGTGGAGTATAGTCCTGATTCATTGGGGGAGATGTCAATATGCATGACTCTCTTGATCTCTGATACGAGCTCGGTTGTCATTAACGAGTCAATTCCAAGAGCGTCCAACGTATCGTTGTCATTGATCTGCTCAACCGGTACATCTGTAATACTGCTCAAAATCCCTTTCACCTGCTCAGAGGATATTTTGGGCGTCTCGTGGATATGTTGCATCTGCAATCTAGCAGGCTTTGGCTTTCCAGCGGTCAGTCTGTCTGATCGGATAGGATTTGCAGGCCGGGTGATATCTGGCTTATATGGCCCAGGAGTCGAGGTTAATTCATCAGTCTTTGGATTGGCAGCACGAAGAGTCCTCGCCAAGGAGGAGATATTCACTCGTGAGAATGTGACTCCCTGAAGGGCCATAGACAAGGAGCCACTATCCTGGTCAAAGGCTAGGATATCACTTTCAAGAACCTTCTCTCCATGTGTCTTCGTGTAGACATACACCAGCCAAGACTGCGGCCCTATAGCACTCTGTTCCATCGTCGCGAAGATCTGCATTTCATTGACCGATGTACAAATGTACAACTCATCCTTGGAAACATCCCGAAGACAGTTGACATGTATTCCAGCAACTTGCAGAAAATTGTCCATGATCAGCGGTGCGCAGATAGTCTCGTCTGCAAAAATTTGAACCGATGATTCAGGCATGGCGACAACACCTGCAGTTTCAGCGCCCATGGAAGAAACTTGTCGAACTCCCTGGTAGTATTGCTTGTAATTCACCACCCTGTCGAATACTTTGTACACAATTGATCCTTGAATTGTGTCTGACCGTTTGTCTTCGAGTAGTGTATTACATCGGCCAACTCCCACAAAATGTTCAAGCGTTTCTCGCCTTGTGTGGAGATCTTGATCGACGACGTCTCGAAGTCTTATGGTGCCAGAAGCGTGATGCGTTTCTCGGTTTTCTCCAAGGCTGATCAGGGTAAAGCTCCAGTTTGCATCCGCTGAATGCAGTCGCCTCAGTACGTATTTTACCGTGTGTCTCTTATCTAGGCCTAATGGTGCCAGAATGCGAAGGTCTGTCACTTGAGGGAGAGACACGGCTGAAAGATGATTCAAATGACCAGCTGCTTGGGCAGCCAATTCGATATACAGCGATGCTGGACAGAGACCATTTCCCATAACAGCATGTCCACTGACAGCAGCCTGGAAGCTGTCGGATCCTACGTTCACCGCAAACACGGCAACGCTCTCTTGTGCTGTATCGCGATGTTCGAGAAATTGGAGAATTCTCGGGTTATGAACAGTTGTATCAATCGCTTCCTGGGAGTCATTACTGTCCAGAAAGTCTTTGAAGTCGAGCCAATATCGTGATTTATCAAACTGATAAGGAGGTAAGTTGATATGCTTGAAAAGATGTCTCTGGCGACGATGATAGAGCCAGTAATCTATGTGATATCCGGCATCGTGGAACTTGAAAGTTGTCTGGATTAGAGAATTCTCGGATTTTCCGACCGACAAATCAACAGGTAAGAAAACGTGCTCTGGAACTAGGCTGTAATCATTGCGCACGCATTTCGATACGAGTTTTGTCACGCCAGACTTGGAACCTGCTTCTAGCCAAACGCAAGTTCCAAGCCTCTGCTGGATACGTTGTACAGCGTCCTTAAAGTAAACAGGTTGACGAGAATGCGCTAGTAATCGATCAGCGTCGAAGGTCGGCCAGCTGTTACCTTCTGTACAAGTCTCGATGCGTATTTTAGGGCTATTGAACGTCAATTCGCATGCAAGCTTTGCTAACTCCGGCAGCGCGTCATCCATGAGCCTAGAATGGAACGCTCTATTTGTGTTGAGTCTTTGGGCTTGTATGCCTGCTCTCGTTGCCGCTATCTCAAGTGTCTCGATGCCAATTGTTGAGCCAGTAACAACAACGTCTGTAGGGCTGTTGTAACAGGCAATCTCAAGTTTCTCGGAAATGTCCCCAATGAGGCGTAGAACAGCATCCGAGTCGGCCCTGACGGCAATCATGGCACCCTTTTCAGCACTCCAGTTTCTCTCAAAAAGGGCTGCCCGTCCAGAAACATAGCTCAAAGCATCCTTCAATGATAGAACGCCAGAAATGCACAGTGCCGCTATTTGGCCGAAGCTGTGGCCAATAACAGTGTCAACGACAACTCCAGAGTCGATCCAGCACATTGCTGAAGCGTATTGAACAGCAAACAAAGAGCAATTGAGAACCACTTCGTCCTCAATTGGGTCTATGCTATGTATGTGAGGGAATATTGAAATCCCATTAATCTCACTTAGCGTTTCGCAGACGTTGTCGAGATGGAAGCGGAAGACCGCCACAGATTCGTATATAGTTTTGTCCAAGCCGATGGTCTGGCCGGAATGTCCTCCAAAGCAAAGCACTATGGGCTTTGATGAATTCGGCGTTTGTTGAATAGTTTTACTGCCATCCGCTTTCCAAGCGGAAAGTAAAGAATGGAGCTGGTCTATTGACTCAACTATGGCGGATCTACGGTATTTCAGAGTGTAATCCTGCTGGTGTGCCAGGTTGAAAGCATAGTCGGGCAATTCAGCTTCAACAGCAGATAGGACATGTTTCTGCAACGACGAACAGTATTCTTGAAGACTAGAGGCCGAATTTGCACAGATAGAGATAAGGTGCTTGGAGAATGAGGGTGGAATCCGTTGACGTACGGCGCGTTCCATATGCCGTGTTGGGGGCTCACAAACCACCAACGCCCCATTCGTTCCAGAGGCACCATAGTTGTTGATGCATATAGCACGAAAGTCAGAGTCCCAAGGAATTGTAGCAGTGGTAATAGCCATATTGTCCGGTTCTAGAGGAGGAATCCGGGGGTTTAAAGAGACAAAATTGGGCTGCTTGGTTATTACTTTGTTCTGAATCATCATAACGGATTTTATAAGGGCTGCAACTCCAGAGGCAGCCTCGAGGTGTCCGATATTTGCTTTCACGGAGCCTATATGGAGCTTTGTACTTCGGTTTGCATCACCGAACACGTTGCGGATGCTCTGGCACTCAATAGGGTCACCAACCGGTGTCCCCGTACCGTGAGCCTCAACATATGAGATATCCGATGGTTTTAGACCAGATTGTGCCAGGACTTTGCGGTAAAGAGAGCTCTGCGATTCCGAATGCGGCACGGTGATTGACACGCTGTTGTCACTTTGGTTTATTGCAGAACCAGGTATTACACTAAGAATTGGATCACCATCGTCTATCGCATCACTGAGCCTTTTGAGAACAACAAGACCACAGCCCTCTCCACGGCAATATCCGTCTGCCGCGGCATCAAATGCCTTCGAGGCACCCGTTGGGCTAAGGAATGAGGCAGCCCCGAGATTCTGGTACAAAGCCGGGCTGGTGATGACATTAACACCGCCTGCCAGAGCTCCATTGCATTCACCGGTCAAAAGTGCTTTACATGCAGAGTGCAAAGCCACTAGTGAGGATGAACAGGCTGTGTCATACGTGATAGATGGACCAGTCCAGCCAAAATGATGCGATATCCTGCCACTCAAGAACGCTCTCAGTGACCCAACCGCAGAATATGCGGTAGGTTGGTGCGAGTATATATTGCCTTCATAATCCACTGAGCCAACACCGACATAGCAGCCAAACTCGCGGGATTTATTATTCCCGTCAAAATATTGTGCTGACTGCATTGCCTCGTAGGCAACCTGCAATAGCAGTCGCTGCTGAGGGTCCATTGAAGTTGCCTCTCGGGAGGAAATCTTAAAGAATTGCCGGTCAAATGCATCTGGGTCACGCATAAAGTTGCCCCAGAAGCGAGTATCGCTTGATGATCGACGCAGTTGGCCGACTTTGAAGCGATTCGCAGGGATCTCGGAGAGCATTGAAGTCCCATCCTTCACCAAAGTCCAGAACTCGTCCAAGGAGTCGGCGCCAGGAAAACGACCGGCCATGCCTACGACGGCAATCCCATTTTGTAAGTTGAGATTTGGAGGTGTAAGTTGTGTGCTTAGCTCGGATTCTGATAACTTAGATGACAGCAGACGTAGGCGAAGTTGGTGCGCTTCCTCGCAAAGTTGCACCTTCTTCCCAACAAGCTGCCATCCATTTGTCGCACGAGGAAGAAAATTGGTAAGCCCGAATGTTGTAATCAATAGATTTTCGCAGCCTTCGTCTTTGAACTGTGATAATGCAGCGGTAATTCTTGCCTGCCAATTGAGCTGTTCCATCAACGAAGACTTGATTGCAAATTCATGCAGTATGCATTCTTGATTATCAGCTCCGTAATCCCCGTCAATCCTTAGTGGTGTGCGAAGCTTTGAAGCATCGGGAAACTGTAGATCAGGCCTTAACCGGGCGAGATCCATCAGTTTTTTGGCCACGTCGGAATTTGATGGGTGATGGTGACGGCCTAAAAGGGGAAGTGGAATTGTTTTCAGACCGTGTGAAGACAGCTTCTGCGTTATTGGCGCTATCTCCGAGTGAGGAACCACCACAGTTGCACTCCTTGCATCCCTTATAACCGATATATACGCCTAAAATAGCATGTTGAGCAATCAAGTCCTTACTAGCTAGAACGCGGTGAAGGTACCTTTGGGTGATAAGCCATGGTCTGGAGGAGGCCTAACATTTCCGTGTCCCACTGGACAACCACAGCCTGCATTATCTCACTCGGATCCTCGCATCCTCCATTCAAATCAACAATAGCGCCGATGCAGGCCGCTAACCGTAAAGCAACTGAGGCATGGCGACTGAATTCCTGCACGCTATTTGACAGAGCTGCAGCAATTGCTGTCAGGAAACCCGTGCACATCCCTTCCATGCCATACGCAGAGACGCTCTTTGCGGGTGGATCTTGCTGTCCAGTCCGCAATATCCATTTCGCATATTGTACCGTATGCAGGATGACGGTCAATGGAGACAGCAGGGCATTTAGGGATGAGATATCGGCTGCATCTTCTTGCAGAACCCCTGTATCGAGCCATTTCCGCAGTCTCGTAAACGCTTCAAGCCCGTTGCTTTGCTCTATTCCGGGCTCAATTTCCAAAAGCAATGGCCACAAATCAGGCAAGCCTCGCACGGCATCCCGGAACGAAGCCAATTCTGGTGCGTGTAGAAGGTCATGTCGCAGGCGAGAGATGCATGCTTGGCCTGGTAACTCGGTTTGCGGCCCGAAGACAACGAAAGGTACAAAGTTCATGTCTAACGCGATATCACCAGGCGATTGCTCATTTGGTAATGGTATAGGGGCACATGCCGTACTCTAGCAGGACTTCCTACGGCTTCCTGGGCCTAACATTTCATATTTGAACCGTTATTTCTCGACAAAGAATTCGTATGAGGCGGGAGTTCCGTTCGCCTTGATTATTGATTTCTAATGGAGCGCGGTGTTCCATTGGCCCAGATGGGGAATATTTAGTGTATATTTGAGAGACTAGTCATGCAGACTAGAACTTCTGTGAAACTGAAAGATGCACTTGGGCTTTAGTGTGCGCAAGGGCTCGGCCGTTGGCTCCTTTCTGCGTGCCCCGGTACCGCCCCGGCGGGAATGTTGGCATTTTAGGGCTATGCTAACGATACAAGCATACATACACGCTAACCGGAGGCCTAGTAATTTACTACGTATTCGATGTTCATTCATCTATATATTTAAACTTTATTAAGGCCGCCGGGGGGGTCCTGGCTCTCTCTCTCGCTTAGGTTTATTTTCCGGCTCGATCTATTGCTTGGTGAAAATTGGCCTCCTCGTAGCTGGCAAACTCCCCCAAGTATATATGAGTAGAACCCCAGGAGGCACCAACATAGCCACGAGAGCCAAAGCTTACCCTGCCAAACAAGGTTTCTGCATGACAGCTGCGTTCTATAGTACTGCGTTCTTAAGTATACATCCACTATTGAACCAGCTACGCGGTGCGCACTGATGGCCCACCACGAGTCCGCAAAATGCCGAAATGCATTGACTGTTCTTTGTCTTCTGTCATTCTGATGTACATTGTTTGAAACGCACTTCGTATCGAAGGATTGTTAATCCTTCGGAGGGTATTTGTCGTCTATTTATTCATTTATTTTCTCAGATGGTGGCAAACGCTAGACGCCAATGTATGCATCCATGCATACGGGCGGTCCTGCATACCCCAGTCCAGCATACAGGCAAGCATTGCCTGTCGTGCTCAAAAATAGAGCAGGCTATGTACTCTACGCCGGCGATCATCCGGACTACTGTGCTCGTGGTGTAATGATCTTTCCCTATTTCTGGTACACCGGCAGGTTGGAAAAAAGACGATTGAGGGGAAATGCCTGTCTGTTCCAAGATACCCAGCTGGCAGGATTCTTCTCTCAACGCTAGTGAACAACTCAGCTGCAAGTAGTGGATCTAATTGCATACACTGTATTCCATGTACTCCAAAACCCAGGCGCTCGTACATACTATAAAAAACGGCTACTAATAAACGCTCAGACGGCTGTAAGTTGCTGCTAAATCTATAGCTTGAAGGTAATGCAGAGACTTATGTGAAAGTTGGCACTCTTGGCCACGAAGAGAAGCGGGACATTAACATGTGAACGTGTCAAAGTTTATTCGATTCCCTTATGTCCGACATTCTATACATTCTCAAGCTGAAGTGGAGTGGATTGGTTTTACATTCAGCATCCCTATGTAGAATCTAGTATACATGATATTGAAAAGATATCAAGAGCTACCTAGTGCCTAGGTGGCCATATGGATCTTCATTCATTCACCGAGAATGATATCGGCAGCTGCTTCAGCAAAAGCATACATCGGTGCTTGGTAATGCCCAGCAATAGGCGTCGGAATTACACTAGCATCACATACACGTAAATTATTGACGCCTTTGACACGGCACTGAGTGTCGACGACCGCACCCATGGATGCCGTACCAGCGTTTTGGAAGAAAGTATTCCCCATGATACCAACACGTCTGTCGATCTCAGCATTGGTAGAAGTACTGCTGATCGTAGGATAGCCGGGAGGGGGAATTTCTCCTTCGACGATCTCTCGGGCAGCTTCTGTCTCCATGATCTTCAGGCATAGCCGAACACCAGTCCGCATGGCCTCGCGGTCGGTCTCGGTTTGCAGATAGTGCGCATCGAGAATAGGATTTGACAGAGGATTAGTATCAGCCAATGCCAGCTTCCCACGGCTAGTCGGTAGCAGCAGAACCGTGGGCGTGGCAATGACAGTGCCATCCGGCACAAGATGAAACCCCGAGCCATAGCTGCCAATTGGGCCGTAACATACAAAGACTTCAGCATTAGCTCGAGGCCCCTTGCTCAAATAGGGATCTTGTGCGTCGATCTTGTCTGCCGCAGCTGCAGTGACGAGCTTCTCACGTGGAGTTGTGATGGTGGCAATCCATTCCATTGGATTGCCATGCCGGAATTCTGGTTTGTTGAAGAGCGGCGAGCCCAGAGAAAGACCCCTTTCCGGATCCTTGAGCTTCCAAAAGATCGAAGCGGCAACATGGTCGTGGAAATTCTCACCCACAGGCAACTTCGCAATGGGCTTGATGTTGTGCTTCGAGAGTTCGCTCTCCGGCCCGATCCCTGATAGCATCAGAAGCTGCGGAGTTTTGAGTGCTCCACAGCTAACGATCACCTCCTTCTCGGCTCTGTACTGGGACCCATTGGTCAAGCTTACTCCCACTGCCGTCTTTTGCTCATCTCCTTCAAAGAGGATGCACGCGACGACGCTGTCAGTTAAAACGACCGCCCGTGACAAGTCATATGCTTTGCCTGCGGGCTGCCGCTGTCCGTTTCTCCAATTCTCCGTGAATTTTCCAAAGCCGAGTGGATTGCCGCTATTAGTGTCAGGATTGTACTCCAGACCGGCGGATGCGAATGCAGTTCTGATAGTCTCCCTCAGTGGGTATGTGCGAGCTCCGGCAGTTGTCGAAATGGGCCCAGTAAAGCCATGCAGCGCGGGATTGCCATTGGGGTCATAATGGGTTTCTACCTTTTTGAAATAAGGGAGCATATTCTTGTAACTCCAGCGCTCATCGCCTACAGCCTCGGCCCATACATCGTAGTCGACTGAGTGGCCGCGAGTCCATAATCCAAAGTTCACTCCTGTAGAGCCCGACAGCAGCTTTCCTCCGTGATTCGGGACTGATCGGTCCCCAAACCCCGGCTGCTTCGTCGTGTAGACATTGTATTCGAACGAAGATCCAAGAAGATGCGGGGCCCCCGTAGCGCTCATAATCTGCTCGCTGTAATCTTCGGGTCCGGCTTCGATCAGAATTACACTGTGGCCGGCTTGGGACAGGCGTGAAGCCAGAACGCAGCCTGCATGGCCACCTCCACAGATAACGTAGTCATAATCGGTTTGCGTCGTCATGGTTTTTTTTTTTTTTTTTTTTTTTTTTTTTTGGTGCTTCTCTGGGAAACCTGCTCGTAGATCTCAGCTAGAATTTCGATGAGTGTAGTTAGACTCTTCCGAAACCAAATCACTATACTGGGTAGTATAGATATTATGATATACAATACACATTGAAATAATCCGTTGTGTGTATCGCTACCTAGGTATAAGGTTGGGTGGCTACGGTCTCGAGTCGTCCATAATTTTGCTAGTCCCGCCTGCTATCCCCACTAGATATTGCATTCATAGATCATCTGATGCTAGTATACTTTTTTCTGCTTATTTTCTGGGCCTGGCTTAGCGTCATGCAGAGAACACGTTGAATTAATTGGATTCTATTATGGATATGCAATATGTGCAGCGGATGTCTCTAGCCCTAACAGGCGATTTTGACAACACGGCTAGAAACCAATGAGTACCATCAGATCCACCACCTGAATACTGATCATGAGACACTAACAGTCAAAGACATTGGAGCCTTGGAGGATAGGGGAGATAGCCCTGCGCCACGCCTTGATTCTTGCAAGGGCCTCGCAAGGGCCACTTCGTACATAGTACCACTGACGCAACGATGCAGAGAACATCCAGTGCTTGCAGCTTTAATAGCGTACTACCTAGGTAAAAACCAAAGTCTAGTTAAAGGTAAATTGGTACTAGTTACTAAACACGTAGTGGATGCGCCCCTCCTCAGAAGGCTTAGTGCGGCACCGAGAGAGAAAAAAAAGAAAACTGCAAGGCTCAAGCATCTGTCTTTAGATCGACATGGGCTTACTGGAGTTATCATGAAGTCTCACATGTCGATCGCATGGCTGGTAATTTTGAGAAGCAACCCTAGAAGCCTTTGCAATGCTATTTGTCGCTGCGGCTGTTCCCAACGATCGTCATCGGCTCGGATGGATCGTGGGTTTTTACGACGTTCTACATTAGATATCTCAAGATTGGGGTTACTTCTTTCAATCGCGATCTTTGTTATGTGGCCATTGAACATGGTACTTTATTATCTGGCCGGAGATGGCAAAACTCAAAAGGACTATTGAACAAAGGCAGACGCTTCTATGAGATTACAAGAGATGAGACAAAGAAAAGCTCAGCAGACGATCAGAACTCGAACAATGGAGGCATTTCCCAGGCGCGTGCTGATCAATCGATTCTTTCTCTGATATCGCCGACATCAATTTTGCCCAACATGAAAGGAACTGTCGTCCTGGTTTGTAAAAGGATCCTTGGTTAGCAAGTCCCTTTCTGTCGAGGCAGTTCCACGCAGCATCAACCTAGAAAATAGAGACTGTTAATGACTCGGTGGATACAAAGTAGAGAACCCTTTTATGTCTCTGAGGTATTTTCAATCCTTGTCTTCCTCCGTCCCGGGACATTCCCTATCTACCGTTGATGCTCTTTTCGAAAAGGAAGAATGAATGCTGCCAGTATCAATCGTGGCGCTGATGGCGATAACCTTCTTAACCCTAACCCTAAGTCGGATAAGCCGGCTCCAAGGTCCCGCGTCAATAAGCCATTCATAATTATCTATCCACTGCAGGACGATGCGAGGTAGGCAATTTTTTCCAGTGCACGAATCCTGAGGTTGGTTTTGACTCTTGAGGCCACTGAATCATGTATCATTGAGCGAGTGGCCCACAGCACGTTACCCACCAAGTATGTCGTAAGGGAGTAAGCATTTCCAAGCTGCTACGTAGACTAGCTTGACCGATCTCCGACTGTTTTCCGTGTCTTAAATCCGTCATGCCAGTTGCATGTCAATCAATCTATTTCTTTCATGGCGGTGAACGTTTGAAGGATTATTGAAAATTACGCCAACTTGGTCAGAGGTGTACAGAGTCAGAGTGCATGTTTGCATACCTTAGATCAGATATAATACGTACTAGCAGTACTAGGCACTATTCGTGCTGGATCCGTACTCCACTGTCAATTTCATGCATGCATGCAGGCGTCCATGTCGGGCAAAAGTCGACAGGATTGTTCTTCAACCTTCTATTTAGGTCAAGGTAGGTGGAGTCTCGGAACTTATACTAGTGTGAACGGACAATCGGACACCAATTATACGCAATAATCTGCCCTTTATGGGCTACGTAGTTGGCATTAGCTCTCAAAGTTTGTTAAATAGCGTGGAAAGACTCGTTGAACAACGTCCAGCCGGGACCGGGTCTGGCCGCCGTCGCTAAGGCCCATGCCAGATACCCAGTCCAATAGAAAAGAAAACACCGGGTTACAGCTGTCGTATTTAAAGCTCACTGACACGGTAGGGTATTTGGACATCGTCCATATCAAACTCTTCGTGAGGGGTGGGTTACTAACTATGAACGTCTAATCTAAGAATTGACACATTCATGATGGCAACTATACAAATTAGCCTCATAGCAGCCATCGGGCTCTTGACAGTATATCTCGTCTATACATTCCGGAAACTTGGGAGCATCCCTGGTCCTTTCTGGGGGCGAATCTCAAACCTGCCACGCGTCAATTGGGTTAAGACCGGACGATCTCATGAGATCCATCAAGACTTACACCGCAAATATGGCGACGTTGTGCGCTTCGGCCCGAATATGGTGTCTGTTGCAGACCCAGCCTGTATCCCTGTCATCTATCCAATGAGACCTGGATTTCCCAAGGTATGTGTTGGTGTCATTGGCCTGCTTTCATGTCAATAGTATTGTGACAAGATTGCTGTGCTTCATGTGTTTTTGCGCCTCATGGAACATAAAACTGTAACATTGAAAATCTGATGTAAAAGAGAAATCCAGGGCCAGTTCTATCGAGCCCTAATGCCATACACCGGTAAAGGCAAGTCTCTACCAGCTGTTTTCAACACCAGAGATGAAGCCATCCTCAAGCAAATCAAGAGTCCAATTGCTCCGTTGTTTTCACTGTCAAACGTCCTTACGCTTGAACCCTTTGTGACCCGTACATTAGAAGTACTTTTGGAGCAATTTGACGCCCGTTTCGTTCAGACGGGGAAAACCTTTGACTTGGCCGACTGGTTACAGTATTATTCTTTCGATGTGATGGGAACGTTGACGCTGTCTAAGCGTTATGGGTTTCTAGAACACGGAAAGGATGTGAATGGCATGCTGCTTTCTATATGGAACTATTTCAAGGCTGCTGCTCCAGTAAGTTCGAAACAAGTGCAACTAAGAATACGAAAAGAAATTTTACTCACGGCTGCTGCTATTGTAGATGACGCAAATTCCATGGTTTGACGAAATCTGGAACAAGAATTCCTGGGTCAACATATTCACGCCCCCTGGTGGATTTTCAATCTTACGAATAGTACGCGGATTTATTGAGGAACGGCAGAAATTAATGGAAGAGAAGGGCAACGTGTATAGGAATAAGAAGCTTCATGAAAAGGACATGCTGTCTCGATTTTTGGAGCTTCAGCAAAATAACCCATCCATCCCACCATGGTATGGATCCAGCTTCGATATACATTGAGCAACACCAAAACCTTGAATATATTGCAGTGCTAATTAGTGTTTTTCGAGGAATTCCAAAGGTCTGTCATGGCATGGACTTTTTCCAATGTCTTTGCAGGCTCTGACTCGACGGCAGCCATCCTACGAGCTATCTGGTACAATCTCTTGGCGCACCCTCATACCCTGGAGCGACTTCATAACGAATTAAAGGAGACAGAGCAGACTCGTGGTCTTAAGCATCCGATTCCTGACTGGGGCCAAGTCAGTGATTTGCCATACTTAGACGCATGCATCAACGAGGCAGTGAGGTTGCATCCACCGTTCTGTTTGCCCTTTGAACGTGTTGTTCCACATGGCGGCATTACTATAGGCGCACATTACCTTCCAGAGGGGACTGTGGTTGGAATGAGTCCGTATGTGACAAACCGACATCGACCAACATTTGGCGAGGATGCCGATGAATGGAACCCTGATCGCTGGCTTTGTGAGGACGAACAGCAACGGAAGAAGCTTGAACAGAGTATTCTGACGGTATGTATTTCTTTGATTGCTGAGAAACGCATGCTGATATCATTTTTTATCACAGTTCGGAGCAGGAAGACGAGTATGTCTAGGGAAGCACGTCGCAGTGTTGGAAATCAAGAAATTGATCCCTACATTGCTTTTGAATTACGAGGTATGTCTACTGAATTGATCCCATCATCGAAAATCTTACTGATACGCTACAGTTCAAGCTACTGGATCCAAAGCGGTATAGATTGGAGAACTTCTGGTTTTTCCAGCCTCAAGGGATAGACGTCAAAATCAGAAAGCGTGCCAACACCGAACGACAGTCTTGACTTAGTTCAAATTTATGAATATGATGCTTTCTTCACTGTTCTGAGGGAACTAATGAGTGAATGCGATTTTCGTTTTGGGGCTCTCTCTCAAGGTGTAACTTAAAAGGTACAAGCGCGGGTTAAACCCTAAACCCTAAATGCCCTTTGCTACGACACAAATCCATTGATCGATCCACAGCTCGTTATAATACTAAGCATGATTTTCTAGATAAGAACAAGTCTATTCACGAAGGTATTAGCTGAAACCTGCACACCTTTTTGTTTCAGACCTCACTAGTTATTTCATTTCCTATAATATGTGCGCATAGAGGTTGGCATATATGATTTTGGCAATATTATTTAACTATATGAAGTAGGAATTTCATATGACCTAGAAATCTCTCTCGGAAGTAGCTAAGTCGCTCAGTCCACGTTATGTATTGGGGAGAAACAACCCTAGGATTGGACCTCGGGTCTTCGGCATTGAGAAGACACCATCAGCCGTAATTAGCTGAACTAGTTAGATTAGTCTTACTCGTAGTTGTAACTAAACTCTGGATGCTGACAGTGGAAACGCTATCAAATAACGCATCATTTTTGATACTTCCCTAGAAAGATCTACGGCTGAACTAGTACAGTACTACATACTGTACCAAGGTACGGTGTGTGCAACTAATCGCACAAGCCGCTTCCCATTCATCTGTATGTATCGATATAAAACCTGGACAGTGCTGAAAGAATATAAAAACTACCGGCTAATGCATCATTTCTCATCTTTCAGTAAACTCACAACATGTCGGGTGGACTAGTTCTATACGCACTCAGCGCAGCTTTCGCAGCCTGGATTCTGTTCTTCGTCTACCGACAACTAGCATCTCCTCTGCGTCACATACCGGGTCCCTTCTGGACACGTTTCACTCGGGCATGGTATCTGTACCGGCTATCGCAGGGCCATTTTGAGAAGGAAAATATCGATCTTCATAACGAGTTTGGCTCCATTGTCCGCATCGCTCCCGGCTGGTATAGTTGCAGCGGTACCGAAGCCATCAAGAAGATCTATGGGCTCGGGTCCAAGTTTACCAAGTCGGATTGGTACGATGGATGGAGACATCCAAATCCGAACCAGTGGAGTTTATTTGCTGATAAGAATGTCAGACGACATGGTTGTTTGCACTTGGTACCGTGAATGGATAACAAACGTACTAATAATTTTTTGTCTGCCTTCTAGCCGAGACGAAAAGGCTATTTGCAGGCCTCTACTCGCTTACTTCGTTAATGAGCTATGAGCCATTTGTGAATCGCTGTATTGACCTATTCGTTGATCGATTGTCTGAGTTTTCGCAAACGAATGAAGAGATTGATCTCGGACACTGGATGCAGTGCTATGCATTTGACGTTATTGGATGCATCACTTTCGGGGAGAGATTAGGTATGTATATCTTGCACGTCGGTTTTTCCTTTTTGAAATCGTCAGCCTAACAAACACAATCAGGGTTCTTAGACAGTGGCGAAGACATTGAAGGCGTAATCCGCGCGGTTGATTCGATCCCTGGCTTTGCATCATTATCAGGAATATATTCCGAATGGCATTCACTCTTATACAAAATCAACAGTTATCTAACAACATCTGGGGCCAGTGGACGCAATTTTTTAGCGAGTTTTGCGAGAGAGAAGATTACAAACCATAAGCAACAGCAACAGAAAGACCTAGCAGAAAAAACGCAGGAACCAGATGGCATTGGCAGTACAATCGTCAATCAAGGCGAAGATGGGACCACATCGCGAGAGCCCTTCATGACAAAGATGATTCGAGCGCAGCTCCAGAACCCAGAAAAGGTCTCGGATTACCACTTGATCATGCTTGCACGTAGTAACATGGGAGCCGGATTTGACACGACAGCAATCAGTCTTTCGTCTATAATCTACCATCTGATCAAGACCCCTCGTGTGGTACAAAAATTACGAGCCGAGTTCGACGCGGCGAGAAAAGCCGGTAGACTCAGTGACCGCGTCACGTTCCACGAGAGTCAGGATCTCCCTTACTTTCAGGCAGTTATGAAAGAGGCCCTACGCATGCATTCTGCTACCGGGCTTCCACTGTGGCGTGTTGTCCCAGAAGGGGGAGTTGAGCTGAATGGAGTGCATTTCCCCGAAGGGACTATCCTAGGCATAAATAGCTGGGTTTCGCATTATAATAAAGACGTCTTCACAAACCCGACTGAGTTCTGTCCGGAGCGATGGATTGAGCAAGACGAGGCGAAGCTCAAGACTATGAATGATATGTATATGCCGGTAAGTTCTTCTGGCTTTGAGAAGAGCTTTTACTCTACCTTTGATTACTATCTAGCTAACTGACGGTGACTGATAGTTTGGACTCGGTTCACGAACCTGCATTGGACGGCACATTTCGATATTGGAAATGTCAAAATTGATTCCCGTACTTGTAGACAGGTTTGATTTTGTCATGGCTTCTTCTGCATCTCCTTCCGGGGAGAGTAAATGGGAGACTGAGAACTTCTGGTTCGTCAAACCCCGAAACTTCAGGGTGCGAGTATATCAAAAGGGGTTGAGAGATTAATGTGTATTTTTGAATTTATACCAATGTGAAAAAAATGAAATCCCAATTCTTCGAGGTGTGACAACCACAAGAAATGCAGTGACATGTATACACATACAGATAACAACTTCAAAAATACACAAAACGAAGTGACTCGTTATAACAAACACCCAGTCGTCACCAGTCATCTAAATTTTACATAATCCATGTCAAAAGCCGCCGTATGTATAACCTGACATCTAGCTTAAACAGATCAACTGGATGGCCTCCATTCAGCCACACTTGTACAAACCCATCCGTCACCCGCATTCTGGCTCGCATCGTCGGTGTTCTGCCAGAAATAATTAGCCTTACACGTCCTCATAGCTCGATAACCACATGTGACAGCAACATCCATGCATACGCCTGAAGGAAACGAATATCAACATACCAGTTCATAACAGCACCAAACATCCGCCGCGTGTGCGCACTGCACGTTCTGATCCGCTGGAACAGCTGTGCCTAGACATTAATCATTGCAATCAGTATCCATTTCCATCCTAATCTTAAAAACGAGAGAAAGAGGAAAACAAGGGCAACATACAATTAGTAACGCCCAGAATTCTCCCATCTTGAAAACGTCGACTAATCGCATTCTCATCACAACAATACGGCTGTTGCGGTATTCCAGAGCCGTCCTGTGCAAGATCGCATTTCCATGGGCCCCTTTTCGTCTGGGCTGGTGCTTGGGTTGGAGATGCTAGAGACGGGAGAAGTTGGGCGTGAATGGTCGAAGTGAGAAGGGCCGAGGCAATGAATAGAGAAAGTGATGAACTTGTAAAATGCATTGTCGATTGTCCTTTTTTTTAATATCTCCCCTGTCTGATTTTCCAAGTACTGAAGTCGCCGAGTAGCAGTGGTTCAGATGTGTATATGGATATAGAGTCACTGATCAAATCCTTCTAGGTTCGTTAGTTTAATTTCAAAAATATCAAAGAAAATATTCTGTTCCTGTCAAAAGAACTTCCCTGGAGGTAGGTATATGTGGCTCGGATGGATAATTCGGCATCCCTTGTTGCGCGCTGATTACGCGTGAATTAAGGACTGGAATGTCGCTTGCTCATCGTTCTCCAAGGGTTTACTGAATTACCCCTTTAATGACGGAGGGGGTTCGCATTTCATTGTTTCATATATTGTTTTCTTTTTTCTTGCTTGTTCCTATCATACAATCAGGACGAAGCAAGCGTATAGTATGCCTGTCGTGCAAGTTAAGAGGGTATCATATACATATAACGAAGCCGAGTTTCACCAAACCAGCGCATATGGGGGTCGCAAAAAGCCAAGAATATGGCAAAAAGAAACTCCTGCAAAGACAAACGCTGTGCTTAAACAACGACCAGAATAATTGCTCAAATAATAGTTAGCTATAGTTCACCGTTCCGTAGCCTTTTCCTGCTCTGCTTCGCCGCGCCGCTTATTATGCTCTAATTCAGCTAAACTCTGGCGTCTCACAAATTCCATCACGATGTCCATCTCCTCCTTCTCTCGCTGTTCCCGTCGTAGACTGTCTTCATAGCTCCGTTGTGACGCATTCAATGCATTTTGCAATTCAGAATCATAAGCGTCAGGTGCGCGTCCGCGCGGCGGTAACTCAGGCGGCGGGCCTCGCTGCTGTTGATTTTGGTTTGGTTTGTCTATCGATTGAGACTCATAAGGGTTAGATGATGCTATTTGATCGGCAGATTGATGTTCCTTCTCTTCCTTCTTCTCTGCTAGTACATGTTCTGCCTCTCTGATGCTGGCTTTGACCGCAAGATCGTAAGCCCGTTCCTCTTCCTCGCCAGCAGCCTGTGCAGCTCTCAATTCTTTCATACTAGCCCGTAGAGCACGCTCAATCATTTCATCTTCAGTTTCGTTGCCCTGTGAAGTCACAGCTACCGAGTGTCGAATAGTGTGTTCATATTCGTCCGGGAGTCCTGCGTCGAGAGCCGTAGGTGAAGAAGAATCGTCACGACCATGGAGCAGCTCACTGATCAGCTTTCGATAGTTTGTTTTGGTTGGCTCCCTTCTCCACCTTTCTCCAATACTGGCTTTGTTTTCTTTGATCTCTCTTGATCGCTCAGGGTTCCCATCAAGCGACCTGCCACGCGAGTGTCTCGCACTTTTCTTCACCATAACCTCCTCTTCAACAAAAGCCCAGTTTTGTAGAATGTGTTTTTTCTCATCTGCAGTGGAATTAGAAAGATCTAGCAATCCCTGAGCACATCGTGAGGCTATTATGTAATTCTCAACACTCTCGCCAAACCGCTTTTGGATCTCTTGGTAAATCCCGCTCATCGTATAACCTGTCAACGCCCAAGCTCCTGTATATAGATTTCAATGTCAAAAACCACATCTGTAATATCAATATTATGGCAGAAGGAGCTTGCTAACCTCCAACAGGTTTCAAAATTAGACCACCGATTCCCTTACTGAACCCTTTGATTGCGCCAGCAGCGCCTTCTTTCTTAGCACCTTGAATCGGCTGTGTAGCGAGACCAGATATACCGTCGTAAAGGCCGTATCCAAATTCCTATAGTTTGTTAGTAAAAACTTCTCAATGAGGACAAATGTATCTCACTTTCCCAGCGGCCTTCAAGCCGCTCTTGATGCCAGTAACCTTTGATTGTTCACGAACAGTCTCGTCTCCATACAACAACGGTGTGTTATGAAATCCTTTGGCTACCGCCATTGTAAATGCCGCAGGGACTCTAAGTCCCACATTGACCAGTTTCGCGGCGGACCTTGCAGTACCCACAAGTCCGTCGAGGTCGAGGTCACGGATATCGCTGATTGTACGGGCATGCTTCCTAGTATACACCTCTTGTACGTGCTGCGTCTCCGAAGACTCTGCTTCTGTTTGATCATGATCTTCAGGCAAACCACCGTCCGCTGGCACAGTAGCAGGACGCGTTGATTTAGGTACATGGCTCGAAGCGGAAGTATCGGTGGATTGTGGCATAGTTTCTATAGGGGACTGGACCGCATCTTTGTCACTGTCTACTTTAAACCGCGTCACAGTGACTGGCGAACTCATTCGACTGTTGCTAAGCGATCTCCGATATGTGCTAGCTGGCGATTGCGACCCAGATCTTGATATTCTCGTGTTCAGACTCCGTTTGACGTCCATAGACAAATCTGCAAACCCCATGATGAATTCTTCGATACTGTCTAGCATAGCTGCACCTCCTCCAATGATCGGATCGCTAGGTTCGGGCTCCGTCATATATTCCTGAGGTCGATACCTGACAATGAACTTAGGTTGCATGTTTTTTGGTAGCAATAATACAACCAGATGCAAGGGAAATATTCTTACAGTTTCACGTCTTCCAAGTCCAACTTCCTTTCCGCATTGAGTATGGAGAAAGCGAGGGCGCTTAAGCGGATCTGTGTTCGTTTGATACGGAATACAGCTGTTCGGTTTGGGTCTAGGGAGCATCGCATCTTGTCCACATTCAAATGACTCTGGAAAGAACATGCACCGACATCAGTGCCACGCTCTGCCTCAATAATGCCAGCTAGCAAGGCTGCCTTTTCGGATGTGGTTGGCTCCAAGGCTTGACTGATAGCGGTCGCAAGTTTCTCCGCTGTCAATTGTTTGTACGGTATAGGCTTGGGTCCTGCACCGGCCTTGGCGACCATGGCACCCCAGAAAGGCTGGTCACCAAAAAAGGGTATTATGACGGTGGACCGGCCCGCTGCAATTCCCGCTGCAGTAGTACCGGCTCCTCCATGATGAACAACGCACGACACGCGTTGAAATAGCCAATCATGCGGACAATTCCCAAGCATGAAAACCCCTTCCGGAACGCCCAACTCTTCGGCTCCAAGTCCGCCCCATCCTTTAGAAACTAGAGCTCTGCAGCCTGCCAGACGGACAGCATCGAATATCAAACGCGTCATGTGGTTAGGGTCGTCAACCACAATCGATCCAAAACCTATGTATATCGGAGGAGGCCCTGCAGCAAGGAAAGCAGCTAAATCATCTGGGGGAGTATAATTCGATGCCAATGACAGAAAAAAGAAGCCAGAAATATCAATATGGCTACCCCAATCATTGGGTTTTGGAATTAAAGCGGGAGACCTAGTACGTTAGCTAATGACTCTTTTCTCCCTAGGCTCGTCATGATTCCATACCAACAATATGTATGTGGTATCTTTAATCGAGATATCATTGAAGGTGCCCACATAATGCTAATTGGTGCGAGTCCCAAGCTCTTCTCGCGAAAACGATTAATGATGTCGCCAAGTCCTTGCCAGGTCATCATCTCCACAATAGCATAGCTCACATAATTTGTGATACCAGCATCTGCATTTGACCGGCTAATAGAGGCTAAAGGGTGTGAGAAATCTTGTGTAGGTGACCACGGCATACTGCAAAAGTCAGATTTTTGAGTGCATAATTCTCGGGCTTTTTTTAAGATCCAACGTACGTAAACATCATATGTAGAGGTATTCCCAATTTTTCCGCGCAGTGTATATGTGCAAAGCTTGGCGGGTTTGCAATTATAGCATCGGCGACAAACGGGGCTGACTTTCCATGAAAATTTCGTAAATCTGCATTGCGATCAGAAACAGGCACACCGGTTCCATCACCAGCTTCAAAGCACGATCTCCAGCAGCCCGAAATGATGGTTGCAATTTCAACGCGACGTTCATGAATATCGCCGTTCTTAAGGGCGTCAAATCCGGGCATTAGTCCCGGATTTTTCACCATGAAAGCCATCAGTTTCATGGGGTCACCTCCTATGCTAAAAAACTCGAGCCCATTTTCTTCGACAAACGCTTGAAAGCTCGAGTGAGTTGCAAGGCGAACTCGGTGGCCATGTATAGATTTCAGCACACGTCCTAAGGCTACAAACGGTTGAACATCTCCACGGGATCCGACCACTTGAATTACGATATTCAGAGGGGGAAGCTTCTTTTCTCCTCCCCGCACCAGAGAAGGAGGGACTGGTGTGGATATTGTCGCAGCTCGTGAGTGCGCGCCAAAAGCGGGCAACTTAAAGATTGACCGCAATCGAGATGTAGGCTCATCAATGTCAATGTCAACTCGTCCTTCAGCTGTAGTAATTGTATCAGTATTTCAAGAGGATTCAAGAGTCATGGTCATAGTAAAGTCAGTAGAGCCTACAGGTTATGTTTGCTTGCGTCCTGAACCCCTCATTCGTCAAGTCCACACGCCCAAAGACATTACTATACAGGGGCTTCGGAATCTCTTCTCCCACGGAGAAGTCTTGATGAGTAGGTACTCGCAACAAATCATCATTGACTGCCCAGTGAAAATTTTCACTGGAATCCTGAGATGCAGCCATTGCGATGATACCGCTGTGAGAACGATATTTTCCGTTCTAAGAATGGCTTATGCTATGCGAGCATTTCAGATAACTCAAGGTCGGCTTTCGAAGAAGCTGACACTCGTTTAGAAAAAGAGTATCAAATCTATCAATTGTTAGTTAGACATCAGAACCCGTTCTTCGTCATGCTCAGCATTGGCGAGTTTTGAGGACGAAGGCCGGCAGATACTCACCATACACCTGGCCTAATCAACACGTAGCACGTCAGTCTGCCCGGTGTGTAATATCAAACAATAGTGTGCAGGTCACGAGATATATGCGTGATGCGATGAGGCTATGTATTAAATTCCGTTTTATGTGTTCAGGAATGTGGCCAATCTAGTATGTAAATAGTATGAGCTTTCGGACTCTCGGTGGTGGCGGAGAGCGATGCACACCGTATCGCGGGCGGCGAGAAGATGGTTCGGAAGCAATATGATCGCCGGTGATGACATCGGAGAGAATGTGCTCCACTAGTAGCTGGTGTAGTAAAGCTAGTCACAGAGTATCCAGGAATCAGCAACTCAGTAGATGACCTTATTTTCAAAGTCGCGAAGCTGCGTTGTTCTAAGCTGCTTGTCGGAGGAAGGAGCCGTGACTGGCTGTGGCAGATGAAGTTAAGTGTGGCGCAGCAGGGATGACTCTAAACCAATAATGTTCTGCGCTTATATAACGTAAGCAAAGAGATGTCTGACTCATCCGGGCTTGGCAATGCGCTAGCTACGTCATAAGCTCTTATCTAGTTAACTTATGTGGGAAGAGATGTAATCAATCCTACTACTGCTGTCCTCATGGTAGATGTTATGAAGCCAGCGTCAATACTTAGGTTGATTCAAAGCTGTCTATAGAAGATGTGTCGTTTAAGAAACAGTGAAGTACTAAAGATTAACTCGCAGTGACTTCAACTGCGCACCGTTGGCTGCCTCTTTCGTAGCTGCTGCAACTTCCTCTTCCGAGCTCATAATCTGGACCTTGATGGCCCCCGTCTTTGGATTCGCAGCCGTCTCGAAAGCCTTGAGGGCGTCGTCAATGGCAAATCTGTGAGTGACCAGTTTTCGCAAGTCAATCACACCGTTCTTGACCAGGCGGATTGCCTTGGGCCAAGTGTTGGAGTACCGGTACTGGTATTGTAGGTCGATTTCCCAGGTGCTAAGGCGCATAAAGGGGACCTGCATCTCATTCTTGCCCACGCCAATCACAAAGACCTTGCCACCAAACTTGACGCTCCATATAGCCGACGCGACACTGCTCTCAACCCCAGTACACTCCACTGCCACGCGGGGACGGATGGCATCTACTGCATCAGCATCGCCGTCATTCAATGCAGTCAATACTCCAGCGGCATTCTCTTCCGCGCTTTTTCCGATCTGAACTTGATAAGTGCGCACATCTGGGACCAGCTCCTTGGCAAACTTCAAACGACCCTCGTCAATATCGGTAATGACAATAGGCGATGCACCAGCGGCTCGTACACAGAGCAGTGACACCAAGCCAATGGGGCCAGCTCCTGCAACAAGCACCGGATCTCCTAGACGCACACCCGCACGGTCAATGCCAGCAAGAGCGACACTCAGGGGCTCCAACAGGGCACCATTCTCAAAGCTCATATCTCCAATTTTGTGGCACCAGACGGCTGGGTGGTTCACGTAGCGGCGCAGTAATCCGTCAACGGGCGGTGTTGATAGGAATTCGACGGCCTCACAGCCATTATAGCGGCCAGTCAGACATGGCTCGCACTTGTTGCAAATTACATTAGGCTCAACGGCGACGCGGTCTCCGACTTTTAGGGTCTTCACGTCGGGCGCAGCGGCAATTACGACACCGGCCGACTCATGGCCCAGGATATGATCGCCCGTCACTATCATAGGGCCGATACAACCGGCATGCCAGAAGTGAACATCTGAACTGTGGCGCGCATCAAAAAGAATCAGCACCGTTCCTTATGTAGTCTTCTTATGTGGGAAGACGAAAACGTACCCGCAAATACCGGTGCTTCTGATTTCTATCGTGACCTCGCCAGACTTCAGGCCTTCGCCCGTTTGCACTTCTTCAACGGTGGGCTTCGCATCGGCAAGCCAGAGATCATGTTTTGGGTTGGTGTAAACGCCAATATTTGGTTTCGAAGGAGCGGTGCTGACAGCCATGGTGAAGAATCAAGATGAAGCAAAGGACAGGCACGAGAGAAAAAGAAGGAGCGGACAGATCTAGGAATGAATATATATATATATATAGTAAGAAGACACAAAAGGAAGAAAGAGCGAGACGTGGTGGAGGTGCAATAGCATCACCTGAACACCAGCTCCTCCATGATTGGCGTGCGCTGTGCTACTCCAGTGAGTGAGTGCTTCACACGTAGCAATGAGAGTAAGCACCGAGGCAGGCGCAATTATCCGCGACGCTTCGGCTGGACAGCGCGGGGTGCCCCTCCAATCGCTCTTTCCCTATGCGGTTCCTGCCACGGCTAAATTCGATTTCTGTGCTTCCTTATCTTTCAGGCTTCCCATCAATGACGTTCCGAACCAGTGGATCGTCTCGGGTAAATTCCTGTGGAGTTTAATGAGCTGGTTGGTAAAGCATTAAGCGTCGGGGATGGGAGGTCTAGATCTACAAGCAGACAGGCAGTTTTACCTAAAGCCAACTCCCAAGTCTCATTAACTCAATTACCATAAAAGAGAATTCTTAGTATATATACGTTTCCAGTGAAAAGATTGCGCTGGAATACCGATAATGATGTAGTCCGTGGACGGCATACACGTCGCGGTAAACTATTGCCGTTGGGGATTACTCGAGCAAGATCAATCAACAACCTGCTCAGTGAAAATGTCGTAGATGAAGAAGAAAAGGGTTGAAGGTTAAAAAAACAAGATAATTATCAAGAAGAAGCAAAAAATGATCAGGTCTGCACGGGGATCGAACCCGCAATCTTCCGCTGGCAACTTTTGAACCGTAGGCGGACGCCTTGCCATTGGGCCAACAGACCTTGGTGGAATGGGAAGGTTCCTTCCGGATTATAGAGTCCTGCAACCTAACTCGTTCACATATGTTTTTCCACACTAAAAATGTTTTCCAGAAAGTGCTGCAGCAGGCGGGTCCGAGATGACGAATGACAACGGTCTATTCACGGGAAGCCCCACATTGAAATTACCGTCCAATCACAGGTCGAAATCATAGTACGGCAAAAAGATTTTTTTTTACCAACAACCAAAATTCAAATTGCGAATCCAAGAAAAAAAGATCAAAAAAGAATCACATATGACCTACGCAGTACTCGAAACTGCAATCTTCCGCTCCGTAGGCGGACGCCTTACCATTGGGCCAGCAGGCCGTGATGTCAGTGTGTTTCAAAAATGACACTATGTTGCAGGCACATCGAGTTACTCGTATTTTCATGGCCATAACTGGAAACGTCGCTGGTGCTAACAAATAACTGGCCATTTAGAGTATATCTCGCTCATTTTGATTCATATCGAGGCTCTGCTCCATTTCGTGTCACCATTTTCGTTCGTCTTATTGACTAGACAATGATTCACCATTCGTCTTTCACTGCTTCAAACAGGAAGGAATAATGACGACAGAGGGTTCAAGGAGTATGATGACTGCTGCGAGAAATTCGGCAACGAGTCTAGACGGGTAAGAGAGAATGTGCGGACGGACATCGACACCTCACCAGACTCGCCTTTAGTCACTGCTTACAGGCATTATCATATTGGCGGCATCAGATTTTTTCTATTCGATGAAATGTCTTGTTGGCCAACATATCGGTATTACAGTTATGTTGTTGGGTGCCTTACCAGCATAAGACAAACACACGTCCCTTAATGTCTTACTTCAAAGGAGAATTTTTCGTCTCCATCTTATTTTAGTCTTCCATCAAATATCCGGGCTATGCGGCGTGGTCATAGGTCATTTATCTCTATTCCATAGCAATCACCACACCCACCCATATCGATTTTGATACTGCTGGTAGTGACTGTCCTGGAAGCCGCCGGGGTTTTATATTAGGGTAGACGACCATCTTAGACCTTTATTCGGTGAGATAGCATTGCGGTTCGTGAAGTTGAGACTCAGCCCCTAACAGTAGTTAATGAAATGATATCAGAGACCGTCTCGCCTGATACTCATCATCCCGCAATGCGAAGCCGAGCGAGATAAAATTACAGTAACCGAAAGCTAAACCGCCTGGGGTTTACTCGGTTAGTGAAATAATAATGAGACGAAGAAATCAGACCATTTCGGAGGCAAAAAATAATCAAACCATTAAAAATTATGAGCATACGAAGCAAAAAAGAATAACTGACCTACGCAGTACTCGAAACTGCAATCTTCCGCTCCGTAGGCGGACGCCTTACCATTGGGCCAGCAGGCCTGTTATGATTGGATGGTCAAACTTTTGCCTCATGTTCTTTAATTTCGCAGTCGCATGATATAAGCTTGAGGACATAATGCCTCTCTTTTTCTGATTTCGCTTGCTTCTATCTTTACTCTTGAAGAGTATGATATGGAAATATTCGGAATTTAGAAAAGTACCTGCTTGACAGAATGCCAAGCCGAAAGTAGTTCCACCTGTAAGTTCAAATGTTGCAGCTGTCGAACTAGTAACTTTAGGATGGGGCGCTATATAAATATATAGATATCCAGGTATACCCATGGACAATGACCGTTGATTGCTGAAGTTCTACACACAGTTAATTTTCACAAACCCCCTCCCCTACCACCTGCATAAATCATGACCGTCTCTGGATGTAATTCATTGCACAATTAGGTATGCGGCATAAACACTACCAACCACATTACTAACGGTGCATGTACCTAGGTACTCCGGCAGAAAACCCGGTTCTTGCGCCACAATTTGTGAATAAAACATGATTACAATAGAGAAACAGAGTCATCGCCTACAGGCTTCGTATAACGTTCCGGGGTGCCTTCGCTTGTCTAAAAACAGGACAATAATAAACCAATGTTATTCGGCAGACAACCTAATTTTACTCTACAAGCAACCCTGTATACATGAACAGTCCCTGAATATACCTATATCCTCTGGAACAAACCGAGTCAAAATCCCAGAATCACCGGCGGTTGCCGAGCCCTGGCATACAGCGAAGAGCTAGCTATATGTCATCATCGATACTAATAATCGTCAGAACTGTCAGAATCGTAGTTGTAAACCCGCTCATTCTCCATTCTATCCATTTCTAGATTGCAGTATCCATCGGCCAGCTCGTTCTCAGATCGCGGAATCCAGACATAATTGACACGGCCGAGTAGTCTCACGTCGTCATCCAGGCTCGAAGCCTCCCGAATCAAATCCTGGTTTGCCACGTCGTTTCCACGAGAATTGATCCATCCATTATTGGCCCATTTATAGATCCAAGTATTCATGCAGTTGACAGCGTACTTGGAATCGGAATGGATGGTGACATGAAGCCTTGGCTTCGGGCAGTAGAGGTCATCGTAGCAACCCAGTGCCATCTTCAGACCTAGAATGATTGCAGTGATTTCGGCGCGCTGGTTAGTGGCGTCACTGTAGCCGCTGAGCCGTTGTTCGATATGTTCGTGCTTGCCTCTCCAGCGCAGTTTTCGGACTGCTGCAGCAGCGCCGATGGCATTGCTAGAACCGTTTCTTCGGCATCCCCCATCCACGTATATCATGATCGCGTACGCCATGATGTCAAGGTAGAGGTGGCGGTAGCGCAGTTGGTGTTTTTCCTCTTGCCGCTGTCTCTCTTCAACATAGTAGAAAACGAGTCGTGGACTTAGAAACCTACATAGGGTAGGTTGATAAAGGCGAAAAACAGTGGCGAGAGGTGAAAAGAAATAGACAGGAAGAAAGAGATGTAGCAAACGAACGCGTTCAGGGGAGTGTTCCGCAGACCCACACTACCTAGGTACAAGCTTTGGAAACCATATTTAGTTTTTTTGAGGAACTTTCCATATATTCAGTGGATATGCAGGTATATAAACAAAGGATGCCATATCCACAGTGAACCGCAATGGCATGTCAAAGAAACCCATTTATAGCCCGGTAGAAGAGCTGTTGGCGAGAACTCTCGAGCAAACTCCTCAGTCAGTCTCGTTTTACCAAAGATCAGCCGTGCCTCACTATCTAGGATAGTGAAAGACGGCATCAGAGTCCGGCGCACTCGCGACCAAGTCCCATTCGCTCCCACCAAAACCGACCCCTTCACCTCAAGCCCGCCTTCAAAATGAGCGACCACTCCCCCATCTACATCAACATAATGCTCAAATTTCTGACCAAACACAACCCGATCTTGGATTCCCTCCAAGAGAGTCTTTCTCAACACACCGCGATCGGCACTTAGCGGTTTACGCTGCGGCCTTGCTGAAATGGGCGCCCTTGTCCCTGGCCGAAACAGAGGGCCGCCACCACTCACGCCGCCACTTTTTGCATCTAGTATGGCCTGGGGGATATTCGAAGGTCCTGCACCAAGGCTACAAGAGGCGTTCAGTTTGGCGAAATGTGCCTCTGAGAGACTCTGCTCTAGGGCCTGTATGCCCTCATCTGATATCCGGACTCGGTACCCCTGGGGACGCGCGTGCAATGAAGCGTCAGATTCGTATAACATGTAAGAAATGTTCTGTTGGGAGAGACTTCGGGCGAGGGCGAGTCCGCTGATTCCGGCACCGATGATTATCACGCCGACAGTGTCTGGCATGGCTGCGGAACTGGAGTAAGGGAGAGTGAAATTCGTATGGAAAGAAGAGGTAGAAAAATGTATATCAAATGTTGAGCTTTTGAGCTGAGATCCATCTTGTCAGGCCGATTGAGGGGTATTTATATAAGTTGCTTCCCAGAGCAAAAATTGTCTTGACGACCTCCATTTGTTCATCTCGTGCGAAGTATTCCGAATAGGGAAGAAGCTCGGCCGACTTTGTCATTTTGACGCCTTCCCCGGTTGGTCTTAGTCGCGTCACGTTGCCCAGTCTCAAAGCAGAGGATGAATATTATTAAGAAGATTAATACAAGTTGAAGAAGTGAGAGTTCAATTTCTTGTTTTTCGATTCGTATATCTACTATCTAATGTATTATTAGTATCTGGTATAGCTACCTAAATCAAAGATCCCAATCCCAATTCGCGTGCAAAAAGACGTCATTAAATCGGCGTACCCAAACACCTTGTACTTTGTACAACAAAAAAAAAAAAAAAAATAAAACCGTTGCAATATGATCGGAGGCATGATCGTTAGTTCAACGTTTCGACATGAAGCATAAATTCCATCACCTTGTTCGCCATAAAAAACTGCTTGTCGTGGATGATGATAATGCGGGGCAATGTACAAGGAAGAGAACAAACTATAAACCAAAAAATCGCCAAGAATTCCGTGCAATGTTGAGCTCCGGAATAAATTTACAACGCATAAGCGACGATGGCGAAGAGGAAGCAGTAGAGAGCAACCGCAGAGCTGGCCACGCTAGCTGTGGGCATAGCGCTACCAGCCTGGGGAGCTGGAGTAGCAGTAGGAGTAGAGCTGCCAGAGGGAGAGCCGGTACCAGTTGCAGTGGTGGTGTTGCTGGGCAAAGTGGTGTTGACGCCAATTGGGGGAGGTACAACAATGGTAGGAGTGCTTGAAGCCACAGACGAGAAGGTGGTGGAGGATACAACGGCAGGGGTTGTGGTGGTGGTGGTGGTGCTTGATGGAGTGGAAGAAGTAGAGCTGGAGCTGGAGCTGGAGCTAGAGCTAGAGGTGGACAGGGGGATGCTCGTGGTGGTCTCGGCAGCGGATGAAGTGGTGACGACAGAAGAAGTCGAAGAAGTGGAGGTGGAAGTAGTCGAAGACGAGGAGGAAGTGGAGGTGGTAGAGGCAACAGTTGAAGTAGTCGAGGGAGCAACAGACGAAGTGGTAGATGCGGAGTAGGCGCCATTAACCTCAATGCTGTCGGCAGAACCACTGTTGCCGTTGTATGTGTACGAGGATCCGGGGTTCTCATTGGTGATGGACACAGATTGCACGTATGCGGTGAAGGGACCATCGGCATAGTTGGTCACACCACCGGCCCACTCAATGGTACCTTCGGCGTTGTTAGGGTCACCACCAGCCCAGGTACCGATTCTGAGGCGCATGGGAGTCTGGGGGAAGTAGTCTCCGGCCTCTTCGGCGGTCAATGTACGGACCACAGCGCCATCAATCAGCCATTGGATGCTGTCCCTCTGCCAGTTGACAGTGTATGTGTGGAAAGATGTCTGTGGCGAGCTAACATCGGCATTGGTTGAACGGTTGTAGCTGCCAGTATAGCCCTTGCCGAAGTAGTTGGTCTCGATGTAGGTGGTGTACCCGCCTAGCGCTTCCTATACGGGGATTAGACTGAGTCCATCTCAAAAATCTTGGGGAAAAGCAAAAACAAAAAAGCATACCCAATCAACCTCATCCAGATCATCCGATTCCAGCACAATACTGCTAACAATACCAGTACCGGGAGAGGCTTGCATCTTGACTTCGGCAGTACCGAAGAAGAAGTAGTCAGTGGTTTCAATGGTGGGAGCATCGCCCTCTGCAGAGATGGTGAAGACAGCGCCATTGGAGCCGTCGTATGTAATGCTACCAGCAGTCACTGTCCAGCCATCGGCAGCACCGGCAGTGAAGTCACTATTCAAAGAGGCGCCCATAGCAGAGTCCGAAGGACATGCTGTATGCAAGCATAGAGTCAGCCGCTGGAAAAATGCTGCAGCAACAGGTAATTGGCACTTACTGGAATCGAGCGGGTTGCAGGAGGTGTATGTCTGGGCAGAGGCCATGGGGATGGCTGCAGCGAGCAGCAGCGCTGCAGAGTTTGCCAGAGTGGAATGCATGTTGACTCGAGATTGCAGTGATGACCGTCACAGCAGCGATAGGAGTGATGTGATGTGTGTTTGTTGCTTCTTGATCAGAGCTGCACAGCAGGCAGAGAGATGCAAGGGAGGCCGTGGGCGAGTTGAGTGAGTCAGACTCGGCGGTGCGTGAGGTGAGGAGGGAAGGAACAGGAGGAGGAGGAGGACGACATGCGATGACGAGGAAGGAGCACAGCCGGCTACTTATAGCAGCGGCCTCCTTCCCCACGATCGATGGTGGTTTTTCTTGTCGTCGAGACCGTTTGGAGACATTGAGACTGGCCCTTTCCCCTTCGGGCAATGCCACGCACAGACGCAGCCAATCAGCATGCAATTCGCACTGACCCACTGCGCGCTTTCCAGCACTAGCGAATCAGCGGCCGCCCCAGCCAATCGGCGGGAGGCTGGTTGGCCACTAGTTCGCTGTTGCCCAGCCATCCGGCCTGATTGGGACTGGCCGCCCCCACCGATCCGCCCTAAGCTGTTTTCTATTTTAGGCGGTCTTATTTTCCTGCCTCTTTTCGCATCGATGCTACTTCGCCTTCCTTCCTGATCGTTGACTGTCGTCAGGGGAACCGCGCGTTACACTGCAACCACTTGACTGCTCAGTCGTAAACAGCAACCCTGCTGTTCTCTCGTCATCCGTGTTTTTCAAGCACCCCTTGCCGTGCAGTGCAGCGCCCGCCGCCATGCTGCCATTGACTCTTCACAAACACACGGGCTGCTTGCCTGACAGGCCGCAGCTGATATGTCATGGGCATAACTTTATGACTGTCATGTCTCACTTTCGAGGCTCATGGGGCCGACGCTATTGACCAAGACGCTGCTACCGTGGGGCCGCACTAGAAGATTCTCAGCACTACCAGTCTAATGCTCTATAGTACAGCCAACTATTCAAATCCAAAGCTTACACGCGTCCTCGCCACCAACACGCCAATCACCACCGTGTTACTCGGGCAATGCCACCAGCAACGCTCAGGGCGACTACAACTGTTACACCTGCAAAGTGTGAGTGCTCAATGAAGGTCTTTCCAGCCAGGAAGTTTCCTCGGTAGCGTCAGTGGAAAGTTCCACTTGGCGTGCGTACTGCTTACCTAATTTTGTCTCCTCTGCCAGCCTCTCTAACTAACTGTCTAGCATGTGGCCTTAATCATACGTTGTACTTGCTCGCCGCCATGCTCCTGTCTTCTTGCGATCGACTGGTCGACTGTGCGGATAGTTGTTTCAAAACCATGACTGTTTACTATTTACGCCTTTATGTAAGTTAGTTAACTAACTAACTGGTCTTGCTGTTTATATAATACACGTCATCAACCGGATTGAACCTTGGAAACATTGCCGATGCCTGGAACCATATTCTTTTTAGACTCCGATCCATGGATTTATGACTGGATGCTCCCAAGGTTATCAACTGGTGACAATTTACCGAGTATGAAAATATCTATTTATATCTACGCCGAGTTTGTTCCCGATCCAAGGTTCAATCAGAAATAATCCCAACTGATTATCTTCGCAACCAAGCAAGTATGGCTAGATAGTAGAAGTGTACATACGTCAATCCACGATGACATGAAAACTGGTCGTCGATAACACTGGAGGCTATATATGCAAGTCATATATGCATCACGATGCCTAGGTAAAGAACCGATTTTCCGGTCTCGGCAGGTCAAAATGTTCACGCAGCGTCGACCCTGTATAATCTTTACGGAACAGACCTCGTCGTTGCAATTCCGGAACCAACCTGTCCGTCACCTCGTCCAGCCCCTGAGGCAAAAAGGGAAACGTGCATGTGAAGCCATCCGAGGCCTCTTCCCGCAACCATGTCTCCATCTCTTCTGCGATTTCGCTTGGAGAGCCTAGAAATGCCAACCCCGAGTATCCCCCTAACCGCTGCGCAAGTTGGCGGATCGTCAGTCCTTCGTTCCTAGCCAGCTTTTCGACATTATCCCTGCTCGTCTTGCTCGCGTTGGTTTCAGGAAGGTCTGTGGGCAGCGGGCCGTCCGGATCATATCCGCTGATATCTGCGCCGACTGCGATTGACAAAGATGCAATTCCACTATCGTAGTGCACAAGACTATCCAGCTTGAGCCTCTTCTCCTGCGCATCCTGCTTGCTGTCAGCAACGATAATCATCGCTGCAGGCAAAATCTTCAAGTGCTCTCTTTTCCGGCCCGCCTTCTCCACCCGTCCCTTGATATCGGCATAAAGCGCCTTTGCAGCATCGATATCTTTCGGGTTGCAAAACACCACTTCGGCTGTCTCCGCCGCCAGCTGGCGCCCAGGTTCACTTTGCCCTGCCTGCACAATGACCGGCCACCCTTGCGGCGGTCTGGCAATATTCAATGGCCCTTTCACTTTCAACTCGTCCCCAGAGTGGTTAAGCACGTGTAGTTTACCAGGATCGAAATATTGCCCTGTCTCGACATCGCGTGTAAAAGCATCATCAGCAAAACTGTCCCACAGTCCCGTCACCACATCATAGAACTCCCGGGCACGCTTATATCTGTCGCTGTGAGCCATGTGCTCATCGAAGCCGAAGTTGTGGCTCGACTCCGGGTTCCCCGTCGTCACAATATTCCACGCCGCTCGGCCGTTACTCAGATGGTCCAGACTGGCAAACCGTCTGGCGACATGATACGGCGCATCATACGTCGTGCTCGCTGTCGCCGCGAGACCGATTTTATCCGTTACCGAGGACAGAGCGGATAGCAGAGTAAAAGGCTCGAACGACGTAACGGTATGGCTGCGCTTGAGGGCCTCGACGGGCATGTTCAGCACAGCCAAGTGATCAGCCATGAAGAAGGCGTCGAATTTGGCAGCCTCAAGCTTTTGAGCAAAGTGTTTGAGGTGTTGGAAATTGAAGTTGGCATCGGGGTACGAGCCGGGGTAGCGCCAGGCGCCTGTATGCAGCGACACTGGACGCATGAACGCCGTGAGGTGCAGTTGGCGATTCGATTGCGAGCCTGCCATTTTTTTGTTTGTGGCCTGGGAAGATCAAAGAAGGCGATAAATGTAGAAATGACAGATCTTCTATCCACTTCTCTCATTGCAACTGGGTTGAGAATGGCCGTGGTTTTATATGCCCCGCTGCCCGTAGCTTTGATGGCGATGATATTTATAAGCATATCTATAGGCGGAGATATGGCGTGCTCGGAGCAGGTCGCTTGCGCAAGCCGTTCCCAGTGACTTTGCAGATTGCAACAGGGATTCAAGCTGGAAATGTAATCATTAAATCTAGCTATACACCGCCTGTGCGCGAACATCCCATCTGTATAGCTCTCTAAGCCCAGTCGGTACGTGCTTTGTTTCATTTATAGCATGGATATTTCTTTGCCCTTAGTCGGAAGTAGATAACACTTCACGTCACATCCTCAAAATTTCCAGGAGTCGGGTGGCGATGGCCGCACGCCTTCGCGGGCCATTCTATCAGCCTCAAGATCTCCGTGTTCGTACTGGCGCTTTCAAGGTACATGCAGATAGCCTGACACTCAGGCACAATTCTGCCCAGGATCCACGGCTGAAAGGGCGATACTGAACACATAAGCGCCATCCACCAGCTCAAAATAAGAAGCGCACGCTCATCCTTCCTGCGCAAAAACTCAATGAAATCCGGCGCAATTAGGCTCATCCAAGTCACGAAAATGTTATAGTTCTCCGATCTATTGTACGGGTTGAGCTTCAGCATTCTACTCAATAACTGCACAGGCCAGTGATATGTATTGGCCTTGGTAGTTGTGTGGTTGTCAATGTCGCACAGGTCGGCTAATCTATCATGCAACCCCATACGGCCCGTTTGTACCTGAACATAGGGCTTCAGTTGATCCATCGTGGCGCGGAAAGCTGGCCCCCAGATGCTGTCATCAATGAATGGCTTGGTTACCTCAATCAGGCACCGCAATCCCCCCTGTAAAGCGAGCCAATTTAGATCGGCTGAGTTGGAGGTGAAAACCCATGAATCTTGCGGTTTAAATCCAGCTGGACAAATATCATTCATTCCGAGTAGGATACAGGTTCCAATTAGCGCGTCAGTGTTATGAGATCCAATCTCTGCAAATGTCAGCTCGCTTTGATACAATTGTATGGCGCGATTCCAATGGGAAATTTCCAGAATTTCTCGGTTTTTATTGCCTGGTTGCACGCGATTGTAATAGAGACATGATGTGGCTAGAATAGTGTGCATCAAATGGGGATTCTTTTAATCACTTTTATGTCACTAAATAGGCTCTCGAACATATGTTGAGATAGGAATAAAATAAAGTCAAGTTGGACGAAAGGTAAAGGGAAACAAGATAGTAACATACTGTGAAAGCAGTCCTTATCAACCCTGTCCTCATAATCTCTTTTATTTTCGGATCTAGAATCGTTCGTGTACAATGGCTCATGAATCCATGTAAAATCTCGACATTTGCTAAGCGGGACGAGTCTGAGTTAGAAGAATTATCCAAGCCGATGAGTTGAGCAATCGATCTCTCGACGACGACGAGCGACATGCTGCCAAAAGTCATGTCTGGCGCCATCCCTCGGCTATAACCATGCACCAAAGTCTTCATCGAGTCCTGAGAGATGTTGGCCTGAGACCTAGGCTGGGAGTAAATATAATCACATCGGATGCCGTGTTTGAGGCAGCGTATACATTCCGGTTTGGCTTCGTCGCACTACTTGTCATACGAAATACGAATTAATCCAACAAATCCGCAATAGATGTAAAACACAACATTCTTATCTAGGTCACGCAAAGAAACGTACTTTGTGCCTTCTATTCTTACAATTCCGGCAGCCATAGCGCGATTTTCGGTGACTTCGTCGCGTATGAGCAGTAGTAATCACGTCCGATGACTGATTTGAAGGCGCAAAATTTTGTGAGTTTGATTGATGGCAGTCAGGCGCTACCTGAGACATCGTGATCATCCGCCGTAGAGCAGGTCATGATAATACCATATCGAGCTTCAGGTTGCGAAGAATGTAAAGGACGAAGTTTAACCTTATCTCCGTGCAAAAGCGAGACTGGATGGTGATTGGCTGTTGATTTCTACTCCACTCTGCTAGTCTGTATACGGAGATATCTATTTTTAGTAACAGTCTATATCCTGCGTTGAACAATCGCAAATAGAAACAAGTTAACAAGAGCTGCCTGTCTACTGCCGGGCTGAATAGATATATGACTCAGTTTTCAAGACTTGCGTGCGTGAGTGCGAATGATTCACGACTATAGTCTAGGGAGATATAAAACCGAAGTCCAGTTACGGTTAAGATGCTGCTCACTGAATGCTAAGCCGTAGAGGAACATACGTCGGTCATAAATAATTTTCTATCTAATCCTCGGCTGTTGGTTGTGGAAGCGGCGAATCCAGCCATACATCCCCAACTCTAAATCCCTGTGGGAATGGATCTGTAGGGTGTATCACCACCTGCTTGTACGCACTGATCCATGCACTCCCCTTGACTGTAGGCAGGACGGCAGGATAATCACCGACTTTGGTGGTGCCTCGAATATGCGCCTCAAATTCCGACCCGATGATGCTACGATGGCGGAACGGCTCGTTCACATCGAGAAGGCCCCTGGCATGGAGAAGTGCCAAGCGAGCGCAGGTACCTGTTCCACATGGACTGCGATCAAGACGTCCGGGGGAGACAACGACAGTATTCACTGCGGTCTTCACTGATCTTCCTTCGAGGAAAGGCTCTGTAAACTCGACAATACTGACACCGCGAATACTAGGGTTTTCTGGGTGAACAGGATTTGTGTTCTCCATGACGGCCTTTTTAATACGTTCTCCAAGCTGTACCAGTTTGGCTCCGTTTCTGCCTTCAAGTGAAATATTCAGGGAAGTTGCGTCCACAATTGCAAAAATCATGCCACCCCATGCAATATCAACTTTGACGGTTCCCAGGTCAAGAACAGGTATCTCGAGATCAAGTGCGAACACAAACGCAGGGACATTGTCAAACGCCACAGATTTAGCCTTTCCATTTTCACATTCGGCAGTCACACCCACCAAGCCTGCGGGGGTGTCGAGTTTAATGCGGGAAATAGGCTCTTGCATTGGGACCATCCCTGTTTCAAGAAGTACAGTTGCAGTGGCAATGGTGTTGGCGCCGGACATTGGAGGGTATTCTTCGTGTTCCATGATGATAAAGCCGGCATCAGCCTCTGGGTTCGTGGGAGGCAGGACAAGATTGGTGCACATAGCAGTGCAACCCCGGGGCTCATTTAATAGTACCAAACGAAGATTGTCTTGCTTTGTCCAGATATGCATCATCTTTTCGTACATGGTCTTGCCTGGAACATCCAGGACACCACCGACGATAACATCGCAGACCTCTCCGCCAGTATGTGCGCCAACAACATTCAAAGTTCGTGCAGCAGGCATTGTTAAGATTGAAACTCAAACGTGTAAATTACCTATAGATCGTGGGTAGAGTTATACCGTTGGTAATTAATTCTAAAATCCAGAAGTCTTTTTGTTGCATGCTTGTGCAAGGGGTCTATATACCTACTTCTTCCTCTTTTTTCAAAGCCTTACTTTTTGCATTCCCTTCCAGAACCCCACGGCCATTTCAGTCTTACAATTACGTACGTATCTACGATTTGTTAGAACGCACAGAGCGCTTTAATTACTACTCGCGGACTCGCGGACGGTGTGCTGTGCATGCATATACTACCAGAATGAGTTGTCCCCTATTCGGCCGTTTCCGGGAGCTATTTCACGCTGCATCTGCCCCGGGAATTGTCTCTATCAATATCGGAAGTCATGTGAACATGCATGAGAGAACATTATCAGTTTTACTTCTTTCTCACTGGACTCCTAAGCTTTAGTTGCTTAGCTTCCCCTCAAACTCGCATGTCTTTACTCTTGATTCTCTGCCGCGCCTGCCACCATCTCTCCGCCAATAAGTCTTGGAAGTCGGAGATGACCGATCATGTGGTGTTGGGCGATGAAATAGTGGATTTTTGGAAAACCTTTTCGGAGATAGAAACAAAACTATCTGTCCGAATTTTCCACCGCGGGGAAATAAATATTCAGGAAAATTGCTCTACACGGATTCTAGTTACGTGCGACGCAGATAGAATACCTAGGTAATTAAGCTTGGTCATTTTGGAGTCTTCAACTCTACTTTGGTCAAAATATCACCTCTATCTTCGTAGCTTCTTCGCAAGAGCTCGCAAGTTCGCACCACAAGAGGTCACCTCACAACTTGAGCTTGCATATTACAATGTAATACGGAGGCATTGCCACTAGGTATCAGAGAATGATCGATGAGTGATCAGCCATTCAACTATTCAAGCCTCTGTTGAATCAGTCTTTTCCGCTTCCTTTTGATTCTTAGCCGACCTTCGTCTTCGATGGTCTTTGAGTAGAAAGATAACGGCAAGAATAGTGCCGAATGCTGTCAACCCGACAGAAAACCAGAGCGTACCCCGGTAACCATGAAGCAAGTCTGCCTTGGTTTGTCCGCCATTGTTGATCTGGAGTTCAATGGTACCAGCGAAACCAAGACCTAGCGATATACTGTAGACAACAATAGTCATGATCACGCTGGATCCCATACCCTGGTACTGTCGAGGTACTGTGTTCGAGAAGATGATCGTGGCAGCAGGCAACGATGAATCCATTGCAAAGGTGGCGATGATGGTGGCGAAAAAGAAGTAGGTCCAGTACGTCGAGTGTACGGGTCGCAAGGCCATGAGAAGGGAAGTGAGGAAGTAGCAAAGCATTGAAAACAACATGATGGATGAGGCTGGAACCTTGTTGATTGTTTTGCCAACGACCAATGCTGTTGATATGCCGGTGACGAGGATAGGAGAAAGCCATGCAGCCAGTTGAATGGGGGTTTGGCCACCGATATTGAGGCATATTTGGATGACGTAGAAAAGCTAGGTACATCGTTAGTTTGACATAAATTTTTGGGGCAAAGATCAGTACTTACCCAGATGCCAAACGTGGACCAGCCCGCTGCTGTACAACCGAAGACGAAGGCGATATCGGAAGTGAGGACGGCGACAGGTAGAATTGGATAGTGAGCGAGGCGAAGTTCGATGTAAAAGAACGCCACCAGAAACAAGAAACTAAGGATTAGGCATACATAGACATAAGGTTCGTCCCACGTAGTGACCAGGCTCTGATTCCAGGCGAAGTTAAACAGAACCAGAGCTGTCACACCGCTTGCACCTCCCAGTAGATCAAGGCGGTCCAAAGTTTCGCGAATGGTTCGTCGGTATTTCTGTTCACCCTCGACAGGCATGTCCGGAATTGCAACGATGGCGAGGACGAAGAGAAAGGCAACCCCCAAAGCCTGACTCCAGTAGATCCATGGCCACCAAGCCATGGCAAAAAGGGGCCCAAAAAGGAGACCTGCCATCGCACCGACTGGGGCGGATGCAGCAAAACATGCGAATCCCATATTTCGAGGGCCCTGGGAGAAGCACTTGCCCATGATGGCGAGTGCATTAGGCACAGTTAAGGCGGGACCAAGGCCTTGCAGGACACGAGCAAGGATGTAGACGGGGTAGCTGGAGTAGACAGAGACTCCTGCCATCATGCTGGTCAAAGAAAGCCAGCCCATACCGACGACGAAGATTGCCTTGTTGCCAAACTCGTCACCTAACCGTCCTCCGATCAAAACGAATGTGCCTAGACTCAAGCCGTAGCCAGAGATTGTCCACGAGAGGTTACCAGGCTCGGTGACACCAAAGGACTCTCCAACTATTTGGAGCGTCGTAAGAGTGTTGCATAGGCCCAACTGATTGGTGAACATGGATGAACACACCGTCATGATGAAGATGATCCGCCGAATCAAACGGTAGCCATCGGCAATGTAGGCGTATTCATCTTTCGTAGTCTGTGCAGAACCTATACCTGAATCTGTATGAGTTAGTCGACGGGTTCAAAAGGCCTCCAGCTTTTGCAGATATCTTGGGAGCTACTCACCATCACCATGCCTCGATGGTGGAATATTTGAATGATGCGGTACAGTTTCCTGCCCCTCTAGAGATGAGGTGGTCATTGTGAGCAGAATTCAATGTTACTTGACTCTAGTGATGGGCGAAGAGGTTTGAAAAGAACAGAAAGAGAACTAGATCTATGGAAGACAAAGAGAGGGAATCAAAGGGGAGGCCTGCCAATGCGGTCTCTTTCGACGCTGTTCGGATGCCGATTTGTCAGAGCCCACCGGAGAGCGGCCGAGTGGGCGCGCACTGAAAGGATAAGCCCTAAAGCAGGCTGGAAAACATACAGGGCATAAGGACTTTCGAGCTCTGGACAAATATTGACGATCATGTAATTGTACATCCGTCCGCATCGTAACGACTGGCGATTTTGTTCGCCTAGGGCTTATGAGACTGCGACGAGAAGCTGAATGAATACCTCCTTGATCTGAGCAAGATGTGCCCTAGACGAACTAAACACTTCTTATGAACGCAAGTAGTTCCTTTTGAACAGCAGAATATTCAAATACAGCGTATATACAGTATAAATCCCTGAATTAGTATGAAAACCGCAGCCTAGCCCTAAGCAACCCCCCTGGCCCTATAGACAAAAGAGGACTCCAGACTGGGCGCTAGTCTGCATACGGTAGATATGCCAAGCGGTGCCCTCATTGGCTGCATTTGATTCTTATTGTCTTTCAGCAAGTAGTTAGATTGCCATAGTCAGTTAACTAACTAACTAACTAGTTAACTATAGATTGATGACGAATTAGTTAGCATCCTGACTAATCCTAACCTGCACAGGTTTCAGGTTCCAGACAAAGAGTCTCGCACGTCGGCCAATCAGAGAGAAGCATCGCAGTCGACATGCCGACCAATAGCATCGCGCAATCGTACCAATGCAATGCAGATGCCAGAGACTGAGGACATCACGCCTCGAAGCTAACAACAAAAACTGCGCCAGATATTGACGCGGCATTGTCATCTTACGTTCACTGCTCCGGCTGGAATGTAAGATGTCATTGAATGATCCTAACGCTGCAGGTGTCACGTGATCGGCGCCCGGTGCCAAGTTTTCCCCTAGATTTTCCGACCCGTCGAGGTTTCGCTCCAATATTGACCTGGCTGTACCTGACAGGAACCATCACCAGAACTTCGGCCCCATTGGACCTTGTCGTCATCCTTTAGGACTCCCAATAGCCACCTGAAGATCTCGCCGCCGCTCTGCATTCCACGCCGGTGACCACAAAGACAAGATGTCTCCCATGGCAAGCCGCGCCGTTCTCCGGCAATCACGGTTTCTGATCCGCAGAACCGCCATCAGACACAACTCGTCCACCTCCGAGGCTGCGACCAAAGCCAAGCAATCAGTCGACCAGACCACGTCCAAGGCTTCAGAGGGCTTGTCCAAGGTCTCCTCCACCGCTGGTCCAGCAATTGCCGGTGCTGCGCAGAATATCGGCAATGCTTTGCGCAAGGTCGGTGGCCCTGTCGGCAAGGTGGTTACATTTGTTGAAGGTGAGATATTTCCCGTGTCTCTGTTTGGAGGATAGCTTTTTTTGTTTAAAAGAAAAGTACACAGACGCTATTTATTCTTGTTTCGTTTGGAGAGCCAAAATCGCAAACCTCGGAAACGCACGTCCACCACAAAAGACATGCAGGCTAATATGGAACTTCTTACATAGGCATCATTCCTCCCACAATCTACTACACCCGCGTTGGCCTCGAGCTTGGCAAGATTGTATTCCGTGGTCAGAAGATGACTCCTCCGTAAGTTTCATCGCCATGATAAAAACAGCCATACTGCTTTCTCCATTGCCTAACAATTGCCTCTTTAGAAACGTCGCTACCTTCCAATCATACTTCCAACCTCTGATCAACGCTGTCCGCAACCCTTCAACTATTAAGAACATTAACTTCTCTCCTCAGAGCCTCATTATCCGCGCACGAACTCTTAGCGTCAAGGAGTGGGCTTTGGTCGGTGTTACCACTGCGGAGGTCATCGGATTCTTCACCGTGGGCGAAATCATTGGCCGCCGTCATCTTATTGGATACCAGGGAGAGCCTGAACACGCGCATGGTCATTAGAAAACAAGAATTTTAGAATATTTGTAACCATTTTCTCACATTGCGTTCCTCTACTCGTGCACCATTTCCTTTGTCAATTGATTTGTATGGCAGCGATCTGGACTATTGTATGATAGACGATGGAATATAAGCTGCATTCTGTCACTTCTCATATTCCCGTAGATTGCGGTCTATGCTCGTTGGCAAATTTAATAACTATTGCAGCCAGAGTTGCTGGTGGTGAGTAATTGTCTATCTACACTTGGGGCAGCCGTACACTTTATGAGTTCAACAGTATTAGCAGGGTTCATAGACAGAATGTTTTTTTTATGCTCTCTCGTTTATTAATTGAATAAATATTTGTAACCCAGTCATGAAGTGAAAAATACAATTTGCCTTGGTGAATGGGCGAGAAATAATGTCCGAATTCCAAGCTTCTGATTGGCCGCCGGCCGGACCATTAGCCGTCGAAACTTTTTTCCCGTCCAAAAAAATTTATGAACCGCATCAACACGTCAAATAGTTGGAGATACCCATGCTAGTTTTTTTGTGACAGATGATTTTATACTATTCTATTTTTCAAGCTCGACCTTTGCATGCTCTGAGTTCCCTGCTGAAAACGACTCGCCATGGATGCGTTCAGGCTGTTGACTCGGTCGACGAAACTGAAGCCTGCCGCTTCCACCACAGTTGGCCGGCTCCCATCTGCAGGTAAAGCAGAGAACCCACAACTCTTTGGTTCTGCAGACAATGGCCAAATCTCGAGGAAGAGGAAAAGGGGAGATGCAGCCGAAATAAGTCCTGCCCAGGAAGAAAAGAATGATGAATTCGAGGCTACCCAGCGTCTTTTGTTTGGTGGCGGTGGTGGGCTCTCGTCATCAGCAGCCAAGACAACAGGATTGCAAGAGCCATCCAAAAAGGCTCGGAAATACAAAAATGATACAGAAGGAACTCAAGAATCTCACCATCATGACGATTCAGACGGAGAGCAGCAAGATCAACCCGATCTCATGGAAGAGTCTGAGCGTCGGTCTATCATGAAGACGCACAAGATTAAAGTTGTCGATTTGAGAGATCTAGACGAGATTCTAGCAGACAAGACCAATGTTCATGATGAAAATGACGGCAATACCAAGAAGAAAAAGAAAAAGAAAGCCAGCAATCAGACACCTTCACTCAGCAAGAAAAAGCAAAAAGAGGCCCGGCAGCTCTATCCGGAGCCATTGATGTCGTTTCAAGATCTTCGAAAGAGGTATCGAATTTCGAGGCGGCTGGCAGAGAACATCGCTGAACAAGGGTTCTCAGTTCCCACTGAAGTGCAAATGGGAAGCTTGCCTCTTCTTCTTGGAAACACATCGTTCGACAAAACAACGGTGAAACATGCCCACGAGCCGGATCTGCTAGCCGTGGCACCGACAGGAAGCGGGAAGACATTGGCATTTTTGATTCCTCTCATCAATAAGACCGTCAATTACCATCGCGAAAAACCCGAGAAACGCGAGATTTCTTCGATTGTTGTTGCGCCCACGAAAGAGCTTGTAAGTCAGATTGTCAATGAAGGCCGCAAGTTAGCAGTTGGAACTGGAGTAAAAATTACGGCGATGAAGAAGGGCATGCAAGTTGTGGCGCACCCAAATACCGACCACGATGAGGAGGACGAGTCTGTTGAATCCGATTCAGATCAGGATGAAGATGGAGACGAGCAACTCAAATCGACGGATGACCGAAAAGACACTACAATAACGAAAAGTGATATCATTGTCACAACACCTTTGGCCCTAGTAAATGCAATATCGGTGAATAAGACGAAGAATATGGACTCCCTCCCGTCGGTGCGGCATCTCGTTTTAGACGAGGCAGACGTATTACTCGACCCATTGTTCCGTGAGCAGACACTCGCCGTATGGAACGCCTGCACAAGACCCAGCCTCGGGATATCTTTCTGGTCTGCCACAATGGGATCCAGTATTGAAGAGCTAACAAAGTCGACGCTGGAAGCCCGTCATGACTCGCTCAAGGCAGACAAAAGACCCTTGCTCCGCTTGGTCATCGGTCTCAAAGACTCTGCAGTCCCAAACATTCAGCACAAATTAATTTATGCGGCTACCGAACAAGGAAAACTACTCGGACTACGTCAATTATTGCACCCTACAGCAGCTATTGCCCCTAATGAAATTCGTCTTCGCCCACCGTTTCTTGTTTTCACTCAGACGATCCCTCGAGCTGTTGCATTGCACTCGGAACTACTGTACGATATTCCGATCGAAGCGGGCGGCTCGTCCCGTATTGCAGTTCTCCATTCCGACCTCTCTGAGACCCGCAGATCTGAGATCATGAAGGGCTTCCGCAAAGGCGAAATCTGGATTATTATAACGACCGACTTGCTGGCACGCGGAGTTGATTTCCGTGGCATTAATGGCGTAGTCAACTATGACATTCCAACTTCTAGTGCTGCATATGTCCACCGTGTGGGTCGGACGGGCAGGGCTGGACGCGAAGGAGGTGTTGCAGTGACATATTACACGAAGGAAGACATACCTTATGTCAAAAGCATCGCCAATCTCATCCATACTAGCGAGAAGCTACAGGGCAAGGAACAATCTGTGCAGAAGTGGCTCCTTGACTCCCTTCCAGATCTCAGCAAGAAAGACAGACAGGATTTGAAAAAGCATGGCGTTAAAGCCCGCGCAGCTTCGGCCAAACTTAAGGTTGACGTGGATAAGACTGGGAAGGCTCGGATCAGCACGAAGAGCGGATATGACCGTCGCATGGAAAACAAGAAGAAGGGTGCTATTGCAGCAAGTCGCAACAGAACGCAGAATCCTGCCCCCGCAACCAAAACTCATGAGAGTGGAGATGATGAATGGGAGGGACTTGACGATTAAGCGCCAATTTCTTAGGGGCATATCAATCGTAGGGAATTGCACGGGAGAATTATCCAAATCGATTCATGTCTTATTCTCGGCACTATTTTCTGCAGGCTTCTCCACCATATCTCTATCAATGCTGATTTCAATCACTTCTTTCCCTGGATCGACAACTCCGGCCAACCCATTTCCGTTGATATCATAGTATAACGCCCAAACGTCTTTCTCCTCCTCAACAGCAGTCCACAACTCTTTCCCATCTAACAAAAGACCCGACTGATCCTCTGTCCAATCCCAATGACCGACGATATGCTCTATGCTTTGTGTGCGGTTGCCATATTTCAATTCCAATGTGTTTTTATCCACATATAACCAGTTCAGCATGGGTGGATTGTCCGATATCGTGCTGACGAGCCCATCTCCTCGCTTGCGATCATCGTCTGGGTACGCGATAAAAAACGCTGCGGCTGTGTGTGACGGTATCTTTCGGAGGGCTGGTTGTGCATTATCAATATATACCTATAGATGATTAATTAGTAAAGCGTGTTGAAAATGGAAATAAACCACCCTCTTTTTTTGTTTGGGAGGAAGGAAAGTACTTTATTGTTCCGCAGGACCGCTCTCTGTCTGTGCAAATTTCTTGCTTTTTCTGTATCTCCTTCGCAATAGACGCTCATGAAGAACTTCGCCATTCGTTTCTCGTCTTGCATGCGACTATTTGCTTTGCGCTGCTCGCTCGCTGCGAAGGAAATGCCGGTGACTGTGGGGATGGCCGTGATAGCCAGAAAGCCGATCATGACTGCTTATTTCGATCAAGAGTATTTTTCTCTTCTCTTCTATTTCTACTAGAGTATATAAAGGATTCTAAAGAATGGGCTCGTCCTTTCGATTGTTCCATATTCTAGTGTCCCCACTGACGTCATGTTTCAATGCTCCAGCACGTGATAGTCACGTGGGCGTCTGCTAGGTACACCAATCACAGCGAAGCAATCAAGACAACCACAGTGTCTGCTTTTGCTGACGAGCTATGGACGTCTTCTAACAGCTTACGCGGTGAAGCAATCCGTCCAACCCTTCAAGTAGCAAGCTAAGACGTAGATACAACCATTCCATATTAGGACTAGTGCCACTATCTGCCATTAATGATTAGAGTCCGACAACAACAACAACAGCCATTCCGGATGCCAACATTCCAAAACGGCAGTTTTATCAGCATTTTTCAGTAATATATGTGCTCGCCCACTTTTGGAATAGCCCTACGTGCCGTTGATGGCTAGGCGTACATAGTGCGCGCAGTCAGGATTGAAGTCATCAACAATTGTCCAGGTTCCATTAAAACCCTCACTTTCAGACGATAAAGGGAAAAGGGAAAAGCCAAATCAAAAATGAAGACGGATCAAGACGAAGAGCCCAAAATAGTTGGTTCACTCGACTCCCACCAATCCCATGACACGAGTGGTAGCAATTCCGCTGGAGATCAGTTGAACAAGAAATATATCCACCCCGAGCTTGGAGAACTTAACATCACCGAAAACCAGTACACTCGGCTTGAAAAACTTTTAAAATTACCGCAGGACTCGATAAAGTGGTTCTCATTGACACGTCTTCGAGTTGTCTCGTGGATATCGGAATACTTGTATATTTTATACCGTTATACGCTCCCCTACATTGACGCGGAGAGGTTCGAAGCATTCTTGCTTGCTGCGGAAAAGGTTGTCGCGCTGCGTAAGCAGAAGAAGCCCATGAATGAGATCGTGGACGTAGCAGGTGATTATATACTTTATCACAGACTTACCTGGTCCTCTTCGTCCGCCTACGAGAAAGGCTATATCCGGTTTTTTGTCGGTCACATACTGTGGAGTTTCTTCGAAAAATATCCAAAGTATATACCGACCCGAACGACAGGGAAGAATCCAATGAAACATGCTTTGAATTGTTTACTGGCATCCTCAGACTCGGAAATTGCACAGTTAATTACAGAAATTTGCGTGCTCATACCGAATGTGAATGATGATGTTACATGGGCTGATGGAAAATTGATAAATTTGTCGAGACGGGTTCTGGGCCTGTTGAAGGACGCAAAGGAAAGCAATGATACTCCATCGCAAAAAGTGTGTGAAAGTGGGCATACGATCAGTCTACGGTTAGCTCTGGCACAGCATGTCGATGAAATAAAACGAAGAAGTCTGATTGCGAAAGCGTTGAAATATTCTAAGAAGATATATGGAGACTATCATTCCATGACTTGGGACTGCACTGAGCGCCTGGGTAACTATTATTTGAACGACGCATCGGAACATACTTTACGCTACTGGTTTTCGCAAATACAAGGTGATAGGGTGAGGGCTGTGATGGGACTATACGAAGATTTTCTAGATAGTGCCGAGGAACATGGAAAGAATGGAAATCTTAGCGACACGTTTCTTGAGACTTTTTTGTCATTATTGAGAGAGCAGGTTGTTCCTGCTCTAGCAAAGTTGTACATGGAACATGGCAAAGACCGCAAAGCGAGAGCATTGCTCTGGAAGTTTACGAAGGAAATTAGTTCTCAGCTTTACGATGAAAATTGGACACCTTTCATTGGACTAGGCAAATCGACACGTCTAGTGAGTACATTGCGTTTGGCAGAAGGACTCGGCGCCTATTCAAATCTCAAGTACAGCACTCTTGATGTGGCGATCTTTCCATTTGACCAGATATCTCTATCATCTGTGAAGCCCTCGGATGAGGAGAAGACCAGGAAGTGGCATTTTTTATGCGTCAGATTGCCAAAAGAGGATGTATCTGTTACAAAGACTGTTGTTGAATGGATGCCGGGCTTGGAAGGAGGGTATGAGGCACAAACAATTGTCACAACTGAGGGTGCCATGATCCTTGAGCTTCCATATATCACCTATAGCCATTTCCGGTCTTCCCAGGCATATCGAATGGGGAGAACATATGATTATTACCGCAAGGGTTCTATGAATCAACCACAACTTACGGAGTGGCTGAATGACAAAAGCCATGATTCTATTATTTACTTTTCAGGTCAACAATATTCTGAACACATTGATTCTGCCCATATGCCGTCCGTTAGGGGAAGTGTTCTGATCGACCCCGAGAAAGGCGAGATTGAAAGATTTGTGTATGACAGAGAAACTGGGACATTGGACATGACAGAGCAAAAATATATCCCCAAAGAAATCAACGTTCGCACATATCCTTCCCCCCTCCCAAAACTATTGAAACTATAATTTCATCAGCACGACTGTAAAAGCTAACTGATGAAATCCAGACACTTCTAACACCCAGAATTCTTGACGCTACCAAATGTGCCACATCGGCTGCCGGATTTTTCAACGAGACTCCCGGTGATATTGCTATCCTAGACGGATCTGGTGTTGTAGCAAACGGCTATAATCTGGTTTCGGCAGAATGGCACGATTGGAAGCGATTCATCCTGCATCCATGCACGTCATTAGAAACCCAACCAGAACTGATCTCTGCAGATGGGTCCGTGATTCCTGTCCTCGGCTATATATACGGCAGCTGGACAGAGCACGGTCTTCGTAAGAAATGGACAGGATTGCAGATTTGGGTGGTACATGCTAGGTTTCAACTGTCCGTAGAGACAGACTCTCTCCATAACGAGCCTTCCTGTCACTTTGTGCTCAACACTGATGACCTTTGCAAGGGGAGGGAACATGAGTGTAAGCTGTTACCTGGGATTGTGTGCTAATTAGTCATTAATTCTTTCATACTATATTAAAAATCTCTGATACGACGAAAATATAGTGTCAGCAACCGAGATCCGATCAATGTGCACCTTTCTCAACCCATCACTTCTTCGGGTCATGAACCACAGCTACCTAGAGCCTCCGATATGTACATTCGCCCAAGGGTTTCCGGATAATTTTAAAGGTGTCACTGTTGGTAAGCCGCCGTTCCATCAACTTTTCTCGTAATTGCCCTTTTTTTTGATAATGGTACACGAACGTGCTCAATTGACAAATGGAAAACAATATTTCCAGAAGCACCCGAGCCTTCTAAACATTGGAATCTGCTTGCAGAGCTCTCCTTTCGCGACTCGTGGGATACTCAGTTTGCCGAAATATGTCGGAATACTTATCTGGATCCTTCTCGGCTCGAGATTATAGAAAAGCAGATCAAGGAGGAAACGGCCAGGCGGAGGGAGTGGGATCCGCAATACCTACGCGTTGTTAGACACTGGGTTAGAACTCGGACGTGATGCTTTCGATGTATCTGACGATTGCTTAATTTGGAGAGCGTCGTAATCTAGCACGAGTGCAGGTAAATAGGCAAAAGCCTGGTTTTGAGCAGCAAGTCACACGGTGATCACACTAACTAGCTATACTATTAAACGTTTTAAAGTTATTCAATACGTCTCGGATTTGTTAGGAATTATGCCCCGTTACAGCACCCCAAATATATGCCACCCAACTGCCAATAATTAGCAAGATCAGCAAAGAGAAGCATCCGAGAGCAATCATCCTGTTTCGTTTCGCGTTCACTACCATAAACCGCTCCTTAAGTTCACTTATGATGGGTCCCCCCTTATTGAGACGATACTTTCTAGTCCACTGCAGCAGGGACAAAGAATCTGTGAATGCAGAACCGACTAACAATGCCAGCCCAGCCACGACAGATGCGGCAGCCTGGAAGAGGTACACCCTGACAGCTCGGCGGTATGAATCGTGGTCCGCGTCTTGGAGAGCACCTGTAATAATCCGTATGATGACGTTCATCCTGAAAAAGTCATTAACAATGGAACAAAATCGGAAAGAAGATAGACACGAAAACTTACGCATTGTTCATGGTGACTTTGAGCGAGTAGGCTGATCCGAACACGGATTGATGCCACAGCACTGTCCGGATGCTATCAATGATGGACGTAGGCCCTAGAGACACGGCCACGGCATAGATGCCAAAGGAAGTTCCGGTACCAGCAGCTGTGTCGGCGAAATTGACCAGACACATACAAAGTAGCATACCAATTCCACAAACACACACTATTCCACCACTGTTAACATTCATTATTCGGCGGGTAAATAATCTGAATTCAAGACTTACTGATTGTGGCTCTATTACCGAAAATATCAAGAAAGACTCCCAAACAAGGCACCAGGAAGAATCCTGCCCACCCAAAGTTAGTCCTGAAGTATAGGGAAGGAGGCGGTATAACTTACCTGAGTATTGACTAAGTGAACTATACCAGCCGGCCTTTATCGAGCTGACATTGAACCTTTTCTGCGCAAGCTCTGTTGAATTTTGACTGAATACAACGGCAGCACTGGTTTGAAACAAGGAGAAAAACATAATGAGCCAGAACGTCCAGGGAAGCTGAAACAATTTTTTGATTTCAAACTTCTTATTCTTCTCTGTCAGGGTCTCGTCGGTGGCAGTATCCCTTCGTCCAGTATAGTGTTTGTTGCAGTAACGACTGAAGAACCAGAAAAGAATTGTTGAGGCGTTCGTGAATAGGTTCATGAAAACCGCCACCCAGAATGTCCAGGCAAAGTTGCCAGTTCTCTGTGCATGATTAGTGACTGAGACCAAATAAATTCTGGTTTGTGATTAGAAGCTTACCGTTGCGATGATGTTCGCTGTTGAATGTCCAGCGAATCCTCCAATCTGCTTTGGCTTAGCATCATAGGTATTATATAACAAAACCAAAGGAAAAAGGTTAAGCATACCTTTCCAATCGCGAGTTCAAAGCCCAGTGTTGATGCAAACCCATTGCTCGGGGGAAACCACGAAGAAAACATTTTATATTGAGCAATCTGAGTTGCGATATCTCCAAAAGCTAGAATCACTCGACCAGCGATCATAAAATTGTATGACCGGACGGTTGCTGCTCCCCCGACAAGGATAGATCCAATTGTATAGACAATGTTGCCATATACAATCATTTCTTTGTGCTTCGTTGTTAGCGTCTATTTGTTCCAAGACTGGGCAGGCTAACTTACCAGCGCCGCCAAATCGATCTGTGATAAGGCCGCTGAATGGCATGAGAACTGTTGCCATGAAGTCTTCACTTGCTTCGAGGAGAGAGAACTGTGTATTTGTGATGTGCAACTCCTAGACATTGTAGCGTGTAAGTACAGAAAACATAGACCTGACTTGCAGTCAAAATTGTGTACCTTTTTGAGCGTGCTTTTCATAGCACTAGTAACGCTCGAATACCAATGCGACCCAAAGCTGACACATGATATCAGCAGCACCGCGATGAGTTTGGCACTGAGGGGCGGAGGCTGTTTTTGGGATGACTGTTCGGACTCTGCCTCCGTTGGCTCCCGAGAGCCTTGCGAGACGACCGGATCTTTGGCTAATGCGTCCATCTTGGGGAATCTCTCACGAATGGCTGCTGATGACTTGCATCTATCTAGGTAAGCTTGGGGGTGTGAATTAGGAAAAATAGTACTCTGGCCTAGGCAGGCCCGTTATATATAGTATTGTCTTCAAAGTGCCGATTAGCGCTCTTGAGTGACGACTTGACAAAACTTTCTTCGCAGTGAAATTCTCCTCATCTGTGGCCCACTGCAAGTCCTTGGCGGTGGGTTTCATTAGAGCCTGATAGTGGTGGTACGCGTACTGGATTTGCTCATGATTCTTCGCAAGTCTGCGAAATGGTGATGTCATGGTTAAGAATTGCTATTCGTAGGATACATATAGCATATAAAATTCATAATCACCTGAGATATCGCGAGTTTCTTCGATTACTTGCGTGGAAAACAGAAAGAATGACATCGGACGATTCAGATCAGATTAGGCAAGGCCGGTGTCCACAGCGGATCAGATAAAAAATTGCCCCGCTCTTTGTCTCTTCGGATTCATCGATCCTTGGCCTCCGTTCTTCGGAGTGCCAAGAAAAGACATAGCGACGCACATGCTCGTTCTATTAGGTAGACCACGTACTCCATCATTCGTGTCTCGTGTATATTCTCTATATGAAAATAAGGAAGGAGAGGAGGAAGAAAAAAAGAAACAAAACAAAACAGAACAGCTATAGTTTCTCACTCCAGCCCCAAACTGACCACCAACAGTGAACTTCCACAGACTCCCCATCGGCGTCCTCCCAATCATCATATCCCGTTTCATTGCCCTGTTCAACAATGGCTAAACCAATTTCTTCCATTCTCTTACGGAATTCCTCAACTTGAGGCAGATAAGCGTCCCGCAATGGTAATTCAACAACTGCACGCGCATGTAGGCTTCGGCTGAGCCAGGGTTCGATGGTTTGAACTAGCCACCTGGGATGCTCAGGGGAGTAGAGTGGATCTGCGGCGAGGATGATGTCGTACCGCTCTTCGCTACTTGGAGCCGAAGCAGGAGGTGTGGACCAATCAAGGACTCCAGTTGTCACTTCGGCATTGACCTCGCACAATAATTCAGAATTCAGAGCTGCGTTGCTCGCCAAGTTTGGCACAATAGCAGGAAGATCGGTGAGATGAATTGAAGCCGATGGACCTTGTAGAGTAGCAAATGAGAGTCCTACAAGGCCGGTACCGGAACCTAGTTCTAAGGCTCTAAGCCGAGTGCCTGATGACGATGAAGTTAGGTCAGAGTTGACTAGCTCAGGTACCGACTCGAATATGAAATGCAGACGACGCGAAAGTAGGTATGAGGACAGCCAAGTTTTCATTCCCAAGTTATCAGATGTAAGAGAAGGTTCATGCAATGTAAGAGAGAACTCTTCGCCAGACGATGTGGGAATATGAAACAACCGAGACAATGACGGCATTGCTGTATCATGTAAGTATCTGTCGCGCAATGGTTATGGTTGACTGGAATTTACCCGTTCGACCCGCACGCTCACTCAACCTAGCAGATGCAATATCCCATATTTCTTCGCGCAAGCAATCAGACTCTAACCAAGCCAAAGAACTAGATATAATGGATGTGAGGTATTCCGTGACCCCGGAAGGTAGTACTTTGGGTTTCGACGCATCACGGGAGCCATGCCCAAAGCTTTTCGGCTGGATAGCTAGATAATCTAGCGCCTTGAGAATCTCTGAAGATGGCGGCTTTGTATATAACTGTGGTAGATCAAGCACTATTTCCAGTGCACTTATCAGCTTATCGAGCCCTCCATATATTATTCATAACGGTGAGGCGAATGAGGGGCAAGGCCGATGATGGGTACTATACCGTGCAGAGGCTCATCATCGTCCGCGGTGATCATGGTTGACAGTAAGTTTCAACAGTAATAGCATGAATCCCATCTGCAATATAATGCTTTGTATGGCCATAGAATCTATCGTCAAGGGACCAAGAGTCTGGCCTTATCACGAAGATAGCGGGACTAAAAGAAAAAAAAAAAAGTCGCCATTTCCTATTTAGGAAAAGTAACGCCTTCAGAGTGGGTCTTTTGTCAGCCGGGATTCGCTCCGCGGCTCCGATTAGTCCGTCGGTCAAACCGCAAGGCGGTCAGTCCTCGACACTCACCACATATTCATGATGACATGGATTTCAAACCATTGGTATGATGGTTGGTATATATGAATGAATATATATTTCAAGTGTATTTTGTGCGTCTCGGACTATTCAGTTGAGCGTCGCTTTAAACCCCTGATACGCCTGCTCGATATCAAATGACAGCTCCCGAGCTTGATCATCGCTTAGTTCCTCAGTTGCGCGCATTTGGTTGAGTGTAATCAGCCATTGTATGATCTTGCCGCGCGATTCGAAATCTCGATCTGTGACTTTGTTGACTGATTGGATGACTTCGGAAAGGAGCGGATGCAGCGCATCTTTGGAAACCATGTTGAGCTTAAGTGCATCTAAAAACGTGATAAAGTTTTCCGTTGCAGTGAGAATAAGACTGCCGGAAGCTCCCGCGCCGACTGTAGCACTGGTAGGCACGCCACTGCTCGGAGTGTGCGCGCCGTGGGATGCTTGTTCGACCGTGGCGGGTAAACCAATGCGCAGACGTTCTGTAGCTCGGGGACATTCCAACTGGGCAAATCAATACGCGTACTATTGGAAAGGCAATTCACAGGACCAACGTACTTGCCATGTGCGCTTGAATGTTTCCAGGTCCACAAATTCTCTCGCAACTGTATCGTCGCCAAGGGTTGATTTGTATTGCTTCAGTAGACGGGCACATGTTTCTGTATACTCGGACTCGGTTATAGCGTCGCGGATGTAGGCCTTTTCCAGCCCGTCTAAAGTGACGATGATGCTATAAATTTCGGCAAGTGATTCATACAGATCGCGCTCAGTGGAGCTTGATGCAAGCTTCACTTCCTTGACTGATGTCAGTATAGCTAGCTAGCAACAGGCAGATTCGAGTAAAAGCTTACTTCATCGAGATTGATTGTAGCCGACAGAGCCGGGTTGGGAGTATAGCTGTAGGGAGTTGGAGCATAAGATAAAGGCCGTTGGGAATGCATTATTGTGCCTGGAATTGCAGATGCCAACCTGAACAGAAGGACGCAGCCCATCATCAGCAGCCAGGAAGGCGGGGAGCGGAGACTGGTCTGTGCGGTGAGTTTCTGCCGGGCAATTCGATTTTTTTTCCTCATCCGCAAATAAGTCTCTTCCCCGTCAATACTTGCGCGCAGCACCATCTACGGGCTTGATTTTTGCACGCTCGCTTGTGCATTAGTCAGTAACCATGGCCGTGAAACCAAAGAAAGCCACGAAGAAATTCCAGAAACGCCACTTGGGTGATACCCTGGAAAGACGAAAGGAGTTTGCCAAGATCAAACAGAGGCACCAAGTAAATGACAAGAAGAAGGCCAGAAATGCGGAGCGACGCGAGAAAGAGGCCGCCGAGCAAGTGATTGATCCTAAGGAACAGGCCAAGGAAAATGCGTTCGCCGAGATGAACGTCGATGATTTCTTTGCTGGAGCTTTCGAGATCTCGGAACCGAAGAACAGCAAAGGGAAGAAAGCGCAGAAGAAGGATGTGACACCCAAAATTGGCAAACGAAAGCGGACGGACGAGAATGCTGAGGATGAGGAATCTGCAGCTGAAAGCGCTGGGAGCGACGCTGAGTCGGATGGCGAGCAACAATCTGATGCTAGCAGCGTTGGCGATTTCACAGAACACAAGGGACAATTGGAGGCTCTTAAAGAGAAAGACCCGGAGTTCTACAAATACCTCAAGGAAAACGATGCCGAGCTTCTCGATTTTGATGATCATGGTGACCTGGCTGAAGTGGATGAATTGAGCGAGACCGACGACGGCCCTGCTAAAAAGAAGAAGAAATCCAAGGGTACGACAAACGACGATGAGGTGGAGGAGGCTTCGATTGACAACACGATTACTATGTCCGAGGTGAAGAAATGGCAGAAGTCTTTGCAGGAGCAGCATTCATTGAGGGCTCTGCGTCAAGCAGTACTTGCCTTCCGGGCAGCAGCATACGTCAATGAAGCAGAAAGCGAGAATATAAAGTACACGATTTCAGATCCTGATGTTTACCACCAAGTCCTCATCACAGCGTTGGAATTGGTCCCCAAAGCATTGGCACACCATCTACCAGTTAAGGAAACTGCAGGGGGCAAAGTCAGAGTGTCAGCGGAGTCGCAGAAATTCAAAACACTTAGCTCACTCATCAAATCTTATATGTCGTCGGTCCTTCAGCTTCTTACCAACTTATCCGATGCATCTACTCTAAAGCTCACACTTTCATCCATCGAGCCGATGCTGCCATATCTCATCCAGTTCCGGAAACTTCTGAAAGTCATTGTAAAAACCGTGGTCAGCATTTGGTCTGACAACACTAACTCTGAAGCCGTTCGTGTTACTGGTTTCTTGATCATGCGCCGTCTGATGAAAATTGGTGATGCCGGAATCCGGGAAGCAGTGTTGAAAGCAACCTATGAAGGTGTCGTGAAAGGCAGCAGGAACACCACAGTTCATACGCTTGCCGGTGTCAATCTGACAAAGAACTCGGCAGCGGAGATTTGGGGCATTGACCAGAATGTGTCTTACACAGCCGGGTTTAGTTTTATTCGCCAGCTTGCCATCCATCTTCGAAGCAGCATCACAAATAAGAGCAAAGACTCGTACAAAACGATCTACAATTGGCAATACGTGCACTCGCTTGATTTCTGGTCTCGTGTGCTCTCTCAGCATTGCAATGCCCTAGTTGAGGCAGAAGCCGGCAAACAATCTGCTCTGAGGCCCCTGATATACCCTGTCGTGCAAATAACGCTGGGCGCTATGCGCTTAATCCCCACCCCCCAGTATTTCCCTCTACGTTTCCAGCTTGCTCGTGCTCTCCTACGTATCTCGCGCTCTACAGGCACATACATTCCTCTAGCCCCGATCCTTCTGGAGGTTCTCAACTCTACCGAAATGAGAAAGCCCCCGAAGTCCAGCACATTGAGACCCTTGGATTTCAACACGTCTATTCGAGCAGCGAAGTCATACATTCGCACTCGCGTGTATCAGGATGGAGTGGGCGAGCAGGTCGTTGAGCTGTTATCCGAGTTCTTTGTTCTTTGGACAAAACATATTGCATTCCCTGAGCTCTCGCTACCTATTGTTGTGATGCTCAAACGTTGGCTCAAGGAGGCTGGATCCCGCAACAATGGCAATAAAAACTCAAAACTCAACCACACGGTTTTACTCCTGGTGCAAAAGATTGAACTCAATTCTCGATGGATCGAGGAGCGCCGGGCTAAAGTCACCTTTGCCCCCAAGGATAGGGCAGACGTGGAAAACTTTCTCAAGGAGACAGAGTGGGAGACGACACCTCTTGGTGCATTTGTCAAGACTCAACGTAAGTTGCGCGAGGAAAAGGCAGCTATTCTTGAACAAGGCAGACAAGACGAGGAAACGCAACGACAAAAGGAGCGCGAGAATTTGAACGATGATGATTTGTTGTCAGAGGTTGAAAGTGAGGATGACAATGAGGAGGTCGACGAAGACGACGAGGACGATGATGATGATGAGTGAAGGAGCACTCAATTTAGCGACCTGACGTTGCAGAACAGCATTTGAGGTATATACTAGTTTGTTTGGCGTTGGTATCTGTTATGTAGTTTTTAAGAGCTCCAAAAAGTCTCCTTGTTGTGTAATATCTGGCAGAACTACTATATGACGCCACTAGCCTTCTCTTATTCTAACAAAGTCCTTCACAATCTATTGATCTAAACTAGCAACTTGTAGGATCACTCTACATTGCTTGATTCAGTACGAGTTAGATGTCGAAGTCTTTCACCTTCTCGCCCAACCATCGATCCGGAATAAACTCATGTGGATTGGGGAATATGGTTTCGTTGCGATGTACAAAGTGGCTTTTCATTTCCACCACGGTCTGAAAGTAAAGAATTGTCAGGTACGATTGTATTGTGAAAGAAAATTCATCTTTCTCTTACTCCGCCACATACGAAAACCTTGTTTATAATTGCACCAGCAGACGGTACAACACGTGGAAGGGGGGATGCAACACCAGGGCTCATTCAAAGCGACTCCTTCAAAACTGCCGTCCGTTGAAAATTTCAAGTCAATCACCAATTGGACACCAGCCGTAGCATGTACCATGCGTACCACGAATTGTAAGTCTGACATTATGAGCAGCGAATCTCCTGGGATGATCTGATCTGACCATGATACCGGTAGTGCTGTTGTCTATGGCCGGAAAGCGCCTGAGCATTCGGAGTCGACGTAATGGAAAGGGAAGACTTTTTGGCCACGGCACAATCAAAGAGCCCTTCCAGTGCATTCAAAGCCAGGCAATGTCAATAGATCAGGTCGTTGGGCTAGTAAGACGTGTAGTGCTGTGCTGTGTAGTTGTGTATGCCGGCTAACTCAGTATGAACGTAGGCGGCATGCCCCGCTTTTATTTTTCCCTTCTCTTTTTCTTCGCCGCCGAGTTGTTCCTTGCATACAATTCTATCACCGCCTATTGATTGCAACAAAAAAATAACGGCTTTTGCTTCACCAACCTTTTGAATTGATAACATATCCAATCCAATCGGCTTTCTCAAGACGCAGACATACCGATGGCCCTTTCAGCTCTGACTGTTTTCTAACATGCACACCGCCATCTTTCGCTTGCCCACCACCACCCAGGACGTTATGTTGATAACAGCCATAGATTCGAGTTTTGAACAGACAGATTCCTATGGGTAGATTGCTATCAGGCGCCCTTACATCATTACAAGCGTTTACTTCTATCTTACTGCAACTTCCTCGGCACCGTACCTACTAGGTATACTTTATACAAATTAAAATGCCTAGTAAGCTTTCATAAAACCCATGACTGCTTGCAATTATACCCTATACCATTTTCTGTTGCAATATATGAGACTTGATTGCTGATTCCCAGGCAGTTCCCCCGAAGGCTGCCCGTAGAGTGGCTGATATGCTTCCGCCACTCAACTTTCTGACTCTGCATCATGTCTACTTCATTGCCATGGCATTGATATGCAGCGTCATATTCTGGGCTTCGTCGAAACCTGCTCATAGCGTCAGTTATACTAACTCACTCTTCCTCTGCGTCAGTGCCATGACGGGGGCGGGTCTGAACACAGTACTTCTCTCCAACTCAGCTCCAATTTCGGCCTTCCAAACTGACAATACCAGGTCAATCTTTCTACCGTAAACTCTTTCCAACAAGCTATTCTTTTCTGTCTTATTCTTCTTGGCCATCCGATTCTGATATCGAGCACTGTTCTGTTCGTCCGCAAACGTGCTTTTGAATCTCGATTTCGCACCATTGTCGAGGCGCATGCACGAAAGCGTTCAGCAGCCGCTCACGCAATTCATTTGCCGAGGATCGTGAAAAGGAATCTCGGTGCAGACCCGAACACTCCCGTTTCTAGAGATGCGCGTTTGGAACAAAATCACCAAACCTTGGATGGGATCAATCAGCTGGCTCCTGGTGGCAGTCTGGCAAATACTAAGACAGTCTTTGAGACCGAAGTGCGTGATGCCGAAGCTACCGGCTGGGCCACCGATGACGATCAAGTAACCATCCATTCCCCTATTCGAGACAGATCCAGGCACCGAATGTTTCCCATGGCCGGAGTAGGCGCACGTCCAGACGCCAGGGACCCCAGAGATGCTGCTCCAGGTGTTGTCGTTGATGAGGACCGACGCCCATCACTCATTGAAACCCTAAACAAAAATTCTCAAAAATACTTTTCCTCGAGGGCCTTTATATCCCGCAACTCACAGTTTCACGGCCTTACCCCCAACGAGCGCGAGAAGCTCGGTGGTGTGGAGTATAAAGCAATCTGCTTCCTCTCCATCATAGTACCCCTGTACTTCATTCTATTCAATACCTTAGGGTTTATCGGGCTTGGGACCTGGATCACCGTCAATCGACCTGATGTTGCTCGCACCAATGGCTTGGATCCTTTTTGGACTGGCTCGTTCTTCGCAATCTCTGCTTTTGGGAATAACGGCATGTCCTTGCTCGACCTCAACATGACAGCTTTGCAGACTGGGTAAGTGCTTCAGGGTGACAATTGGGGGTTGTATCCTGCTGACCATATTCGCATTAGCACCTATATCCTTCTTACAATGGGGTTTTTGATTCTTGCTGGGAATACACTGTACCCCTGTTTTCTGCGATTCACTATATGGGCTATGAGGTGCCTCTTGCCGAACTCGAAGTGGTGTGAGGACTGGAAAATAGTTCTCAATTTTATTCTAAACCATCCACGCCGTGTGTATACTCACCTTTTCCCCAAAAGGCATACCTGGTATCTACTCGCCACAATCATTGTCTTCAATGCAATCGATTGGGCAGGATTCGAAGTCTTGTCTATCGGCGACACAGCTATCGAGAGCTTAGGCTCGTACCGCGTTTTGGATGGGCTCTTCCAGGCCCTAGCCGTGCGCTCTGGAGGGTTCTATGTGGTCACAATCTCCGATTTGCATCAGGGACTGCTTGTGCTTTACGTCCTCATGATGTATGTATCTGCATTCCCGGTCTTGGTCACCATCCGCAACACGAATGTCTACGAGGAACGATCGCTTGGAATCTACGCAAATGATCATTTGACTGAAGATCAACGGCGTCATGCCTCGTTGAGCAGCTTTGTCGGCCATATCAAAGCCATTCTATCTTCGTCTGATAAAGTACCATATGCCATCAACAACGATGCGCAATCAGCTGCCTACATTGACGAGAATAATACCTCACGCAGCTACTTTGTTCGGCAACAATTACGATCCCAACTGAGCCATGATATCTGGTGGATCTGCCTTGCCGTATTGTTCATTGCCATCGCAGAAGGTCCCCATTTCAAAGAGGACCCCGTTGCATACTCCACATTCAATATAATCTTTGAGGTAATCTCTGCGTATGGATGTGTAGGCATTTCAGTCGGCCTTCCAAACGAGAATTACTCCTTCTGTGGCGGCTGGTACACGATCAGCAAATTGATCCTGATTGCGGTCATGCTGCGTGGTCGCCACCGTGGATTGCCCGTTGCTATTGACAAGGCTGTTATGCTACCAGATGAATCTCTGGCGTGGGCTGAGGAAGAAGATGCTGCCATGAGGCTGGAGGGTACGCGGACTTGGAATGCTGTGCATGGGAACACTCTCGAGGGAAAAACAGGTGATATAGTTTGACTTTTCTGATTTTGATCATTTATTTGTTTTCATGCTATCATTATAAATTCATATCTATTTGCAAATTGTTGTGCATACCTCAAAAGAAAGTAATATGTATTCATGCATAATTCATAGCCATGTTGATATGATTATTTGTATAATTGCAAAAATCACCAGTTAAACCGACCAACCATTCGATGATTGATATATAAAAGGACACAAGTCTAAAATTTCTACACCAAAAGAAAGTAAGACATGAATCGTCTGCACTTTGCTTGAGAAATGATTGTGCTTAAGAGCAGGGGCTGCCAGTACTCAAGATGCTGCTAGCTTCCTGGGCGTAGGTGCAGCCATCGTTGACATTGTTGTCAGAGAAACCAGCATCCCACAACATGATACCACCAAAAGCGGCCTCGCTGCTGTAGTTGGCAACGATGGTAGCAAGCTCTGAGGGTTCGAGGTAGTAAACCTCGCCGCTAGTTTGACCATTGGCAGCGAGCTCTCCGGCAGGGACACCAATGAAGAGCTTGGCATCGGCAGACGAGGTGTTGGCAATGTTGCTGATCCAGTCACCGTAGTTGGTGCCGGAGTTGGTAGAGCAGCCGGGGTTGTTGTAGAACTGGATCCAGAGGTAGTCGAACTTGGAGTTCTCGATCATGGACTGCATGTTGGGCTCGGGGATGGGACATTGAGGAGCTCCGGTGATGTAGTAGGTATTGTCAGGGTCACTGTCGAAGTTGGAGCGAAGAGTCGAGATCAAGTACTGGTAGTTGGAGTTGTCTTCACCTGGGTTGGCTTCAATGTCAAAGTCCCAACCATTGACGTACGCGTCGCCAAATGGACGAGTAGTCGAACTGGAGCTGGTGGCGTTGGGGCTGGCGTAGGCGTCCCACAGATACTGTCCGATGGTTTCGCCCTCGCTCTGTGAGGTGACGGTGTAGGAACCAGAAGAACCACCAAGGGACAAGAGGACGGTGATGCCGGCATCCTGGCAGGTAGTAATAGCAGCGGCTAAGTCGTCGCAGTCTGTTGCGGTACCGCTACTGCTGACCTGGCAGTTCTGTCCAATGGTACCATAGGGAATAGTCTCACCGTCTGTACCATAGTCGTTCAAGAAAGCGAGGACAATGATGTCAATTCCAGATGTACCGTCACAGTAGGTAGACAAATCATTGTTCTCCGGGGCACCCGCGTAGTTCTGACCCCAGTAAACAACAGTCTGACCGGTGGATGTACGCTTCATATTGTGAGGGTAGGCCATAGCAGCCGAGGCCAGGAGGCTAGCACCAGCAAGAGTGGAAAAATGCATTTCGAAAGACAGCGATTCGAGAAAGGATCAAATACGATATGTGCAAGGATGGAAGGCTAGACCGAGATCAATCGGTTCAAGGTTCCTCAACAAGGAATGACGCTTTGCGAATAATAGGGAATGGACAGACCCGTCAAGGATCTTTGATGGTGGCCGGAGTGGTGGTTGTTTGGCGATGATGAAGAGAGAGAGGAACTGATAGAGAGGATCTCGAGGACTATTTAGGCCTCCTTTTGAGCACATCCTCCACTGCGGCGTTACATTCTTGCCACTGATTGAGCTTGCAGATCAATTCGCAATATAATCACTATTTCCTGTCCATATCATCTGTATCTTGACCGTGGTGGTAATTAGCTGCAGCCAAGAATGGCCCCAATTGAGCCAACATACAACATTATCTCAATCCATATAACGCTTGCTATGACTGCTAAGCTCTCCGAAGGTGCTCCGATTGAGCGAATCAGGTAGGATTGCGCTTTGATAAGAAGCTAGAGAAGAGCCCTGAGCAGGACTAATGCGTGGAAAAGTGACCCCAAGGTAGTAGACATTCAGAAGACTCACTTTGGATAAGACCCTCCTTAAGCATCAAATGCAACGTTCCTGACTAGCCAGTTCCGGCCCCGTGGTTGAATGCAAGCCACCCGCCAGCCATGTTTGCAGAGCTAATGTACTTTTTGGAAACGAGCCAAACATGGCTAGCAAAGGGGGGCGTGGGGGCCTCTCGAAACGCAACATATCGTGAGTGCAAAGAAATGATCGAGGGATGGCGTCGTGAGAGCCAGGCATGAGATCATGACACACAGATTGCACTAGGTTGGACATTGCGCCACCAGCGTTTCAACCAACTCACGGTGAAAACGTCAATTCATATCTTTCTACCAGTAGCGTAATTATTGTCATTGGAGGTGCGATTAGATCTCCGACGGTCATCGACATAGGTAGGCACGCATGCGAGATCACTCACGCGCCACGGCAAGATTTATTGGGAGTAGGAGAACATGACCACACAAATTGCGCTTGCATGACATGGCAGTATGAAAACATGAAAGTATAAACGGATTCCAGAAGATCAGCATTGTGCTAGGCTGCCCGATGTCACCCCATCGCCCGCATCAGAGCCCAGCCCTACCCTGGCAGTCTCGTTGGTTAAGCATCTACTACTCTAGCCTGCAGATCTTCAACGTAAACTAGTTAGTTAATTTGTTTCAAGGTTCGAGTTGTTCAACCCAATCCCACAGTGCGTATTGAATGGGCTAGTATCCGTTGATATAAGAATACGGCGAGGCATCTAGAAAAGGCCCCCACGAAATTGAACCCTTCTTAGTAGAAGTCAAAATCAAATCAATAATCATTCAATCAATCATATGATCTTCCCAGAAAGAAGGATAATATGGTGATGGTAACCGTCCAGCCTAAGACCTTTACATCTCGAAGTGCTGCCTTGACTCTTGAAGTTTTCTATCGCTTTTTGGAACTATGTACACTTGATAAACATGGCAATGGACGTATCCTGCACTTTCCCTCTCATTCTTTACACTACACGGAGAAAATATCTCTTTCTTTGACACGTACCCTCACTCCTTTTGAGTCGAGTTTTGGGAATGGTAGAAAGAAGTCATGCGACAACTCGACATCAGTTAGGTCTGTCTCATATAACTCAAAATCGAAGTAGTGAAACACAGATGCAAAGACGAGGTACAGCTCACACCAGGCAAGACTGTAGGAGAGTAGATTAGTATTTCGTCACGTACATCACAGGAGGGATAGGAAGAAAACGACTTACTTCACACCTAAACATGACCTTGTTCCCTTACCAAAGCCGAGGAAATATCTGTCAAGGCTTGTCCCGTTCTCAGTCCTCGGAGCATCTAGCCACCTCTCAGGCACGAACGATTTCGACTGGGGGAATATTTTTTCATCATGGTTCAAGAAAGGGATGCTCATTGATATGGGTGTCCGCGCCGGAATAACCCATTCTCCAAACTTAACAGGGTTCGGTAGTAACCGCACATTCCTTGATGTCGTGGAGTATGATAATCTAACTGCTTCTTTAATGACGGCTGTGAGATAGGGTAGTTTTTCTAGTTCAGCCCATTGCAGGCTGATGCAAGCAGGGATCGCATCGTCTAATTCTTTGCGGAGACGAGCAAGAACTTGGGGATTGGTGATCAAATAGTATGTGCCCACGCTCAGGGCCCAGCCAGTGGTAGAAAGGCCGGCACCGACAATGAGTTGAACTTCATCTTGAATTCTGCGATCAGCCTTTTGCTCATTTGGAAGGCCACTCTGTAGCAGTTCCGTGATGACGGTTGTGTTATCGTTGCTTGCACCTTTGCCATGGTTTGCAGTAGAAAGAGCAGCCTTCATGTCGCGAATTTCTTGTCCAAAATCCTGCAATTTTCAATTCCATTAGCATTCCTTCGTAAATAGGAAGGGATTATTACATTCTGCATCCGAAACATCAAGGCATACAACGGGTTTAACTTCCCAACCCACGCTTGTGGTAAAACATTCATAATCTTAGGGATCAGAGGAAATTGCAATGCCATGTTCCCCGTCAATGTCACGGCTGCGAAGGCATCATGCAAGATAGGTATCCAGCCCGGCTTTCTCAACGAGTCGTAATCATACCCAAAGCAGTAATTCATGATAACGTCTTCACTAAACGCCATAAAGCCGTGACTTATTGTTATTGATGTACCGGTTTTGGCACTTCCTCGAATTTGCTCGAGGAAGATGGAAAGTTTCTGCTGAATGGTGGCCTGCAGACCAAGGATGCGCTGGCGTGAGAAATATGGATTTAATGCATTGCGACGCACGCGGTGGAGGTCATGGCCGGCAGTGGTGAGGACAGATGTCTCATTGCCAAATCGACTTGCCATCCAACTGTATTTGTCCACTCGACCGGCTTTGGTGAAGAGTGTTTCCCAGAAATCGGCATCAAGGATGTGCAATTCATCGGGGGTAATGCGTATGATAGGGCCTACCCATCCCAAATCAATGAATGTTCAGATCATCCATACTCGATGGAAAGGTCACCGACCGTATTTCTCGTGTTGCTTTTCAATCCAGAAAATAAATTTTCCCTGTTGATAGACGTCAAAGTAGCATTCGTGCCATCGGCTGAGCGCGGCATACTTCGGACCGGGGAATCCGGCCAGGGGGTGGAAAAGGAGACGATAGGTCGCGATGCATGCTAGATAGAGAAGATGAGCTAATGCTCCAGCTGCGGCAAATGATGCCCATGCATCTAATGCAACTACCATTTCGAGGGAGAATGAATGGATGAATCGATTTTGCACGGGGCTCCGGCATCCACACGATGCAATAAATACCCCCCGGTGATTGAACAAACAAAGACGACAAAATTGATCATATGTGCAGGAAACCTGAATCGGTAAGTGATGTGTTGGCAAACAAACTGAACAAAGCTAGTCTGTGTGCTCTGCTACTTAGTACTGGCAAATATAGGCGAGCTAGTTCATTCCAAGATTAGTGGTGCAGAAGTCTCTGGCCTTGATCCTTTCTGACCAGACGGCACTATACTATGCCGGTTAGCAAGCAGTGTTCACAACGAACTACCTCAAAGTCTTCATCACTGACTTCTCAAGCATGCAACCAAACATGGAGTACGACGAAGATTCAGAGCAGTTCATTGAACCCGAGACGAGCGACTCGGACTCGGCGATTGGCGATACCAACTCAACTGCCTACACAGAAAGTTTGCGCTCAAGCCTGCTCCAGAGCATCGAAGAAAATGGCCGCGGCTATCACAGATACCGGGACGGGCACTACTTCATCCCAGAAGATGAACAGGAGCAAGAGCGACTGGATATGCAGCATGAGATATTTCTGATCACTATGAACAGAAGATTGTATTATTCGCCGCTATCAAGAGACAACTTACACAATGTGCTTGACATAGGCACCGGAACTGGCATATGGGCAATTGATTTTGCCCATGATCACCCATCAGCCAGCGTGATAGGGACTGACCTCAGTCCCATCCAGCCCTCGTTTGTGCCTCCAAATTGCAAATTCGAGGTTGACGACTACGAGGAACCCTGGACTTTTACGCAGAAATTTGATTTTGTACATGCCCGCATGTTAGCTGGCTCTATCGCCGATGGGACCTCTTTGTTTCAACAAATATACAACGGTCTAGCTCCCGGCGGGTGGTTCGAGCTTCAGGATTTTGCGTTTCCTGTGCGGTCGGACGACGACACCATGAAAGGCACTGCTTTCGAAGAGCTAAACGAGAAGCTATGCAAGGCCCTCGACATGTTGGGCAGAGATGGCGGACTTGCGGAAAAGTTCAGAATGCTTATGCTGAATGCTGGATTTGAGAACGTCGTCGAAGTCAAGTACAAGTGGCCACAGAACCAGTGGCCGAAAGCCAAAAATCTCAAAAAACTGGGCTTATGGAATATGTGCAATACCTTGGATGGGTTGTATGGTTTTTCAGCTAGATTATGCACACAGGTATTGGGCATGTCGACAGAAGAACTGGAGCTCTTATTGATGGCTTGCCGGAATGATATAAGAAATACCAAGATACATGCCTACTGGCCGATGTGAGTGTTTCTCTCCTCTTCTCGTTTCACTGTTTCTCGAAGAGCTGCTTAAGCAGGCAACTCACTGTTGATTAGCTACGTGGTTTACGGACAAAAGCCTTTGTGAGCAACTGCAGAAACGAGCTGATGCCAGCCCAGCAAGATATATTAACACACAATTCAGTTGCTATTGTGGATGAAGATGCAATGCGGGTTCAATAGCAATAATAAGCGAGACAGGGAGACGCATCACTACTTACCTACCTAGGTGTTCAATTTCGTGCAATGTTTTATTCGAGGACTTGGATAACTGCTTACCAATATGATGAATTTCTGTGTATTTGTTCTAGGCATGTATACTATGTTGCCCTGTGACGGTTTCTCACGAAAACTTCTATGGCTGTCGCCTAAGTACCAGCACGCGATTTACCATGGAACTTGCCCGCCAACTTCTCTTTTATGTAATATGGGCAAAGCTGTAGTGCCATGGATTGTTCCTATTGAGATCATGGCTACTTGGTTGTACGTGTGTTACACCGGCGTAAACGCGGCTTCCAGTGATGCAAGAGACGAAAAAGGGACAGAATAGTCTTTAGTTATCAGTTAAACAAAGTCTTGGTGGCTACCTAGGGGAAACGTCGTCGGGGGCATGATGCTAAAACAGTGACTGCAAAATTGACTAATTGGGTAATATCTCTTTGTAGTTGGGCGTAACTCGTGAACAGAAACAACAAAGTAAATAACAATGACTTAATATGCAACGAATCTCTATTGTTGAGACCAAAGGAGTCTTTATTGAGTTATATTCTTTGTAGACTTGTAGATTCGGTATTGTTCAGTTATTCTACAATGCCGGCGCTGAATCAGGGAAAACGTGTTGAAAAATAAAGGAAATAAACCATTGGTCATACAAAAATCTCGAGCCACCAATCTTTGAAGAAGAGGACGTAGGACAAATCTGTGAGTAGGAGCCCGTACAGATCTGACGCATAACTGTATGGGTCGGCAGTTGAATATACAGCTATTTAATGAAAATACTTACTTTATCAACGTGAGTACTTTAAGAACCTACTTTTGACATACATGAGAAGGATTTATCTCAGAAACCCGAATCAACTGTCAGTGCTGTGAAGAATACGACATACAGACTTCGAATCCCTAGAACTCCGTGAGTCTCTTGTAACCATTTGCAAAGCAAAATTATACGCCTGAGATTCATAGTTGTTATACGATTTGAATACCTTGCTGACGGAGGCAGGGAAATATACGAACCTTTCTTTTTACACAACGTCCAATCTAATTACCACAGAAACAGGGGCTCACTCAACCCGGCATCAGATCAAACGAGGGAAGGTTCAGAAAACGAAATGCCCATCTTTAACCAGGTAGCAAAGACAATGGATCCCGGCAAAGTAGTCGGAGGCCCTACAGTCTCTCTCTTTGGATGGAATGGCAGCAATGGAGCTCTTACAAAGGATTTGGGTCAACCTGAGGGCAACACCATGAGCGACATGCAGCTCGACTCCATGAAGCATGCGATCATTATTACACGAGGCGAAGTGGAATATCGAATCCACTCGGTCATTCCTGCGGGACATGCTGAAGTTATTTTCATACTGCGTATCCCTGGTGCCGTGTTTGTGTCGCGTTATTTTACCACGGACTTCTTCACGGTAACTCGCAGCGCCATCCGCAAAGAAATGGTCAAGCTATCAGGCCGAATGAATGCAAAAATACAGGGAATTTCAGGGAACGACGGGCCTTATGAGCTTTCGGTTCCGGAAGGCACACGTCTCGATGTCTACTACCCTAAAGCACCGACGGGCATCTACTCTTCCACGAAATTTCAGGCAACTTTGACATCGTTGGGGCGAGAATTCACATACCAAAGCCGCATCAAATTTGGCTCTCATACATACAGTGGAAGTAAAACTGAAGTGATCGTCACAGTTCCGCCACAGTCACGGGGAGTGGCCTCCCATAGAACTACTACTGCATGATAGGCATGTCCAGCAGGCTGCTGCTCTATCTTTTGTCTTATGCGTCCCTAGCGGTGTTGATGCACACAATCCAACCTCATAGACAAGTATCTTTTGGTCTTTATCATTCTAGTCAGGTTTACTTTCATTCAGCTACCTTGTAATGTTAGAGCACACTGGATGTGCAGGTTAGAAGAATTCAATCCCCTAACCACATTTTGAAAGCAGTTGCTTGCTTCTAAAGTTTCATTATCTGTACTAAATAAGATACGCTTATGTGGGGAAGGCTATTAATACAGATGCAGAACATGGAGTTATTCGATTTGGTGATTCTGCCTCAAAGCTTGTGAGGGATTAGGGCATTAACCGTACTGACTGTAGGAAACAAATCTCGGCGATGCCTCCCCTGCTTCTCACCATTATTATCCAATAATAATTATACCGAGACTTTGCAAGTTGAAAACAGCAAGATGGCTCACACAATACCAGTCGTTTGAAATAGTAACTGAATCGTTGACCAAGAATGACTCATTTTGCTGCATGGTCATTGGCCAGATCGACATACACAAACGAGGTCATAGCCAAATTAGAAAATATTCCAGGTTTATATATGTAACGTAAATTCCTTTGCTCAAATTAATGTTTGCAACTAATTTTAAGAGAGAAAAAACGCGCTGATAAAAAGTTTGCAATCCGTAAGCAAGTTGATCGAATCCATGTCGATGACAGCGCCAGCCATCATTGCAACATGCAAACAGACTCGCTTTCAACTGCTCGACGATAAGCCATCTCGTGAGGTATGACTTTCTATTCTATGCTCTGTAAAGCAGAATGAAAGTGCATTGATCCAAGAACTAGGTGGATATCCATGGCCTCAATATCACAGTCCACACTCCGCCGCAATCCTCCAGCGAAGTCACGGAGAAGAAATCCAAGGCAAAACCGAGGTCAAAAACAGACGGCTTTGAGCTCATATCTAATGCAGATCTGAGACTCAAAGCGGGTGTTCATTATGGTCTTGTTGGGAGGAATGGCAGTGGGAAGTCTAGTGTGTACACTTCTGTTTTGATTTTTTATCCATTCTTCCACCGTTGAGGCACAAATATACCTGATTGTGTTTTCCTTTTGCAAATCATAATGTCGTCAAAGCGTGGAACTGACAGATATGTGCCCTAGCTATCCTTCGCGCACTAGCAGAAAAGCTCATCCCAGGCGTCCCCTACTCGACGCGAATAGCTATTCTGCAGCAGACAGACGCCGAAATCGAAGATGACGAAATCGATAACCTTGCAGAATCATTGCGAGAGAATAAATTCATGTTAACCGATGGCGTGAAACAAAGGACCGCGTTGGAGCAAGTCATGTCAAGCGACACGCTGAGAAACGACGTTCAAAAAACGATAAGCTGTTAGTCTATCTCCTGAAAGAGGTGTGATTCGCTTTGCATTTGCTTATTTGATATAGTTCTATCAAGCAGTTTGGAAAAAGAGGATCCCCTAGCACCCGTCTTTGCCATCCGGAAGCTCCGACACGAGCAGCTGACGACACAACTATTCCTGGCACAGAAAAATGCGACTATACGAAGTGGCGCGCGAGGATTGCAGGCTAGGAAGGAGCTTAAGGCTCTTGAGGTTCGAGTAGATGCGTCTTTGGAAAGGTATGTACTGACTGGGGTCTGTACTGCTCGTTTAGTTCTTTCATATTCACACAATTCATGTCAGGCTGCAACAAGATCATGCGAGTATTGATGCAGAAGCCGTTCAAAGCGATACGCAAGCTGCAATCGACTTGTTACAGGATTACCAGTCCCAGTACGAAACGGTAAACCAATGATTATCATCCGGACTTATGACATCTGGCGCTGGCTGACAAGCACACATAGATGAAAGTAGTCGACGTTGAAAAACAGGCACAAAAAGCCCTACTTGGCTTGGGCTTCAAAGAAGAAATGCTGTCGAAACCATTTGCTACGTTATCCGGTGGTTGGCGCATGAGATGCATGCTCGCAGGCATCCTGATACAAAACCCGGACATTATGATTCTCGACGAACCGACCAATTTCCTCGACCTACTGGGTGTAATCTGGCTGGAGAACTATTTGAAGCAAATGCGGGAGTCATCAGGCACGACATTAGTCTTGGTGTCGCATGACCGAGCATTCACCAACGCCGTCTGTGAAGAGATCATCATCCTACGAGACCAGTCCCTTACCTATTTTAGGGGAAACCTGGCTGCATACCAGGAACATTTCGAATCGCAAAAGCTGTACTGGGGCAGGATGAAGGAAGCGCAAGAAAGACAGATCGCGCATATGGAGGCTACGATTCGCGAGACCACGAAGCTCGGCAAAAAGACCGGAGACGACAATAAGCTGCGAATGGCGAAATCGCGACAGAAAAAGATCGACGACCGCATGGGCGTTCAAGTGAGTGCGACGGGGGGACGATTTAAGTTGAATCGTGATCTTGTTGGCTGGCATGAAACGCGGCGCGCGGAAATCGAGGTACCAAAGGACGAGAAAGGCATTGCGATTCACCTGCCCAGCGCGCCGGAGTTGAGGTTTCCAGGTCCGTTAATATCGCTTGAGAATATCACTTTCAGATATCATCGTGCCAAGCCTGTTGTGCTCAATAATATCGACCTGGTCATTCATTTGGGTGACAGGGTGGGCATTATGGGACTCAACGGGAGTGGTAAGTCGACATTGCTCCAGATGCTGACTGGGGGAATCGCGGAGCCCACTGTGGGTAAAATCACACGCCATCCACGTTTGAAGATTGGTTACTACGCTCAGAACTCAGTGGGGGACCTTCAGAAAGAGGGACGCGCAAGTCCGACGTTGACGGCGCTGAGGTATCTGTCGCGAGAAGTCAACGGGCAACTTACAGAAGGCGAGATTAGAGGTCTGCTAGGATCTGTAGGCCTGCCAGGTCGACTTGCATCTGATGTGCCTATCTTTCGTCTCTCGGGTGGCCAGCTGGTATTAACCCTGAACCGCATGCGTTAATTCTCACATATCTTTATAGATCCTGCTGACGTGTTCGATGCAGGTTCGATTAGCCCTAGCCAACATTCTCTGGAACCCACCTCATCTACTTGTTCTAGACGAAATATCGACACATCTCGACTTCCATACCGTTACGGCTCTTGCATCGGCTTTGTCGACGTTCGACGGTGCGATTCTGATAGTCTCTCACGATCGTTTCTTGGTGCGGTCCGTGGTCGAAGGGCGACGCGACGTAGATGCTAAGCTTAATGACGATTTTGAAGCTGAAGACGACGAAGACGACAATGTTGGCGAGTCGCAGAGCCCTAGAAGGAGGACGGTCTACGTGATGAAAGCAGGAAAGTTGGTTGAACAGGGCGATGGCGTAACCCAGTTTGAGAAGAGTCTGGAAAAAAGGGTAGGAAAGATGCTGGCAGATATTAGCTAGAGCTAGAGCCAAGGAGAAATATTTTCTTTACATACATATGTCCTTTATTTATATCGACAAGAAATTGTAATTGATAGAGGAAATAGCCCTGATCTAGCCCTATTTATCCTTTCTGTTCTCGGTGCTTATCGGTGATTAGCAATCCTCGCCGATGATTGGCCCGCTGCGTGTGGAGAACCCTTGGACCCCTCGTAAAGTGAGGAGAACATTCCAACTCCAACTCAACGACGTCCATACATGTCAGACTATACAGAGGAAAGCTCGCTTCGCTTCTTGACTATCCGATAATCCAGCATGGTCCGACCGGTAGCTTGGGGTCGGGGAGTCTCGCGGCTGTGCTACACACGAGGTCCTCAGTCGGAACGCATTGGCAGTGGCAAGGTGCACTCCCGCCGACAGAACAGCACAATTGCTTCTGCTGCAAGTGAAGAGCACGCCGCTTCACACGCAAATATTGAGCCGCCATCATCATCATCATCGTCGTCGTCGTCGTCGTCGTCGCATACACCCATCTCCCGCAGAGCAGCGGCTATCAGATCTGCAAAACCCTTCTCCGACTTCCTCACCGACACCTTCCACCGACAGCATGATTACCTCCGCATCAGCGTCACCGAAAAATGCAATCTGCGCTGCCTCTACTGTATGCCGGAAGAAGGTGTGCCGCTGTCACCGCCGGCGCATCTCCTAACAACGCCCGAAATCGTATACCTCTCGTCGCTCTTCGTCTCGCAGGGCGTCACGAAGATCCGACTAACGGGCGGCGAACCGACGGTCCGCAAGGACATTGTGCCCCTGATGCAGGCCATCGGCGACCTACGACTGGATGGGCTACGGGAGCTGTGTCTGACTACAAACGGAATATCGCTGCACCGGAAACTCGACGCAATGGCCGAAGCTGGCTTGACAGGCGTGAATCTGAGCTTGGATACCCTAGACCCATTTCAGTATCAAATCATGACGCGCCGAAAGGGATTTGATGCGGTGATGAAGAGCATCAATCGCATCCAGGAAATGAATGATAAGCTAGGCGCGGGCATCAAGCTCAAGATCAACTGCGTCGTGATGCGCGGGCTCAACGAGCGTGAGATTGTGCCGTTTGTCGAGCTGGGTCGAGACAAGGCTATTGAAGTCCGGTTCATTGAATACATGCCGTTCGACGGCAATAAGTGGAGCGAACAGAAAATGGTGCCGTACCAGGAAATGCTCGCGACTATTCGCACCAAGTACCCGAACCTGGAGAAAGTGGCCGACCACAAGAACGATACCAGCAAGACGTATCGCGTGCCCGGGTTTGCGGGTCAGGTTGGGTTTATCACTAGCATGACGCACAATTTCTGCAATACATGTAATCGGTTACGCATCACGTCGGATGGCAATCTCAAGGTCTGTCTGCATGGGAATGCAGAGGTGTCTCTGCGAGATCTGATTCGAGAGGAAAACAATGGATTACCGATTGACGAAGAAGCGATGAAAGCGCTGGATCTACTTGGATCGGGACGCCGGGCAGCCCGTATCTATGACGAGGGCGAAGGAGCAGTCAACAGCCGCGAACGCCAACTGCTTGAGGTGATTGGCATGGCTGTCAAACGCAAAAAGGCGAAGCACGCGGGCATTGGGCAGCTGGAAAAGTTGAAGAACCGGCCTATGATATTGATTGGTGGGTGATTTCTCTTCTCTTTCTTGGACATATATATTGGTTGAGCATGTACACTGGCGTCTACCTGGTGGATATATGAGTGATGACGATCTGATGATACCATTTATTTTTACATTAACATATAATTCACAATACTTCCCTGGTATAATTTTTTTCCCCCCCTTTTTAATGAGGAGCAAACCGACTAACAATCTGGCGCATTCGTAGATAATAAACCAAACCCTCGTACGACTAGAATTAGCACTGCTATAACAACCCCGAACCCATTCATGTTCATGCATTCCAGCATGCCTAGACAACTCCGAGCCTACAGCCAACACAGACGCAACGACGACGAAACGCACCAAAACCACCCGGTGCTCCCACACCTCAACACCCGAGGAGACATGCACATGACCAACGTAGGCTCCAAGGCCAGCACGCGGCGGTACGCGCGCGCAAGTTGTCGTGTGCACTTCACAAATGCCATCACCTACAACGCTCTTACGACAACTCCTACCACCACCGGTTCTGAAACTAGTACGAATGCTAGAAATACGAATGCGCTCGCAAAAGGCGACGTTTTTGCCGCGGCGCGCGTAGCGGGGATCATGGCAGCGAAGAAGACGCCGGATATCGTGCCGCTGTGTCATCCCAGTATAGGGATTGATAGTGTCAGTGTTGATATTGAATTGGTTGGACCGGAGACAGGAAAAGAAGAAGGGTTCGGAGCGGTTGAGATCACGGCTACGGTCACCTGCGAAGGGCGCACTGGGGTCGAGATGGAGGCGATGACGGCGGTGATGGGGGCCGCGTTGACGGTGTATGATATGTGCAAGGCGAATGACAAGGGGATGGTGATTGATGCGGTGAGGCTGTTGGAGAAGAGGGGAGGGAAGAGCGGGGTGTGGAAGAGGTAGTTAGATAGAAGATATAAAAGATATATATTTCAGGCTTGAATGATGATGATTCAAGTAACGAACGCCATAAATGCACAGAATCCATGTCCAGACATGATACAACACCATACGCCGTGCCAAAAAAAAAGAAGACAAATAAAGATTAAGAATGCTTCGTATAACACCCCTTGCAGCGCAACATGACCCGATCACTCATCGGCCCGTACACCTGCGGGGTCGAGCCAAACACCTTGCCACAGCTGCGACAGTTGTGATGCGAGGCCAGCATCTCCATCAGATGTGTGTCGCGCTTTTGCAGCTTGGCCAACGACTCGCGCAGCTGCTGCGACTCGGCTTTCTTGATCTCGAGCACGGCGGTGCGCTGGTCCTCGACGGCCTTGCGCGACCGCAAGTCGGCTTCGTCCTTGTACGAGCGGAGCAGCTCAAAGGCGCATTCGCCAAACTCGGAAAGCACCTCCGCCATCTCGGGCTGCGGGAGAAGCATGCTGAGGTTCTGCACGCAGTACTCAATCAGGACGGGCCGCAGCGAGGCGTCGTTGTGCGGGGTCGAGGTGTACACGGCGCGGATGATGGCGGGCATGTCCAGCTCGTCGACGGGCGTGCGGTTCAGGTGGTTGCGGAACATCTTGGACGCGACCTCCTTCAGGTCGCGGATGTCGAACTTGTCGCCGCTGGCGTACATCTGGACGTGGGCGAGGATGTCTTCGGTGGTGGCGGGCCGGCCCTGATGCTGCTGGTTGGCCTCGTCATTTTCGGAGTCGTCGGATGAGCCGCAGCTGCCCTCGGCGAGTGTGTTTTCTGTCCAGGCGTCAGAAAAAAGCCTCGTCAAGTGAAGATGCACTACTACTGACCGCTCTCTGCGCAGCCCGAGATCTTGTCGGTCTCGTAGATGCCGGTGTACAGGAAGGTCAGCACGGACTGGAACACGTCCGGATCCTCGTCGACCAGGTCCAGGCGCTGCGTGATGCCTTCCTTGAAATTCTCCTTGCACATCAGGCGAAAGTAGCTCGACCGAGGACAGATCACCAGGCGGTGGACGTGGAACTCGCGGTCGCCGCACGACACGAGGAAGTCGGAGTACTCTCCGCTCTCCAGGTAGCGCCCCCACATGGCCGAGATGCCCTGCTGCGGCCGCTCTAGATACTCCTCGGTCAGCGGCATTCTTTGTAATTTTTTTTTGTTAAAAGTATCTGATAAACTGTCTGGAAATGGCAGACGGGGGGAGAGGGAGGCAGGAGAGGGAGACAAGGGAGGGAAACAGGAGAGGGAGACGCACTAGGTGTCGCTGAAGTCTGGCGCTGGCCGATGGGTCCAATGACGAGGCGGAGTACTAAATACGTAGCGATGTAGTAAACAAATAAATCGAGAAATCAAGAAATCAAGAAATCGAGAAATCGTGGATTTCAGGTGTCCCTCACTGCCAGTTCGCCATGTATCAGGTTCGCAGACCGCTACGCAGCAGAGAGGAGCACCGAGGAGAGCGACCAGCAGCGCGAGGGAAGCGAGACAGGATGATATAACGGGTATGGCTACAGCATCCAGCCAACTAGTTAGTTCTTATTCTTAATAATGAAAGCCCAGCGAAGCTATTCTAATTGCCATGGCTGTGCAGCACTCCCAACGTCACTGGCCAGCGCGGGCTTGGCGGCGCCTTGGAGCCTGAGGCCGAGCGGGCGCTAAAACGCTGGGCGCGACTTTTCTTTTGTGCTCTTCTAACGTGGCTTGCGGCCAGACTCGCCGATTGGCTCGATAACGCCCTCGGCCTTGCTTGCAACAACGAGCGAATACATCACGCTGTCCCCGGTCTCCCCACACCCGAGTCGACCACCCCGCCCTCATGGCCTCTGGCGCGCGATCGAGGCCTGGTGCGTCCGCCACGTTGGCTTGGCCGAGCTGCTGCTGATGTGGCGGTGTCCCGGCGATGGTCACGAAGTGGTCGCCCATAAAGTCGGTGGCAGCCTGGATGACGGCCGTTCCCTTTTGCGTCGGCGATGAAAGCGAAGCTATTTCCATGGCCAGCCAGCCTTCGAGGACGAGAACTTGCACATGGGGCTTTTGGGCGAAGCGGCGGCCGCCGATGATGATGATGATGTTGTTGATGATGATGATGGTGGTGGTGTCTATCTACCCCGGATGGCGTAACGATGTACAAGTCGGCAAAGCAGATTTGCTGGTGTTGAGACGATTCGTGAAACGATTTGATTGCTTTGATTCATGGCAAACTTTGAGTGCGATAAGCCAAGTTATTAAACGTAACTTTAAAGTCGACCATATCCTCCATATTTGGCCCCATGGCCACGTAGTTGTTGATTAGACCAGTGGAGAAGGGTTTCAGCTGAGCTTCACAATCCTAGAAACCTGACTTATTTGGATTAATTTCACCTGAATATTCCAGACTTTCTTAAGCCTGAATATGAGCTTTGAATACAATTTCATTGTTAGTCTGGTGTCTGCAAGAACCTTGCAAAACATTTCGAAAACCCACTTCAAGGATCGCTGCCCTTTTTTATATGGCCTGGTCACAGGAAAGGCGCAGACAAATGCATGTGAAGGTCACGTGTAATTCATTGCCCTAACCTTGCATTTCAGAACAACACATGGGCCAGAAGTACAAATGAACTGTATCGTTTACCTTGCCTGTGTGCAAGGGAAATAATCCCATATATAAGGGGTAAAATAATAAACCAGCGAAGTTAGTAAACAGAACGGACAACAAATTTTATGGTTGCCATGGTTTCCTAAGTAGAGCCTCCTGTTGACCCCATCACTGGAGACACCCAGAATGAGGGGCAGTATTCCAGACTAGAATAGATAACATAAACTACGTGCTTTCTGAAATTCATAGAAAGACATTTTGAGGACTGTTTTATTCAACTACCAAAGTAGCAAGGACTGGAGAAAAGGGTAGACTGAATAGGCAATCTGCGACACCAAGATCAAAATCCTTTTATTCCACCAATCAAGAGAAGAAAATCCAGAGACTGAGATGCGATAGTCTGTATTCACCCTGCTCGAAAGTGCCGTGTGGCGCTAGATAATGGCATCGCAATGGCAGATGCTGCGCATTGTTAGATACATATCTCCGATTCGAGTCGATAGATAGTCGGGGCTGGGTTGGCACTTACCGTAGACAGACTAATCCGTCGAGTAAGTAGACCCAGTTGCACAAGTGAGTTCGCTATTAACTTCCTGCTTTTCAGGTGGCATGGACTTCTTTGGAGATGTCTTTGATGTAGACTCCCCCTTGGCCTTGCGCTTGCGGCCAGAGGCAGGAGATGCCACAGATTCGCCAGTGGGAGGTGCGTGGACGCCGTCAGCGACATCCTTCTGGATCTTGGCGAAGTGTAGACTGTTTGAAAAAATAGTGCTGCTAGTCAGGACTGACAGAAAGTAGAATAGGAAAGGGGAGAGAAACTCACCGACAAGCTTTGGGGGTGAACTCTTCGCCCATCGCTTCTGCGACTCTGGCCCAGTTGTCACCCGTCACCTGGCCATCGATGATCCTGATGACGGTTGAAAGGAGCTTCACGTCAAGTCTTTCTTCCCACTTGACAGGCATATTGGCTGTTGGCAGAATGAGATTGTTTTGAGGAGGAAGATTTGATATTGAAATGTCTGTAGGTTGGGAAGGTGAACTGAGAATAGACTGGTAGAGGGGTAGAGTTGAAGGAGCAGACGGTTGTAAGAATCTTATATCTGAGAGTCAAAGCCACTAGAGCCTTATATTTCAGGCTGAATAGCTCTTATCCTGACTAGTGAAGACTGTCCTAACCAGCCTCCTAATATTTTTCTCTTTGTCTTCCCCAGAGCATTCTCCTGACTCACTAGCATTGCCAGTGATTCTTGGGGGCGGTCTTTTCCTCATATTTGAAGCTTCCCCTCCATCCTTCTCCTCTCAACGCTCTTCGTCTTACAACTATCGTCACAACCCGGCTCTTCCAAGTTGATCTATCCATAAGTCGGTTCAAAGCTCACCAACCTCATTCATTCATCAAGACCTTGAAGACTCCTTCTCATTCCTCTCACTACCATCTCTCTTCAAGACAGTGTGTCCAATCCTTTTACCAAGACCACGCCTACCTGTCAATTGCCACCCTCAGTCAATTTTCATTCTCGAAGAGGTTCAGATATGGCTTCTGAGATGAGTCCAGGCAAAGCTCGTGCAGGATGGACACCGGAGCTGAATCGCGAAGTAAGCAGAGTCTATCCCACTAGATGAATGTCTTCCTAACCATCCTGAGCTTAGCTTTTTCTCGCCATCCTTGAATCTAGCTCTATCGACTACGTCGCAATTGCTAAACGCGTTGGTGAAGGTAAATACCTCCATCTCTCTTGCCCATTTGACTCATTAATGTGGCTCGTTGAGTGGGAGCCCCTCCAACCCGAGACTTCCAGATGCGTCCGCTATACTTCTTCTTTACAGCGCTAGAAGTCAGTCTTGTGTTTATGAAGTCAAGAACCATGGTCGACAATCAAGTAGCAACACAAGAGGGAATTTCCTATTTTGGATCACCGTCCATTCCAATCTCTAACATATGCCATTATACAGGCCACACTAAAGATACAGTCCAGCAACGTATCTACAACCTCAAGTACGGACGTGTCAAACACTTTCCTATGGCTGGACCTGGCGCTGCAAAGTCCGCCAAACGCGAAGTAGCAAAAGCTAAGAAGCGAAAACTCAACCACGATTCTACTACAGACGGTAATTTCGGCATCAAGGAGGAAACTGATTAGAGTGAGTTGGGAGGACGCATGGAAGATTTTGACTATGGCGCTATAGATATGAGAAGAGGAGCGCAAAATGATTTCATGGGGAAGGATGGCTAAGGGGTCTTGAATGTAATAGTAATAGTAGATATGTTGGAGAAGAAGAATTTAATCCAATCCCATTTCTAATTAGAGACATCCCTTTGCACTAGATCCGTAGTACGAATGATACGAAATGATATGAAGAACGACGAAAAGCGAATCCCGGCTCTCATTGCAAAGAAAAGCAGCTACCTTATGCCTTGGAAATAGATCTCAAGCTGCTTGTAATACATATCCAAATGATCAATCTCCATAGTTTTCTAAGTCTAGGAACATGTAAAATAGCACAAGTGCCTTTTAATCTTCCCCCCAGATCTCATCCTGAATTCCTTTCCTGAGATATTTCATGATATAATCACCGATTTTACTCCTATCACGGCCGGTCAAATGCGATGTTGCACATGCATCAATAACTCTCTGGGAGCACAAATTCGCCAGCATTCCCTTCATAGTCGACAAAAGAAGAATCATCAGCGGCATACCCTAGGTCTGCGGATGGATTTCCCAGCCCGCCATCATCCTCAGCGCCGCTGCCCTTGTTGGCGACCATACCGAGGTGACGAGCTGGTTTGCGAGCACGTTTCGATGGTGTCTCCTCTTGTACTTCGGCCATATCCGGGATTTCGCCGTCTTGTTCAGTGTTAACTCTGCTGCCGCGAATCGGGTTTATAAGCCGCTCTGTAGTATCGTCGATTGCGTCGCGCTTGCGCTTTCCCTTCCCAGTGCCTGATGCCCTGGTGCCACCAAATCGCGTAGCTTTGGCCCGAGGGGTCTGAGGTGCAGATGACGCGTCTTGCTCGGATCCCCGTGGTGCTTTGGTCACTCCACTGTTCTGAACTTCCTGGTTCAGAACCTTGGATAGCTCGCGGACGTGGCTTATTTGGTGTCCAATGGCGCGGGAAGTTGCTCCGTGTCCATAAGCGAGAGCCACTGCGTTCAGGTCGACCTAGCCATGGGAGGAAACGGGGTCAGTCTATGATTGCAAGATACTTCCTGTAAGTACATACCTTGATAGAATGGACAGCGAGAATGGCAGCCATCAAGCGCAGATTAGCATCGCCGACTTTCCAGTTCACCATGTTGAATATGGTCTTTGATAGTCAGTCGATTTGTTTTTTGAGCGCTGGAAAGAATCAGTTATGGCACTTGAACTTGTCTGAGGAATGTAGTCTTACCGCAATGAATGGTAGGGAAGTGTCTCGGATGAGGCCTGCTTCGTAGGGCTTGAAGAGAACGGTTGTAGAATAAGAGAGGGCGTAAATCCAAGCAGAAGTCTTAGAAGAGGTGAGTCAAAGATGGTAGAGTGTGTTGATGCTTTCTCAGCGCGGCTGTATGTTTCAGAAGTGAGTGAGTTGTGAAGGAGTAGTTGATGCTGGGATGTAGCATAGGAGAGCACGCAAAGGAAAGAAGAAAAAGCAATGAGACATGAAGTTTTGTAGGGCTGCTGAGGAAGAAGAGAGAGGCTCAAGTCAGGTGACTTTCTTTTGACCGGGTTTTTGCAGCGTCTTTCCTATCTAGGCAACTGTTATCACTGAGGCTTCCTAACAAAGAGACAGCAAGATTTCGCTTTCTTCTCCAAGAGTCAATAAGCCAGCGGTTAGGCGAGCATGAAATGGAGTCTTGAACCCAGAGATTTGATTTCTGCGCTTATCCCCAGTTTCATATGACAGAGTAGTCTCGTTTTGCTAGCTGAGCGGTCAGAAATCAGACTAGACTGGATTTTCTCATTTATTTGTGCTATGTATCTCCAAGCTTTATATTTATCTGACTATCCACCTCGTTATTTATTCTTTCTACTAAGTTTTCTTCCACATTTGTCAACTCTCTGCCCAAGACTGTATTTCTACACTTCTACTATTTGTTTCATATGGGCACTGTTCTCTCTGTGGTCGACCTTATATAGAAGCACATACAGTAGCAATGTTTTCCCTAGGTAGCCATCAAAGCACGGTGCAAAAGATAAGCAAGCCTGTGACCTAAGGCATCAGTTGTTTGATGCCAACCGATGTCTTCAGGCCTGTCATGTGCATGCAACCGCTGCTCCTCTCATCATCATTATCTCTCTCTATTTCTCGTTCTCTCCTTGTAAACCGTGTTAACCATCTTCCTTCCAAGCCCATTATATTCTCTCAAACCCCGGCGAAGCAAAATTATTTGTCATGCTTGCTCTGTATTTTCTTAATTGGTTCATTTGACTGGCAAATATTAATACTGACTTATGTGTTAGCGTAGTCTTTGTGCAAATTTTGGCTCCTAGTCAAGATCAAGCTCACGGCTATAGCTGAGCGTGATATTATCCATAAGAATCGGGTTAGCGGTATTTGTGGCATTTTACCGTAATTTTTCAAGATACCACTCCAAGCTTTTTAAAATACGCGCTTGTATTCTCTGTAGTATTCATTACTTATACTAAACATATGCGAACACATATGCCTAATCTTAGGCCTAACCCCTTAACCTCCGCCAACGCCAAACCCTAAATGACTAGGGGAGATGTATTACTTATCCTAAGCATATGCTGTAATAAATGGTAAGAATTAGTAAATTTAATATTTTATTACTTGGTCCAAGCGTCGTGGTATTCACTAACCCCAAAATGGCAATTTTAAATTACACTAGCGCCCAACAAGATATAATCAACCCCCTAACAACGGATTCGGAACGCTGTATTAGCTAGTATTGAGAATACTATATAATCTGCATATCTAACTAAAGAGAATATTCAGGGGTTACTTGAGGCCATATTTATAATTAGAATAGGGGTCAACTAAGACACATATCCGATGCCTATTCTAGCCAATTAGATGCACCTCTATGAAATACAGTATTGGTTATGGATTACATGCTATATTCAGAATAACAGTTATAATCCACTATCACACTTCTCTAGCATGTAATCTAAAATAGGAAAGAATAAAACAAAAGAAAAAAACAATATCTAATAATCTATATAGAAATATAATATTAAGAAGCAATAAAAAGAGTAATAGATTTAAAAAATTAAACTAAGAACTAATAAAAAGAGAAGAAAAAGTATAGAAAGCTATATTAACTAATTATTTTACTAAGTAAGCTATTTTTCTAAATCTAATAAAAATTCTTTATATTAGATATCTTATTAATATTAATAAGACTTCTAATTAAGCTGGAGTTTAATATAATAATTTATATTAATTAATTCTAAATATTTAATAAAGGCTTTATACTTCTTAATTAAGAGAGATTTAGTAAGATTATTAATAGTTATATTATTAATATTAATCTAGTATATACTAATCTATTAATCTTATACCTTTTTGCATAGCTAGTAGTTATAAATATTAATATAATAAAAACATATTTAAATTGCTTCATTTTTAATTATTAAGTGTATTATTTAATAGTTATTATATTTAATAATAAGAAGACTTTATTTAGCATTAAATTTAATAATTTTAAAGAATTATTTTTACTAAAGAAACTATTTTTCTATATTAAATAAGATAAAAAGCTTAGTCTTAATAATAAATATAATAATATGTCGGAAACTTCGGTTATCTTACCGTCGAGTATAGCTAGGATAGCTATTAATGGGCGAAGTTAATAGGCTTCTAAGGTTGAAAGGTCTCAGTAGACAAAAGAAATAAGAATAAGATTATAAATATCCTAATCGATAGAAGATTATATACTCAAGTTATCACAGTTAATTTAAGACAATAGAAGAAAACTAAATATATAGTAAATAAGCATTCTTATATAGCTTTCCTCCATTATAGCTTCCATACCCATGGTCTAATGGCTATAAATAGGCCTTTATATCTTTAATAGTTCTAGTATATCTCCTGTTATACCTTTATTCTAATAAGTATAATAATAATTTTATCCTATCTTATTCTAGTATTTACAGCATAGTATATATTCTACTCTGTAAGTATTGCCTTATTAATTAACTATAATATTTAGATTCTCTGATAATCCTTTTCTCTAAAGGCTAGTATCTTAATAGCTTAATAAATAGCTTATATCCCCCAAAGTATAAATAACTAATTTTAACTTCTTAAATATTCTAAATATACAATTTTATGATTTTATATTAACTATATCTTCAAAGCAAAATAAAACTATTAAAAATCGCAATCTTATTAATAAAATTAAAAGATTTAGAATTATTCTTTTTTTCTTTTATAATTGTTGTTGTTAATTAGATTATATTTATATAAAAGCTAAGGATTCTTCTTATTATAGTAACTATATTTATACAAATAACTATAAGTATATTGAGATAGTAAATTCTAAATCTTTATAGAAGCTTAAAATAAAATTAAGGCGGATAAGAAAAAGGCTTAATAAGAGATTATAACTCTTATAACTTATCTTTCTTATCTATAGAAATAAAAAAGGCTTTTTTAAAAATATATAGATAAATTCCTTCAAATAGACATAAAGAATGTCAAAGAGTTAAAAAGATTGAAAAAAGTAAAAGAAGAGATAAAAGTAAAATAAGTAAAAGAATAATAAGAGGCTAAAGAGCTTCTAGCTACTATTTTTATTTTATAAAATAATAATCTTATTCTTAATATTAATTTTAATCCTTCTATCTTTTTTAACTATATCTTTATCTCTATTCCTGAATCTTCTTAAGGTAATTTAAATATCTAATAGATTTTTATATATCTTCTTTAAATCTATATTCTTTTCATCTTATAAGATAATAAATATATCCTTTCTCTAACTTATACTATAGTATTCTTTCAACTTTATATTCTTTATTGTCTATTATTTTATCTTTATTTATTAAATTAGTAGTTAATTCTAATAATAAGATATAAAATATTAGATATATTTATATTTTTACTAATAACTAGAATTTATAATTATTATTTACAAGTTTTTCTTTAATAGTAAATAGTCTAAATTTAATTATATTAAATTTATCACTTAGCCTTATACTTTTAATATTAAAGTTTTTTAATCCTAGCATTTATTATAGAAAATAAACTCTCTTCCCCTTTTTGAATGCTAACACATCCTTATGCTTCTTATTATAATATCTCTTTATTCTTATTTCTACCTATTTAATATCTTTTAATAAATTGCTATACATCAATTATATATATATTGCTTAGATATTTGCTTTATTAGATACTTCTTTTTATTTAATATTTTCTTAACTCATCCTTAGAATTCTTTCTAAGTTAGCAAAATGTAATACTTATTCTATTAATATATTTATAGTATTATTTATTACAAACTAAGTAATTAGTAGTAATTCTATCTAATTATTTTAATTTTAATCCAAATAATATCTTAAATATTGTTTAATTATTTAAATTATTTTTTTAATCTAACTATTAGTCTATTAATAATATATAATTAACAGATTATATTCTATTTTATAATTTTTTATAATTATCTATTAAAATTTAGACATAAATAACTTGTCTTTATTAAATATAATTTTACTTAATAATTCAAATATTATGAATATTTCTTATAATATTAATATTATATATTATTATATTATTAAACTCTTTAATATTGACTTTAGAATAACATATTTTATAAGCTTATCCATAATAATAATAGTTTTAGTATATATGATTCCTAAAATAAAATCTTTTAACTCTAGTAAGCCTTATATAAAATCCATTATAATCTTCTGCTATGCTTTTATTAATATTTCTAGAATCTACATTCTTCTATAAGATTGATGATTAATTGATTTATTATAATTATAATTATTATATTTCTTAATATAGTCTTCAACCAATTTTCTTATTTTTAGAAAATAATATATTTATTATATCTTTTCTACTATTCAGTTAATTCTATAATATCCTTTAATTGGCAAATCATAATTTATTTAAATAACTTTTATAATTATTAAAAATAGTATTAATATTAATCCTCTTTAAACAGCTAATCTATTTTTAATTACTGCTTTATTATTATGTAGTGCTGTCTATAATATTTTATCATTTCTAGTGGCTTCTATTATTTTTTTATGAAAACCTTTGCTTTCTATTATAATTATTATTATTAATATTGCTTTATTATTATAATAAATTCTATCTTTATTTTCTACTAATATATTTATTTA